ACCCGGTCTGCTCGGATGTTGTTTCTGTACTCATGTGAATTTACTCCGTACCACATCTGATGGTGGCAGTTGAAGTCTCCCATTACTAGACAGTTATCAAGGGTTTGGATTGTACTTGCTATTTGGGCGAAGGGGCCACTTCGGCCTGGGGAGTATATGTTTAGGATTTGGGTTTTTTTGGTTTGAATTTCTACCGTAACCGATACTATGAAATTATCGTGTGTGTAGTGGTGTTTTGGTTTGAGATTGGCATGTTTGCGGACGTATGTTGCACATTTTGTATTGGTGTTGCTGGCCGTAAAAATATAAAAGAGATTTGATTCTGGTGGGTATCCCTCTGCTGAGGTCCATGGTTCTTGTAATAATAGGAAATAAATACTAGAGTCTGTTTCCGCTTCTTCTACCGCCGCCTTGGTAATAAGTTCGCTCCGTGCACAATTGAGTTGGTGTGCGAGCGCGGTGGTTCGAGGCCTAAGCATTATTTGTCATGGGTTGGTCATCTTCGGGAACGGGTGTGGCTCCGACTGGGGCGGTGGCTGGTACTTGAACTATTGGAAGCAGCTCTTGGACGGGTGCGGCCGGTGGGTCTTGAGCGGGTGGGGCATTTTCCTTCCCTTTATTGAGGAATCGGCGTTTGGCTCTCTCGGGGCATGCTGGGTCGGAGGCCTTATGAGCTCCTTTACAGTTCAGACATCTGATTGGAGTGTGGGTGCATCTATGTCCTCCCTGGCATTGATTGCATGGGTGGAAACTGGTAAGATGATCTCCGGCGCAGTGGCCGCATTTCCCATTGTTCTTACATTTCTCTTGGCGGTGGCCGTACTCGAGGCACTTTGCACACTGAGTATCCGGGAAGGTTGGAAGGAAGGCCTCGATATGGCAGCTTCGGTTGAAGAGAGATAGGAATTTAACTCCTAGTGTTTCCATTGTAATTTGTCCTGGGAGCGCAATGACCATTGATGAGTGGGTTTTCTCCATTCGAGTCTCTGCTCTGGAGATCCAGCGGGGAATCTGTGCAAGTTGGAAGTTCTCTCCATAGTTGCTTCTGATTTCTGATGCTACCAATTGTCCCGCCTCGATACCCTCCCCGACCGTTGTGGGAATTCCATGGAGGAGAAACTTTGACCATTTAGAGTTTGCGCGGATGACAGCGACCGGTACCTGTAGGGTGAGGAGGGCCTCCTCAATTTCTTTGGCATATTCCATTGCCTTTGTTGCAGGGGTGACGAACTTTGTTTCCAGGATGAAGTTGTCTTTGGGTGTTCTCCTTGCTGAAATGAAATGGCAGGACTCGTCCTGAATCCTTGCATTGACTAGGGTCCTGATCTCAGAGGGGTTGACGTCGGATGGGGCAGTGGTTTCAACAATGATCTCCCTGTTGATTTTGGTGTACTCTGGTTTGAAGATGGGGTCCGCTTTCGGCTTTGCGGACTTCTTTTTCCTCTCGACAACTTGGAAGTTTCCTTGGGCAGGACCGGGTGCCGAGGCCACGGCGGCCCAGGTGCCTGCTTTCCATCCACGGGGTGGGGCTTGTTGGGGGGGTGCGGGTGGGGGGGCCTGAGGGGCTGCCTGAGGCGCTACTTGGGGAATTATTTGGGGGACCGCTGGAGGGGGCATTCTCTGTCCCTGCGGTTGTTGTTTTCGCTGTTGTTGCTGTTGTTGCTGTAGTTGGTTTTGTTGTGGTTGTTGCGGTTGCTGCGGTTGTGGCTGTTTGTTGAGGAGGAGATGGATCGCCGAGTGTATACTGGTGATCATAGTTGTCTGCGCCTCGATTTGGTGCCTCAGTGTATCCACTGTTCTCCGGAGTGAGGTCGTTTGCTCTTCGAGGATTTCAATCCTGTCGGTGGGTGGGCAGATTCGGCTGGTGGCATGTCTAATAGCCCAGGTAATGTAATTCAGGTCCGTCTGGGTGTGAGTGTCCTGGGGGACAATGCTCGGGTAGAGGTAGTCGACTCTCGGTTGGTAGGGTTCGTTGTAGTCGGATTCTGTTGCAAAGGTCGAGGAGAATTCCTGTTCCTGAGCTCCGGATGGGGTTGGGTCGGGAACCTGAGTGTTCCTGTTCTGCGAGGGGGCTGTCCCTTGCTGGGAAGGCTGGGAAGACTGGGTAAAAAAGGACTGGAGCGAGGCTTGCTGCGACATAATTGAGTGTCCAGTTCTTCTAGCGGCGTAGAGTGATGTTTCGGATAGATTTCTTTTCCTTCCCTTCGGGAGGTCAAGGCTAGAGAATTCTTCGCTAGAAGCCAGTTTCGTAGGTTTCTTTCGCTTGGAACAACAGAACGCGACCGTACGATCGGGGACAAAGTGGCTCAGCCTGGTATGGTATACCAGGTAAAACCGAAGGGGATAGAAATAAAGTGTTTTTGAAGCGAGGTTTGATATCAGGAAGTTTTGCGAGCCTTAGCGAGCAAGGAGAATACAGAGGTTGCGTAAAGAAAGAAGGAAAGAGAGAAAACAAACAAAAGCACGAAACAACGCCCCCTTATATATCCAACCATAGTCCGATAATGACTAATACTTCTGCGTAACAGAAACTAAAAGAACATAACAGAAATCCCCATTACAAATCCTAATTCCACTACACAATACCTCCTCTTCTCGTTCCAATTTATCACCTAACCGAAATACATAATTGCCGTTACAGACCACGCCCCCCTCTAAGGCCTACCTCCTGGTAGGCTTAGGTTTCTCCGGATAACGCTCGTGGAATCGTTTGACAATGTTAGGTGAATGCTCAAGGTCCGATAGTGGTTGCCAGGAGGCTTCATCATATCCTGTATATCGTACCAAGTACTCAAACCTTCCTCTTCGTTTCCTCGAATCCAAAATATCTTCGACCTCCCATTCTTCCTCCTCTTTGATCTCAACCGGAGGTGGTGGTAATTGTCGTTGTCCTGGTAAAGGATCATTTGCTTCAGGCGACAATAATGAAACATGAAATACTGGATGAATCTTCATTGACCGGGGAAGTTCCAACTCGTAAGCATAGGGATTAATAATCCGCTTAACACTATAAGGTCCAATACGTTTCCAGTCAAATTTCTTGGAAGGCGGCTTTGTTAAAATATGGCGAGTCGATAGGAAAACCTTGTCTCCTAAATGGTAACGAGGAGCTGGAGTCCGATTTCTATTGGCTGACTCTTCTTGTATCCTTTGCGCCCGAAACATCTCTTCTCTTAGAAAATCCACTACGTCCTTCATTTCTCTTGCAATACGATTCGCTTGATCCTCCGCCGTCGTTCGACCATGTTCCAAAGGGCCAAAAGTCATCCTTGGATTTCTTCCCGAATTGGCATAGAACGGGGAGACCTTTGTTGTTTTGGAGACATGATTGTTTGTTGCAAATTCAGCCATTGGTAGCATTCGAGCCCAATCATCTTGTTGGTAGGAAACATAGCTTCGGAGGTGCTGTTCCATTACGGCATTAATTCTTTCCGTTTGTCCATCTTTTTGGGGGTGAAATGCAGTAGAGAATTTTGGTGATATTTCCAACCGATCACAAAGCGACTTCCAAAACTCCGCAACGAACTGTGTCCCTCGATCAGATACAATAATATCAGGTAATCCATGTAGCTTCCAAACATTATCGATATATACCCTTGCTACTTCCTTTGAATCTGCCTCTTTAGTCGTTGGTATTAGATGTCGCATTTTAGTTAATCTATCCACCACAACCAAGATTGCATTGTATCCATCGCTCTCAGGGAGATCAGTAACAAAATCCATCGATATATCCATCCACGGTCCCTCAGGTATCGGCATAGGACGGAGTACTCCATAAGGTGCATTGCGTGGTGCCTTGCTACGGGTGCACACATCGCAATTCCTAACGTACTGGTCGACATATTTTCGCATTTGTGGCCAATAATATTCTCGGTTTAGAAGTCCCAATGTCTTTGCTCTACCCGGATGTCCTGCGGATGGTTTATCATGATGTTCTTTTAAAAGCCTTAGTCGAAGGTCATTGTCATCTGGTACATATAGTGTGCCTCGATAAAGTAGCCGACCGTTGTTATCTTCCGTACATTCGGCAAGTGAAATTTTATTCGAGTGGCGAACGCCATTCCGAAGCATAGCGAGGATCTTGTTTGGGAAACTATCAACTTGATAAGCTTTTGAAAATAACTCCTCTACAGTAGACGTTCCTTCAGCGGATTCATTTGACAAAGAACCCGCAAACAAACTTAGCTTTGTACTCAAATTTTTTCGCTTCAAAATCACTTGACTCTGATGCGTCAACCGTTCATCCCCCTCTTTAGGTAGGTCACCTGACCTCCTAGTCAATGCATCTGGTTTTGTTCCTTGTTTTCCTGGCCGAAATTGTATAATAAAATCAAAGCGTGAAAGAAACTCGGACCAACGGGCTTGTCGACGATTTAACAATTTTGTTGTCATAAAATATTCAAGATTCCGATGGTCGCTAAGAACTTCAATTGGGAATTGAGCTCCCTCCAGATGATGTCGCCATTCTTCGAAGCATCCTATGATTGCTAAAAGTTCTTTGTCATAGATTTCATAGTTGCACTCTGCAGGAGAATGTTTCTTAGAGAAGAAAGCGACTGGATGTAGGATTCCTTCGTCGTTACGTTGAGATAGGATTCCTGCTGAAACATAATCAGATGCATCGGTTTCTATCACAAGCTTCCGATCCGGATTAAAATGAAATAGTGTCGGTGCCGTGGTAAACATCTTTTTCAAAGTTTGAAATGCTTCCTCCTTATCATTCGTCCATTCGAATTTAACATTTTTCTTGGTCAAGGCTGTAAGTGGAGCAACAATTTTCGAATATCCTAGAATGAACCGTCGATAGAAATTTGCAAATCCTAGAAATACTTGAACATCATGGAGATTCGTCGGTGTGGACCATTCCAAAACATCGATAACTTTCTTTGGGTCCATTCTATTCCCATTCGGGGTAAGAATTAAAACAAGATATTTCGTTTCTTGAATCATAAATTCACATTTTTCAGGTTTAAGGTGAACATGATTCTCATCAAGTACCTTTAGAACTTTTGAATGTGTTCTTTATGTTCCGATAGAGTCTCGGAGTAGATAAGGATATCGTCTAAGTATGCCGTTACGAATTGATCGAGGTAGGGACGTAAGATATCATTGATCCAATGTTGAAAGGTAGCAGGGGCATTAGCTAATCCAAACGGCATTACTGTATATTCGAAATGTCCATATCGAGTCCGGAATGCCGTCTTCCATTTATCCCCTTCCGCTATTCTGATTTGATTATATCCCCAGCGCAAATCCAACTTGGTATAGTATTGTGCTCTTGACAACTTGGCTAGAGTTTCCTTGAACAATGGTAGTGGGTATCGATTCTTGATTGTGATTGCATTTAGACCTCGATAATCCACACAAAGTCGGAGGGTTCCATCGTTTTTCTTCACAAATAATATAGGTCCTCCCGCTGGTGACTCACTAGCCCGAATAAATCCTTTGGGTAAATTTTCATCAAGATATTCTCGTAGTGCCTTTAACTCGATTTGAGATAATCCATATATAGGTCCATATGGTGGTCGTTTGCCTTCTTCCAATACTATTTCAATATCATGGGATGGTCGATGTGGTGGAAGAATTGAAGCGTCATATTCTTCGAACATATGGAGACGATGGTGAAATTCCTTTGGTACTAGTTGTTTAATGTCGATGGTAGATTTCTCGGTTGCTGAAACGATAACTGTATGGTGTTCCGGTAAAGGAATCGAGATGCCATGAACAATAACTGTAGTCCCATCAAGTGAACAGTGTTGACAACAGCTTCCAGAATCGAAAATAAGTAGATTTTCCTTTGGTCGAATCGTAACATCATGACGTCGCATCCAAGGTATCCCCATCACAATCGGATAGTGTCCTAACTTCGTCACAAAACATGGCACAGTCTCCCGATGACCATGAATGTCCAGTGAGACATCGACAATATGGGTGATTTTTCCTGATTCAATAGGCCTTCCGTCTATAACGTCTACATGGCGAGGTATTTTAAGAGGGGTCATTGCAAGATTGTTGTGGCGTGCAAAAGATTCGTCAATGAAAGCGTATCCTGATGCTCCGGTATCAATAAGAGCGTAGGTAGGGATGAAAGAATTTTTATTCTGTGAAATCGAACAAGTTACTACAAGTTGGTTTCCATCCATTTCCTCCTCTGATACCGAAAAACCAGAAATACACATCCTAGAAAAATCCCTAAACGGTCCCTGTACTAAGCCACTTAGTGCAGGGACAAATCTTTTGCCGACTCATTATCGCTTCCATCATTTTCCTCCACCGTCAATGCTGCTCCTCTCATTACCGGCCTTCTTGATTGATTTCCAGTTGCCCTTGCTTGGGGTCAATCCCTAACCATATGTCCAACACCTCCGCAATAGAAACATCGGCCCTCAACTAAGCGGGCATTTCTTTCGGCAGGGGAGGGGCGACGACGTCCTCCAGACAGATCCATTGGTACATCACCTCCCGGGCGGGACGAGGGATGACTTTCCGTAGCAGGTACATTAGCGGCTGGGGCGGCAGCACGGGGAGCAGGAACACGATTTACTGGTGGGGGACAAGGGGCCGGGGTAGTAGTAACATTCCAAGGCTTTTTATTTCCTCGTTTAGCCTCTGCCGCACGACGACGATTATCCAACCGTTGTAAGAGTGTCGCACAGGCATCTACCGTCGCAGGAGTATCATGGTGTATCATTGATTCATCGAGTTCCCCATTAATACCTTCCATCAAAGCCTCGATTCGAGAGGCTTCATCCATACCCGACTCAGCAGCATATCGTTGGAACTCAGGGAAATAGTCGGCGAACGTTCGATTTCGTTGACGGATGTTCCGGAGGTTCCTCCTAGCCGTGCGCATCCGATCGGGGTCCCCAAAAGCAGTGTCCAAAATCTCATAAAACCGTACCATAGAGGGCAAGGTAATACCTCCTTCCCCGACATACTGTAAGAACTGATTGGCAGCAACGCCTTCCAATCTACTGAACGCATAGGATAATTTCGACTGTAGGGTGGGATAGCTATCGGCATTTCCCAATAGCTTGATTTTCATTTGTTGCTTGAATAGGTGTAATCTTTCTCGATCACGATCCCCCCTGAACACCTCAGGATCCGGAAGCTTTTCTGACCGATAGGTAGTATCTGTAGTGAGTGGTACTGGGGGTGCAGGTGGAGCATTGTCCTCGACAGGTGCTCCCTTAGGGGCAACAGCTTGGACAGCAGTCTGTTGGGCTCGGGCAGCAGCAAGATCTCGTTCAAACATTCTTCTCGCCCTCTCAGCTTCCACTTCTATCTCTTGTAAATCCGTTGCATACTGAGCAAGACCATGTTGACACTGCTGGAGAAGTGCATAGGCTTCGGCTCCGATAACATCATTGACCTGTGGATGTTCTTGAAAAAAGGTTCGGAGGCTGTTGCTGAGTTGTTGATAATCAATAGGAGCGTGTTCCGACATTGTAAACTATGGTGTTGTATTGGTTGGCGATAAGGGATGCAACCTACGTATAACGTGGGTCTATGGACCATGGACTATAGTGCCAAGGAATACAACCGAGACGAAGACGTAGTAGAAGATGTTCGTGACTATGGACTATGGGGCGGCTCTGTTTGGGTCTGATAACCAAACTGAACCCTATGACGTAGCGTAGAACAAGAATAATATTCGTGGAGTAGAATACAGAAGAAGAAGAAGAAACTTATATTGCTTTGAAGTACAAGAGTTATCGCAAGCCGACCCGACCGCCTAAAACACGAACCGAACAAAAGAAAGAAAGAACAACAAACACAAACACAAACGAACAAAAACAAAACAAAGCAAACACAAACGAACACAAACAATAACAGGGAAATTCCAGAACAACACTCAACCAGAAAACCCAACGACAAGAAAAGATAACATATCTCAGCGGGCTCGAGCGCTGGATCCATCAAAACAGAAAAATAAAACCGAAATTTAAAGGTAAAAGGAAACTGCCCTTCCTAATCCCGTCCCTAATCATTTTCTTCCATCTCCTCTTCCAGGTCCGCCTCCGCCTCCGCCGACTCGTACCATTTCGAGAGTTGAGAGTTTTTTGCAAATTGTAGGATGAGATCCGTTCTCAAGTTTGTAAACATCCAGTTTTCCCAGGTCATCGCTCCGGGGATCTTCTCTATCAGAGGGGCGCGGATTCGAGCCCACGCTGGACATTCCATAAGTATATGTTTTGCTGAGTTTTCCATACCACACTGGCATGGTTCGGGATCTGTATGTACTGCGTGTTTGTCGATTCGGGTAGTTTGACACCGGATTCGAAAAACTTTCTTTGCTTCCGTAAGGGTGAGTTTTGCAATCTTGGGAGGGGGGCGGAATTCCCCCCGGTGATGGTAGTTCGGTATTGGTTGTGTATTCCATTCTTCCAACAGGTGGTCGCGTAGTAGTTTATTTTGATTCCACTTGTCTCTCGCATTTCCGGGTGTTTGATATGGGAGTAGGAGGGAGGCGATTCGGTGTAGGCCTGTTCCTTTGATATTTGCTTCTCTGTATGGGAGGAGCTCGATCAGGCATTCGTTGTTGGGGTGGGTTGCATCGGTACAGAGTATTCTGGTTCCGTACTTCCTTGAGCGGTAAGTGAGGAGATGTTCTAGAGGGGGTAAGCCTGCTTCTCGAAGGAGTTTAGCTCTCTTGGTCCATCATGGTAGGCCGGTGATGACCCGGGCCGCTTCATTGTATAGTGGTTCGAGGGATCTAATGATGTGGTCTGCGCCAGTCCACCAAGCCTCGGACCCATATAACAGACTTGGAAGGAAGCCTTGTGTTATGAGGTGGTGGATTGTTTTAACTGTTATGCCTGGCAGGCGGGCGGTGTTTCGAATCTGATGGAGGGCTTTAAGGCCTTTTGCGATCGCTGCTTCGATGTGGGGCCGGAAGGAGAGGGTCGGATCTATCCAGACTCCTACGTATTTTAGCCTCTCTTTGGGGTATATGTTGATGTTGTTAACTTTGACCGGAAGACGTGGTTGTTGTGTGGATGATGTAGTGGGCCGGAAGAAGATCAGATCTGATTTATCCGGGTCGTATTTGATTTGGAGTGGCTCAGCTTTAATTAGTCTTTCTCTCATTCGTTCCTCCATTCTCTTGATTGTAAAACCTGGTGTTTTGGATATTTGCACCAGCGCATCGTCATCGATATAAGTTGTGTCCATCTCTTTTGGGCTGCTAGTTGGGTCCAGTATTACTCCGGCATAGATCATAAATAGTACCGGGGACATGGGGCTACCTTGCGGCACTCCAGAGTCATAGGGCTGTGGTTCCTCTAGCTCATGGTTAAATTGGAACTGTAGTTTTCTGCCGGTGTTAAATTCCTTGCACCATTCTGTCAGATAGGTGGGGAATTTTTGTTGGTGCATGATTTCCGCGAGGAGTAGGTGGTCGACACAATTAAATGCTCCTTGGATGTCGTTGGTTAGGATCGCTGGTCTGTCTCGCCGGACAATTCCGGTGCTGTTTTTCAGTAGTAAGTTTTGTTGTATTGGTGTTAAGGTTCTCAGGAGGGCGTCGATTGCCGAGATGGTTGGTCTTCCTCCAAATTGGTTCGCTGAGAGTGTGCCCAGGATTTCTCCAGCGGTGCAGAGTCTTTGGGCCACTATCTTCTCCAGGATTTTGCTGAAACATTGTAGAAGGGAAATGGGCCGGTAGGCTTTCGCTTCATGATAGTTTGCTTTACCGGGTTTCGGGATCGGGATGCACTTAGCTATTTTCCATTCCGCTGGGTGTACACCGTGCCGGAGCATGGCGGAGAATATGTCTTGAATTAGAGTTGTGTTTGCTCTGACTATTGCTTTAATGAAGGTATAAGGGATGCCATCCGGGCCGGTCGCCGAGTGCGCTGGACAGGAGTCGATTGCTTTGTTAAGTTCTTCGAGGGTGACTATGTCGAAGGTGTTGCTAAGGTCAAAAGAGGGGGGTCTAATGTTCAGGGGGGGATGGTCGGGGGACGTCCGTTTCGAGGGGAAAAGTTGGGCTCTTAGAGCTTGACACTTCCCCGCAAACGTTTCTTCACCTTGTATGGTTGGTATGATTGTGTCTCGTCTCCTTCCTGCTTTTAGGATTCTCCAGACTTCACTACCTTTCGCCTCGTTCATTGTCTTTTCCCGCTGGTCCGCTTTTGCTTTCCGGATCATGACTGTCCATTCTCTGCACGCCTTCCGGTGTTCCTCCTCGTGATTGGGTTTCTTTGTGTTTTTCGCCTTCCTTTCTGCTGCGTTTACCCTTGCCTTCATCTGTTTCATTTCATCTGACCACCAGGAGTTGGCTCTTACCCCCTCCTTCGAGAGTGGTGTTACTATGCTGACTGTTGACCTGACCAGTTCTAGGAAGAAATCGACAGTTTGTTCCGTATGTTCCTTGGTTTCCCATGCCTCTGCAGGGATGGAGATGTTTGACATGTGGTTTTCCAATAGCTTCCAGTCTGTTTGTCGCCACATTCGTCTTGGTACAAAAGGTGGTTTTTCCAGGTGTAAGTGAACGGAGGTTCTCCCGTGGTCTGATCCCGCTCCATAGGGTTCAGTGCTCCATCGTAGATTGTGGTCAAGTGTTGGGCCTTTTACAAATGCAAGGTCAATGGTTGTGGGCCTTTTCCCTCTGTCTCTGGGGAAATGCGTAAAGACGCCTGGTTCGTTCAGGAGGGTCAGTTTCTGTCGGGTTATCCATCGTTTTAACCGTGCGCCGTTGACGCGGTCTGCTCGAATGTTGTTTCTGTATTCATGTGAATTTACTCCGTACCACATTTGATGGTGGCAGTTGAAGTCTCCCATTACTAGGCAGTTATCAAGGGTTTGGATTGTATTTGCTATTTGAGCGAAGGGGCCACTTCGGCCTGGGGAGTATATATTTAGGATTTGGGTTTTCTTGGTCTGGATTTCTACCGTAATCGATACTATGAAGTTATCATGTGTATAGTGGTGTTTTGGTTTAAGGTTGGCATGTTTGCGGACGTATGTTGCGCATTTCGTATTGATATTGCTGGCTGTAAAAAGGTAAAAGAGATTTGATTCTGGTGGATATCCTTCTGTTGAGGTCCATGGTTCTTGTAGTAGTAGGAAATAAATGCTCGAGTCTGTTTCTGCTTCTTCCACCGCCGCCCTGTTGATTAGTTCGCTCCGTGCACAGTTAAGTTGGTGTGCGAGTGCGGTTTTTCGAAGCCTAGGCATTATTCGTCATGTGTTGGTCGTCTTCGGGAACGGGTGTGGCTCCGACCGGGGCGGTGGTTGGTACTTGGATTATTGGAAGTAGCTCTTGGGCGGGTGCGGCAGGTGGGTCTTGGGCGGGTGGGGCATTTTCCTTCCCTTTGTTGAGGAATCGGCGCTTGGCCCTTTCGGGGCATGCTGGGTCGGAGGCCTTATGGATTCCTTTGCAGTTCAGGCATCTGATTGGGGTGTGGGTGCATTTGTATCCTCCCTGGCATTCATTGCATGAGTGGAAGCTGGTGAGGTGATCTCCGGCGCAATGGCCGCATTTCCCGTTGTTTTTGCATTTCTCCTGGCGGTGGCCGTATTCTAGGCATTTCGCACACTGGGTGTCTGGGAAGGTTGGGAGGAAAGCCTCGATATGGCATCTTCGGTTGAAGAGGGATAGGAATTTGACTCCTAGTGTTTCCGTAGTGATTTGTCCTGGGAGCTCAATGACCATTGATGAGTGGGTTTTTTCCATTCGAGTCTCTGCTCTGGAGATCCAGCGGGGAACCTGGGCAAGTTGGAATTCCTCTCCATAGTTGCTTCTGATTTCTGATGCTACCAATTGTCCTGCCTCGATGCCCTCCCCGATCGTTGTGGGGATTCCGTGGAGAAGGAACTTTGACCATTTGGAGTTTGCACGGATGACGGCGACTGGTACCTGTAGGGTGAGGAGGGCCTCCTCAATTTCTTTGGCATATTCCATTGCCTTTGTTGCAGGGGTAACGAATTTTGTTTCCAGGATGAAGTTGTCCTTGGGTGTTCTTCTTGCCGAGATGAAATGGCAGGACTCGTCTTGGATTCTTGCATTGACAAGGGTCCTGATCTCGGAGGGGTTAACGTCGGATGGGGCAGTGGTTTCAACAATGATTTCCCTGTTGATTTTGGTGTACTCTGGTTTGAAGAGGGGGTCCGCTTTTGGCTTTGCGGACTTCTTTTTCCTCTCGATGACCTGGAAGTTTCCTTGGGCGGGACCGGGTGCCGAGGCCACGGCGGCCCAGGTGCCTGCCTTCCATCCACGAGGTGGGGCTTGCTGGAGGGGTCTGGGTGGGGGGGCCTGAGGAGCTGCCTGTGGCGCTGCTTGGGGAACTGTTTGTGGGACCGCTGGAGGGGGCATTCTCTGTCCTTGCAGTTGTTGTTGTTTTCGCTGTTGTTGCTGTTGTTGCTGTTGTTGCTGTTGTTGCGGTTGCTGCGGTTGCTGCGGTTGTGGTTGTTTATTGAGGAGCGCGTGGATCGCCGAATGCATATTGGTGATCATGTTTGTCTGCGCCTCGATTTGATGTTTCAGTGTATCCACTGTTCTCCGGAGTGTAGTTGTTTGCTCTTCGAGGATTTCAATCCTGTCGGAGGGCGGGCAGATCCGGCTGGTGGCATGTCTGATGGCCCAGGTGATATAGTTCAGGTCCGTCTGGGTGTGAGTGTTCTGGGGGACGATGCTCGGGTAGAGGTAGTCCACTCTCGGTTGGTAGGGGTCATTGTAGTCGGATTCTGTTGCGAAGGTCGAGGAGAATTCCTGTTCCTGAGCTCCGGATGGGGTTGGGTCGGGAACCTGAGTGTTCCTGTTCTGCGAGGGGGCTGTCCCTTGCTGGGAAGACTGAGTGAAAAAGGACTGAAGCGAAGCTTGCTGCGACATGACTGAATGTCCAGTTCTTCTGGCGGCGTAGAGTGATGTTTCGGATAAGTTTCTTTTCCTTCCTTTCGGGAGGTCAAGGCTGGAGAATTCTTCGCTAGAAGCCAGTTTTCGTAGGTTTCTTTCGCTTGGAACAACAAAACGCGACCGTACGATCGGGGACGAAGTGGCTCAGCCTGGTATGGTATACCAGGGTAAACCGAGAGGAATAAAAATAAAGTGTTTTTGAAGCGAGGTTTATTATCAGGAAGTTTTGCGAACCTTAGCGAGCAAGGAGAATACAGAAGAAGAAGAAGAAACTTATATTGCTTTGAAGTACAAGACTTATCGCACGCCGAACCGACCGCCTAAAACAAAAACCAAACCGAACAAAACAAAAGAAACAACAACGAACAAAACAAGACAAAACAACGCAAAAACAAAGACAAACACGAACAAAGGCAAGGAAATCCAAGCGCGATACACAACCTGAAAAACCCAAGAACAAGGAGAACTAACATATCTCAGCGAACTCAAGCGCTGGATCCATCAAAGACAACGAAAAATAAACAAAATAAAAGGGAAAAGGAAACCACCCTTCCTGATCCCGCCTCTAGTCAATTCTTTCCATCCCCTCTTCCAGGTCCGCCTCCGCCTCCGCCGACTCGTACCATTTCGAGAGTTGAGATTTCTTTGCAAATTGTAGGATGAGATCCGTTCTCAAGTTTGTGAACATCCAATTTTCCCAGGTCATCGCTCCGGGGATTTTGTCTATCAGAGGGGCGCGGATTCGAGCCCACGCTGGGCATTCCATAAGTGTATGTTTCGCTGAGTTTTCCATACCACATCGGCATGGTTCGGGGTCTGTATATACTGCATGTTTATCGATTCGGGTAGTTTCGCAACTAATTCGAAATACCTTTTTTGCTTCTGTAAGGGTAAGCTTCGCAATTTTGGGAGGGGGGCGGAAATCCCCCCGGTGGTGGTAGTTAGGTATTGGGTTTGTGTTCCATTCCTCTAACAGGTGGTCGCGTAGTAGCTTCTTTTGGTTCCACTTATCTCTCATATTTCCAGGAGTTTGGTATGGGAGTAAGAGGGAGGCGATCCGGTGCAGTCCTGTTCCTTTGATATTCGTTTCTCCGTATGGGAGGAGCTCGATTAGGGATTCATTGTTGGGGTGGGTTGCCTCGGTACAGAGTATTCTGGTTCCGTACTTTCTTGAACGATATGTCAGAAGGTGTTCTAGGGGGGGTAGGCCTGCTTCTCGGAGGAGTTTAGCTCTCTTGGTCCATCGTGGTAGGCCTGTGATGACCCGGGCAGCTTCATTATATAGTGGTTCAAGGGATCTTATGATATGGTCTGCACCAGTCCACCAAGCCTCGGACCCATAGAGCAGGCTTGGAAGGAAGCCTTGCGTTACTAGGTGATGGACTGTCTTAACTGTTATTCCTGGCAGGCGGGCAGTGTTTCGGATTTGGTGTAGGGCTTTCAGGCCTTTTGCGATTGCTGCTTCGATATGGGGCCGGAAGGAGAGGGTCGGATCTACCCAGACTCCTACGTATTTCAGCCTCTCTTTGGGGTATATGGCGGTGTTGTTGATTTTGACTGGAAGTCGTGGTTGTTGTATGGATGATGTTGTGGGCCGGAAGAAGATCAGGTCCGATTTATCCGGGTCGTATTTGATTTGGAGTGGGTCGGCTTTTATTAGTCTCTCTCTCATTCGTTCCTCCATTCTCTTGATTATGAACCCTGGTGTTTTGGATATTTGCACCAGCGCATCATCATCGATGTATGTTGTGTCCATCTCTTTCGGACTGCTTGTTGGGTCCAGGATTACTCCGGGGTAAATCATAAATAGTACCGGGGACATGGGGCTACCTTGCGGGACTCCAGATTCATATGGCTGTGGTTCTTCTAGTTCGTGGTTGAATTGGAACTGTAGTTTTCTGCCGGTATTAAATTCCTTGCACCATTCTGTTAGATAGGTGGGGAATTTTTGCTGGTGCATAATTTCTGCGAGGAGTAGGTGGTCTACACAGTTAAATGCTCCCTGGATGTCGTTGGTCAGGATCGCTGGTCTGTCCCGCCGGGCGACTCCGGTGCTGTTTTTCAGAAGTACGTTTTGTTGTATTGGTGTTAGGGTTCTTAAGAGGGCGTCGATTGCTCAGATAGTTGGTCTCCCCCCAAATTGATTCGCAGTGAGTGTGCCTAGGATTTCCCCAGAGGTACAGAGTCTTTGCGCCACTATTTTCTCCAGGATCTTGCTGAAGCATTGTAGAAGGGATATGGGCCGGTAGGCTTTTGCTTCGTGATAGTTTGCCTTGCCGGGTTTCGGGATCGGGATGCATTTCGCTATTTTCCATTCCGCTGGGTGTACTCCGTGCCGGAGTATGGCGGAGAACATGTCTTGGATTAGGGTTGTGTTTGCCTTGATTATTGCTTTAATGAATGTATAGGGAATGCCATCCGGGCCGGTCGCCGAGTGCACTGGGCAGGAGTCAATTGCTTTTTTGAGTTCTTCGGGGGTGATTATGTCAAAAGTGTCGCGAAGATCAAAAGAGGGGGGTCTAATATCTAGGGGAGGGTGGTCGGGGGACGTCCGTTTTGAGGGGAAGAGATGGGCTCTTAGAGCTTGACATTTCCCCGCAAACGTTTCTTCACCTTGTATAGTTGGTATGATTGTATCTCTTCTCCTTCCTGCGTTTAGGATCCTCCAGACCTCACTACCTTTCGCTTCATTCATCGTCTTTTCCCGCTGGTCCGCTTTTGCCTTCCGGATCATGACTGTCCACTCTCTGCATACCTTCCGGTGCTCCTCCACATGGTTGGGTTTCCTCGTATTTCTCGCCTTCCTCTCTGCCGAGTTTATCTTTGCCTTCATCTGTTTCATTTCATCTGACCACCAAGAGTTGGCTCTTACCCCCTCCTTCGAGAGTGGTGTTACTATGTTGATTGTTGACCTGACCAGTTCTAGGAAGAAATCGACAGTTTGTTCCGTATGTTCCTTGGTTTCCCATGCCTCTGCAGGGATGGAAATGTTTGACATGTGGTTCTCCAAAAGCTTCCAGTCTGTTTGTCGCCACATTCGTCTTGGTACAAAAGGTGGTTTTTCCAAGTGTAAATGAACGGAGGTTCTCCCGTGGTCCGAGCCCGCTCCATAGGGTTCAGTGCTCCATCGTAAGTTGTGGTCAAGTGTTGGGCCTTTTACAAATGTAAGGTCGATGGTGGTGGGTCTTTTCCCTCTGTCTCTGGGGAAATGCGTAAAGACGCCTGGTTCGTTTAGGAGGGTCAGTTTCTGTCGAGTTATCCAACGTTTCAGCCGTGCACCATTGACGCGGTCTGCTCGAATGTTGTTTCTGTATTCATGTGAATTTACTCCGTACCACATTTGATGGTGGCAGTTGAAGTCTCCCATTATTAGGCAATTATCAAGGGTTTGGATTGTACTTGCAACTTGGGCGAATGGGCCACTTCGGCCTGGGGAGTATATGTTTAGGATTTGTGTTTTCTTGTTCTGAATTTCTACCGTGATCGAAACTATAAAATTATCGTACGTATAGTGGTGTTTTGGTTTGAGGTTGGCATGTTTGCGGACATATGTTGCACATTTTGTATTGGTGTTGCTGGCCGTGAAAATATAAAAGAGATTTGATTCTGGTGGGTATCCCTCTACTGAGGTCCATGGTTCTTGTAATAATAGGAAATAAATACTAGAGTCTGTTTCCGCTTCTTCTACCGCCGCCTTGGTAATAAGTTCGCTCCGTGCACAATTGAGTTGATGTGCGAGCGCGGTGGTTCGGGACCTAGGCATTATTTGTCATGTGTTGGTCATCTTCGGGAATGGGTGTGGCTCCGACCGGGGCGGTGGCTGGTACTTGAACTATTGGCAGCAACTCTTGGACGGGTGCGGCCGGTGGATCTTGAGCGGGTGGTGCATTTTCCTTCCCTTTGTTGAGGAATCGGCGTTTGGCCCTTTCGGGGCATGCTGGGTCAGAGGCCTTATGAGCTCCTTTGCAGTTCAGACATCTGATTGGGGTGTGGGTGCATCTATATCCTCCCTGGCATTCATTGCATGGGTGGAAACTGGTGAGGTGGTCTCCGGCGCAGTGGCCGCATTTCCCATTGTTCTTATATTTCTCCTGACGGTGGCCGTATTCGAGGCACTTCGCACACTGGGTATCCGGAAAGGTTGGAAGGAAGGCCTCAATATGGCAGCTTCGGTTAAAGAGGGATAGGAATTTAACTCCTAGTGTTTCCATTGTAATTTGTCCTGGGAGCGCGATGACCATTGATGAGTGGGTTTTCTCCATTCGAGTCTCTGCTCTGGAGATCCAGCGGGGAACCTGGGCAAGTTGGAAGTTCTCTCCATAGTTGCTTCTGATTTCTGATGCTACCAATTGTCCTGCCTCGATGCCCTCCCCTACCGTTGTGGGGATTCCATGGAGGAGGAACTTTGACCATTTGGAGTTTGCACGGATGACGGCGACTGGTACCTGTAGGGTGAGGAGGGCCTCCTCAATTTCCTTGGCATATTCCATTGCCTTTGTTGCAGGGGTGACGAATTTTGTTTCCAAGATGAAGTTGTCCTTGGGTGTTCTTCTTGCTGAGATAAAATGGCAGGACTCGTCTTGGATTCTTGCATTGACCAGGGTCCTGATCTCGGAGGGGTTGACGTCGGATGGGGCGGTGGTTTCAACAATGATCTCCCTGTTGATTTTAGTGTACTCTGGTTTGAAGAGGGGGTCCGCTTTTGGCTTTGCGGGCTTCTTTCTTTTCTCGACAACCTGGAAATTTCCTTGGGCGGGACCGGGTGCCGAGGCCACGGCGGCCCAGGTGCCTGCCTTCCATCCGCGAGGTGGGGCTTGTTGGGGGGGTACGGGTGGGGGGGCCTGAGGAGCTGCCTGTGGCGCTACTTGGGGAACTGTTTGTGGGACCGCTGGAGGGGGCATTCTCTGTCCTTGCGGTTGTTGTGGTTTTCGCTGTTGCTGCTGATGTTGCTGTTGTTGCGGTTGCTACGGTTGCTGCGGTTGTGGTTGTTTATTGAGGAGCGCGTAGATCGCTGAATGCATATTGGTGATCATGCTTGTCTGCGCCTCGATTTGATGTTTCAGTGTATCCACTGTTCTCCGGAGTGTAGTTGTCTGTTCTTCGAGGATTTCAATCCTGTCGGAGGGTGGGCAGATCCGGCTTGTGGCATGTCTGATGGCCCAGGTGATATAGTTCAGGTCCGTCTGGGTGTGAGTGTCTTGGGGGACAATGCTCGGGTAGAGGTAGTCCACTCTCGGTTGGTAGGGGTCATTGTAGTCGGATTCTGTTGCAAAGGTCGAGGAAAATTCCTGTTCCTGAGCTCCGGATGGGGTTGGGTCGGGACCCTGGGTGTTCCTGTTCTGCGAGGGGGCTGTCCCTTGCTGGGAAGACTGAGTGAAAAAGGACTGGAGCGAAGCTTGCTGCGACATAACTGAGTGTCCAGTTCTTCTGGCGGCGTAAAGTGATGTTTCGGATAGGTTTCTTTTCCTTCCTTTCGGGAGGTCAAGGCTGGAGAATTCTTCGCTAGAAGCCAGTTTTCGTAGGTTTCTTTCGCTTGGAACAACAAAGCAAAACGCGACCGTACGATCGGGGACGAAGTGGCTCAGCCTGGTATGGTATACCAGGGTAAACCGAGAGGAATGAAAATGAAGTGTTTTTGAAGCGAGGTTTATTGTCAGGAAGTTTTGCGAGCCTTAGCGAGCAAGGAGAATACAGAGGTTGCGTAAAGAAAGAAGGAAAGAGAGAAAACAAACAAAAGCACGAAACAACGCCCCCTTATATATCCAACCATAGTCCGATAATGACTAATACTTCTGCGTAACAGAAACTAAAAGAACATAACAGAAATCCCCATTACAAATCCTAATTCCACTACACAATACCTCCTCTTCTCGTTCCAATTTATCAACTAACCGAAATACATAATTGCCGTTACACTCACCACACCACACCTCAACAACACCTTTACGCACCAAAAGCTGGTACGCAACACAAACAGTTTTCAAGAGTTAAATTCGTAATTTTGGGAGGTAATAGTTCATTAGCTTAAAAGTATATAGTAAATTTAAAATAAATTTTTACATGCACAAATAGGATAGGATTTGCATTTTCATTGTTAAAAAAGCTATAAATCATTATCTATTTAATTTAAAATCATTTTTAGGGTTCTATATTGTTAAGCTACATCTTATTTACTATATTCCTGAAGGGGAGAATAATATCTTGTGTGGTTGTTTTGCTCAAAATTATTTGGTGTGGGTGGTTCCTATGGGGCTGGGAATGATAGGGATGCAACATTATTGTCCCCTTGGTTTATGCACCATAACTCTGTGAGTTTTCAAGATTAAGACAAGTCCTTTTCGCAGTATGTAGCTGGATAACCTCCCAAAATTACGAATTTAACTCTTGAAAACTGGTTGTGTTGTTGCCTACCAGCTTTGGATGCGTAAAGGTATAGTTGAGGTGTGGTGAGGTTGCAGTTACCCTACTGCCAAGCCTGTTTCACCCACCAAACCTGACTTGTCACCTTTTGTCACCTTTATGCGCGGGCGCACCATACAAAAATGTATTTTAGTTTTCGAAAAATGCCAGTTCTCCTACCCAAGCCCAGGGAACATAACCCGGGGCTGAAAAGACACTGGCCCGGCCTAGCCCAGCTATCTAAGCAGAGGTTCAGCCCAGCCCAGCCCATTAAGAGCCTGGGCAAGCCCATATAAGATGGGGCCCATTGGAAGCCCTGATCGACAGTTCAAGTCCAGCTGGTACAAGTTCCTCCTCTGGGCAGCGCAGAATAACCGGCCCCACACGCTCGAACGTTGCCTTCTCCTCCTCCACGCCGCTAGCCTCGGAGACTGGAATGAGCTTCATGCCTTCTTTCTCAAAGAGGGCTTTCTCCTCGACCTCGACCCTAGCCCGAAAGACTGGAGTGGGATTGTGGCCATCCTTCTCGACGAGGCAATCCGCAAGACCTCCCCCGACAGGGTCCGCGTTCTCCTGGAACACGGCGTTGACCCTAACATGGGGGTCTATGAGAAGATGGAATGGCCTCCTTACGGCCGTAGTCAAGCGGAAGGATCTGGCGATCGTCAAAATGTTGCTAGAGGCCAGTGCGGACGTTAACTACAAACCCGGGGTCTTGAGATATCATTCAGCAATTGCGATGGCGCATTTGGAGGGCAATAGGGAGATGGTAGAGCTTTTGGAAAAGCATGGGGTGGAGATTCCCTCAGATTCGGAATCTTGCACGTCTGGGGAAGATGATGAGTCTGATTCTGCTGCGTCAGAAGATGGTCCAACTTGGCAGTTCTAGATAAATCATCAAAAACCCGAGCGGGACGGCCCGAGTGTTCTGACCGAGCCGTAAGAGGGTCCTATCCACCAGAAAGTCTGGTTCAGACGCCCTACCACTCTCTACCTCTACGTGAAGATTTCTGCACCCCAGCTCCCGGCACCCGTACCCAGACCTCGCCGCAATGGCTATCCGCCATCCGCCTAACCCCCGGAAAACCCACACACTTATTACCCTCGATCCTGCGACAATGCCGCTCCCGCACCCGCTGCTGCTGCAGCGGCGTGGGCTTTGCGGGCGCGTGAAGTGCCTCAGGGCCGCGGCGGGCCGGCACGTACTGCCACCGGGGGATGGATCGAATGAGGACGAGTTGGAATGGTTGGAGGAGGAGGAGATGGGGGGGGAGGAGTGCGGTGGTGGAGAGCGCGGTGGTGAGGTTCGTGGTAGTGCCGCCGGCGGAGAGTGCATAGGGTGGGCTCTGAGAATATTTCCCGCCGGAGAACGGAGATCCAAATCTTGATCCGGCCGCGGGTACCGGAGGCAGGGGGAGAGGAAGGACAAGAAGCGGAAGTTTGGAGATGGGGTGAAGGAGGAGGAAAGGGAGGAGGGAGAGGGGAGGGATGGGAGGATGGGGAGACGCCGAGGAAGGCGACCGCGGTGATGGGCGGGATGGCTATGAGGGAGAAGGTGCGGTGGAGGTTGATGAGGGGGCGGGTGGGGTGGGGTGTGAGATTTTTTTTTTTCCTTTTTCAATTCTCTGGGTGCTGGGATTCGGTATTTTCAATTCTTACTTTGCACATAACTTATTAGATTAGTATATATAACTTAACCAGACCGCCCCCACGCCGAACTATCCGCTCACCGACCCTACATTCATGCCCAATCTCATATCCATATAAGGCTTCAGTAGTTGGAGCTCTAGAGCTGATGTAGGCGTAGGTATCAATCGTGAACAGGGAAATCCGTAAGGTTTTGAGGGTTAGGGTTAGATGTCTGACACGTTCGCCTTCCTTCGTTACACCTTCTACACCTTCATCTCTACACGTTCATCTCTACGTCTTCGTCTCTACACCTTATCTACACCCCCCCCCCCCCCCCGCCCAAAAAAAAAAAAAGAAAAGTCTCTCCCCGCTCCAATTAATCATCATCATCGTCCAGAAACGAGTTAATCCGTAAATTAAGCACTGAACCAAGCAAATCCACCATCCAACCGAGTACTGAGTTAACCAAGCACCTAACCAAGCACTTAATCGAGCACTTAATCGCGCACCCAATTGAGTGGACTCGGTCGATAGACAGGTAGGCAGGTAGGCAGGTAGGCACGTAGGCGCGCAGGTAGGAAACAAACTGACGATGAATATGTACATATCTAATTTATAATAACGCCTGATTTTTACGTGAGATATCGCCGATGTCAAATTAGTATGAACACAGGCCTACAGAGACATCCGGATATTCCAATAAATAAACCTCATTAAGCCTTTTATATCAAAATACTTGTCAGATATTCACAGCCTGAATAGCAATGATCATTAAATGAAACAAATGTTTACAAGGAACTCAAAGAAAAAAGGCCTTATCCTCAAATATGCCCAAAATTATCCTTATATAACCTTAAAACAAGTCTTACAAGAAGCACCGTCCTGGCGCTGGTGTAAGTTGGCTCCAACAAATGAAATAAATAAGAGGAAAAAAATTACGTTATCTCCATGCGTATATAATCCTGAGGTAACGCACCCTTCAACCTTCGCACATGCATAAGATGCCCAACAGCATCAGCACACCTAAGTTTGTCCGCACATCAGCCGCTGAACCCTCTACTCCCCATCTCAGCAGGGACAGACCTACCAACATTGGCCATAAAAATAAAAGTTACGAACGTGACCGCGGTATGTGTATCGCCGCCCCTCAGCGCGATCCACAGCATCGCAATGATCACACTACAGACGCACGGCGCGGCCACCTTTACGATATCTTTGAGAGTGTACCCTGGTGGAGGTAGCGCAGTGAGTGTGAAGACCCAGTCCGCTTCGTCTTTGAGTAGGTGGTGGTGGGCATCCGGTGAGGTATCTACTAGTGCCTGATTGTTGTGCCTGGACTGATTATGGTGCGTATACTGATCCTGGTGGACCTACTAGTTCATTGCGTGGTCAGTAACATAAAGCCATTGCGGCCGTCCGTCTAGCAAATCGAGGGCCCGGGAAGAGGAAGGGGGAGGGGGCGGGGGGTACTTCTACAAGGCCAATGTGCCCGAGCCGGCGCTTCGGCAAGAGGCCGTTCCCGCATGAGCGCAGCGCGGCGTTGGAGCGGTACCAAACTGTGGTTTCGATTGGGATTTGAGGGTAACATCGTTCCCAGCTTGTCAAAGGAGGTGATTTTACCTCCATTCAGTCTGATATATCTCTTTATATGATCCAGCAGGTATACACTGTGCAGTGTTTTGAGTTGGAGTGAGGGCAGAACAGAGGATTGACCGAGCGTATATATAACCACCGCTGGACGTCGAGCGAGGGGGGAATAGGTCAACCGTCAAAAGATCGATAGGCTGCCAATGTCCATGTCCGATCGAGGCCTTGCCACACGACTGCCCCTCGTGTTCCGCATTACGAGTAGATGCATGAGGGTGATCCTTGGTTTGAGATCGATACACTCACTCCAAGGGGAACGCCAACGCCAACGCCAACGCCAACGCCAACAATGCCTTGTCTGTCCACTCTACAGAGGTGGGCTGCATGTGAGAGAAGCAATCTCCATGCAATCCGCATGCCTAGGGCGCGCACTCACTGGGTGTGGTAAAGAAAAGGCCTGGTTATAGCCCGACCCGACGGTGCCAGCGACACGTGGGCCAGGCGCAGCCGCGTGCGTAATAACACCGCCGAGAAGTGCCAACATACAACATGTATCCCAGTAGATCATCGGGTGCCTTACTCTACATGTCTGCCTGGACAGCCCCATGCAGCGCCGATGCACAACCCACGCGCCACCAACGGTTCAGCAGGGACACAGATTTCACCTTACGAAACAGCCTGGACAGCCCCATGCACCGCCGATCCGCAGCCCATGCACGCTTCATATCGAAGCTGTCAACGTTTAAAACCACAGCCTTTCTGCAGCAATGAACGCACTGTTGTGCTCATAGCGCGTTTATCATTGGGTCTTTCTTTCAATCACAGCTGCGAATTTGACATTTTTATCCGTCCAAGGGATACAGACGATGCACGAACACATAGCACATCGAGCCCGTAGTAATCACAAATGTCTATCCAGGAAATTGTCACACTTCAAATTCTTTCAACTCAGGGAAACAGCAAGGCGGAGTTCGCAGACAGTAATGGAGGCCTTGCGCGGCAAATGGAGCGGGGGCTATATTCCAGTTATCTGATTGGTAGCTGGTGGGATCGGCACCAAGCATGTTACCGGAAGATGGAGCTGGCTCCATTTGCACAAAGTCTCTATACATTGAAGTGTGGCTTGGCTATTTGTCTCTTAGGGCGCCCGCCGCTGCCCGTAACGAGCACCGCTGGCTGGTGTCCTAGAGCAGTGGAAGGACAGCGAAGCCTTTCATGATTGTCTCGGTACGTCACGAGCTATTACTGGGCGTGGGTGTGTTGGGATAGTTTTACTGATATTTCCTATATATAAGCCGCTTGACACGGGGAAATGCATTTGATCTCCATTTGATCTCCAGGTTGGAAAAGCTAGTAAGCTGTCAACTGGGAGATACGGTTATATAATAGAAGATGGAGCCCACGCAAGATAGGGTAGAGCCGCTCTATATCTGGGGCACCCGTCCCCCCCCCGCCCCCTATACTACCTCCACAACCCACCACCCCCCGCCCGCACCCATGAGCACGCCCGGGGAGACGCACACCCGGCGAACGGCTGCCCGATCCCTTCGGCGGGCGTGGTGACCCCTCCCGTAACTCAACCCTCACCGACCGGTGAGCCCACCGACGAAACCAGGCCCTCGCCGACCCACACTGCCAAGTCTTGCTCCATCACTCTCTGTAGTAATTCAAGTACACAGAGATACCCTGCTACGAGGTTTGGCTCCCTAAAGATCAGAAGGGAACTATATGGCCGAAAAACTACGGACCACGAACTCCTGGTGGTTCTCGGGGAAATCTATTACGGAAAGTTGAGACCACGTCTCCAACGGTTTCTGTCCGTCCGAGGGCTTAAACACATCGTAATCGTCGAGGTATGTACCGGATAAATAACTTCAGCAATATATGAATGAAACAAGAAGAAAAAATGAAAGATTACAACAATATGGAACCGTACATACCCCGGCTAACAGTCACTCCCATAGTGCACAAACGAGGAACATCCCGTTCCTTTGAGGATCAGTGCCGCATTACGACGCGATCTTATCCACGTTTTCAAGAAGCCGAACCTGATATCAACAGAAGACAGGTGGATAAACTTGATTTGTGAGCTCGGAGAGGACCCACATCATGATTACGGCTTGTTGTTCCTGGATGATTGGGATGGGCAGAAAATAGCGGTACTTGTGGGGGTGCCATTGATCGTTAGTATACTAACCGCAATTCTATGGATCGCAAGTACCGGGGATATCCAGAATGCCATGGCGGTATCCACTTATATCTTGAGTGCAACCGGAGGTTTGTTTTCAAAGTTGCCTTCAAGATATGTTGGAGCTAATATACCGGCGTTCAACAGTTGTTGTTGGGCTGCTGGCCGTACTGGGTACCATAGACGACTAGCGGGCTTGTGTATGGATTTGGCCGGAAATACGATCTCGTTATCTAGCGGTTCGTGCTTTCGCGCCAGTCCTTAGGCCAAGTGTAAGCCAAATATCCGCCTTCTTTTGACTTTTAATACGACACTTCTTTAAAGCCCCGTAGACACAACCCTTGACTCAAATGACCAATCTAATACGTTAGCGCTAGTCTGCATATTCCTATCGGCTAAAATTAGCGTTTTTCTGACTTTTCATATGTTCCCTTTTTTCTAAAGTCTGTGTTAAGCTAAGTAAATGTACTATACATTCAGCATTATCACGGGGTTTTCTTTTCTCTACTTTGTTTTTTTTTTGTTTCACTTATTAATTATATACAGACTTCCGTCTACCAATGGCAATAAATTATTGTCGGTTTCAACCTTATAACCTTCGTAAAGTCCTTAACACGCCCTGTTTACCACAAACTTATATATTTTCAGCCTTATTGTACGTGATAATGCCCATATAGTGATTCTTTTATTCGCTAAAGGTCCTAGCACGCAGGTAGACCAGTATTCATGCTTTTTCTTCACAGGTAAATTTCACAAATCAAATTTTTTATTATTTTATTAAATATGTACATATATCGAAATCTTCACTATTGCAGCGCTTACCTACCTACTTGCCTACATGCATTAGGTACTTGATTCGGTGCTTGATTCAGTGCTAGATTCGCTGGATTCGCTAGATTCGCTACTTAATTCACCGATTAGCTTATGTCTAGATGAATATGATAATTAATTGGAGGAGGAGAGGGGCTAAAGGTGCAGATGAGGCGTGGAGATGAAGGTGTAGAGATGAAGGTGTAGAAGGTTTGGGGAAGGAAGGCGTACGTGTCAGATGTCTGTTAAAGTCCTAACCCGAACCCTCAAAACTTTACGGATATCCCTAACCCTTATTTCTATCTACACCTATATCTCTAACAGGGCCTTAATTAAGTCCGATTCAGCTCTAATTAGGCGCTAAATATCAATATTATAAGCTAAACCGAGCCCTGCTATAAGCTCTCCAGCTCCAAATAAGGATTAAATGGATATATAAAACGGGTTTGGAAAATAATTTTGCCAATAATTCAGTTAAGTTCGTCATTATGAGTTAATTCATTCTTAATGGTTTAACATCTAAAACCGATTAAAAACAGTTCGATAAAACAGCTTCTAATTCCGTTACCTATTCTATAGAGAGAGCGCTTCCGATTCTTGATCAGCTATTGGAATGACTCGGACACCACCTCTCAGTAGAGTATTGAATGGACTGAGTCTTCATATGATAGATTTCCCCCTATCCGAAGACTAAATGATTCAAAACATCAAAAAAAGAAAGCAAGGATTCAAACAAATCGAGCGAATCTCCAACCAAATTGAAAGAAAACTATATGTACAAAACCGGTTGATTTAGCCCCGCATTCGTTTCAGTTCAGTTTAGTTCAGTTTAGTTGTAGGGGTAATCAGCTAATCTGAGTATTGTATGCTCTCCGAACAAAATCCTTTTCAGATCCCGTAATCGTGGCGCGCGGTCGGTAGCTGAGAGTCTCAATACCGAGACACCTGGATTGTTTGGGTGAATTTGTATGGACGCCACGCGTGGCTACCAAAAGTGGCCAATAAATTTTGGCCTTGGCCCTAAAATCTGTATGGGGAAAAATAGTACGGAGATACTTTATATATCTTAATTTAAAACATAATTGATGAATAGCGCTTGATCCCAAGTTAACTTTAGCACTCACTTTCGAATATTCCCCAAAACCGGCGTCGCAGTACTTACCCTTAGTACACCCCGGTATTTCTGCCCAGACTGTGAGGTTTGAGTAGCGAGTTGACGCATACCATTCTTGGTGGCTTGGTATTAATAATATCCCTATTATGCGTAAATATATTTGTGGTGATGACTGAGCTATTTGAGCCTTTGCGATTCGAGAGTTGGAGTCAAATTTAGTAAGCACTTGGCATGATGTAGTAAAGTGGCGAGATCCGGCTGATGTCAAAATTGAAGAATCTGACGTCTACCACTTCTGAGTCTCGTTACACTACCATTTCTTATCCAATTCGCATAAGTTTTGATTCTTTGAGAAGCCGAGATACGCAGTTTTCAATGGCTGCGCTTGAAGCTGCATACTTAGATTTTCTTGCCGGCATCGCTGAGCTGGAGGCATTGGCTGTGGTGGCGAGAAATGACAACACCCGCTGGAGGGGCCAGGAGAGACAGGGAGGAATCATCGACCTAGATATCATTGAGGGCGATGCCTGGCTCACCTACTTCGGATTCACGCATGAGGAGGTGTTGAATCTAGTAGCCTGTCTGCAGATACCAGACCCTGTCAGAAGCGAGAATAGTATTTTGGAGGACAGTTTGACGGCACTTTGCATGCTGCTGGCCCGTTTCGCATGGCCTAACAGGCTCTCAGACCTACAACTCCAGTTCGGCTGGAAGCCAGAGAGGGTTTCGCGTACCGTCAATACTCTATTGGGTATAATACATAATGGGTGGAAACATCTATTGGTTTTTGATGAGCAATGCCTGACACCTGAGAGACTGGCTGCGTACACAGTAGCCATTGCCAGAATAGATGCACCACTTGAGAGCTGTATCGGATTTATTGACGGGTAGATGCGTCAAGTAGCGAAACCGAAACTCGGACAGGAATCCATTTACAACGGCTGGAAAAAAATTCACTGCTTAAAATACCAAGCGATCGTATGTCCTGATGGCATTATTGCACATTTATATGGTCCAGTCGAAGGTGTCAAGCATGATATTGCTATATACAGAGAGAGCGGAATCGAAGATATATTGGAGATGCATGCATGCATATGCACCAGATATGATACCTCTACAGATTTATGGCGACCCCGCATACGGCCTGAACGAGCATTTAATTTCCCATTACAGAGGAATTGATCTTACCGAAGAACAGAAGGCTTTTAATAAAGCAATGGCTAGTATACATATTGTGGTCGAGTGGTGCTTTAAAGAGGTGCTACAACGGTTAATGTTTCTTGATTTGGTACGAACACAACAGACTCTTCTATCACCAGTTGGCTTGCAGTACCCGGTCACTGTCCTTTTGCACAATGCACATGTCTGTCTGCATCGGCCCCAGATATCCCAATATTTTGCTCAAGAACATAATATACAACTCGAGGAAGGCATGGATGATATACCTCAACTCGTCGCATCCCCTACCCTTGAAGAATACTTTCCCTTGGACTGATCGATCCATTTTTTCATCATGTTATTGGTACTGTTCTGCGCCTGTATCAATAACTTTAAACTCTCATTCAAGTTTTTTTGTTCCTCCCGACTTTCCATATCTCTCTTTTCCATATCTTTTCTTATCTCCTCCCGTTTCCTAACCTCAATAGCTTCCTTCCTAAACTCTTCTGCCTTTTGTTGCAAACCGGAAACAATAGTGTCAAGCTGTTTGGTCAATACGTTCTTTGGCGCCTTCGTTGGTTTTCCCATTTCTTTGTCCCGGTCCGAAGCATTTTCTTTTGGTAGCAACACTTTTCTTACCATACCTCTAGAAGACGCAACACGGACAATGCTACCTTTCTCTTTCTTGACCGCTGCCTTCCCTTTTGCATCTCGTTGTATTTTCCTATCAGAGGAAACAGTCTTGAACAGCAAGGATATCTCGTTCAAATTTTCCATAAACTCGTTTACCTCCTCTACCTCCCCAGTCTTCTGTCTCGACAGTTTTTCATTTTGCTTTCACCAAATAAAGTTAGTAAATGTATTGCACAAGTATTAATAGCAATCTCAACATACCCGATGAAGAGTAACAAGCCTATCAATCCTATCCTTACAAGAAATCCAAGTGCGATTGATACCCACTGCCTTGAGATGTTCCGCAACCTTAGTCCATATTTCCTGCTTTGTACCAGTCTTATCGGCAATAGGATCATCGGCAAGAATCTGAATTGCCAAAGCCCGGTCTTCCCAATCACTCCAGGCAATGCCACGAGGCACTCTTGCTTTTCCATCCCCTCTTTCCCCTTCCTTCAAGAGCTCGAGCAACATTGAACTACTATCCCTCCCCCCGCTTGAACTACTATCCCTTCCCACGCTTGAACTACCCGCTCCTCATTTGTAACAGACATTCCCAAGGACTCTCGGCATGCTCGGCGTGCTCGGCATGCTCGGCGTTGAACGGGTGAGAACTGATGAGGAATGGGTGAGAACTGATGAGGAATGGGTGGGAACTGCATCAGAATTAGCATTGAACTTTAGCTTTTATTGAAAGATGAACCTCAGGTATGGATAGGCTGTGAATAATCGGAATAGGTTGTGACTTTAAGAGTTCGTTGTGTTGAGGAACGAAGAGTTCGTGACATGAAGAGTTCGGGTGTGAAGGGTTCGAGGTGTGAAGTATGGGTGATGTTACGATCACCTGGTCCAGCGCAAAGGGAAAGAATAAAAGACTCCGGCACCTGGTTGCAACTCGCCGGATCGATCCGGCGCAAAGGCTCAATTGTCGGTAGCGGCGTTGTGCCTTGTACCTGGGTATGTAACAGGGATTGAAGAGTTCTTGGCAGCGAGTGATGTTCCCTGATTTCATACATATTTACATTACCGCCCGAATGGGTAAAAAAAATAAGCCTTATTTTGAGCTCTAAGACGTAGAAAAGCCTTAAATAAGGCATATGTCTCAAAAAAACAAAAAATAAACCTGTTTTGGGTGAAAGTATGACATTTTGCTCAGCATTATCTCTAAATCAAGCTCTTCTAAGACCTCTTCTGGTATTAGATTTATCGAATAAATAAGAATTAGTAAAATTGGTCAGGATTATAGGCATTTACGGGTGCTAAGGCTGGGTTAGGGTTAGGCACTTAGCAAATATTCAACCGTGTTCTTCCATCCGTTCTTTAATACCCTCCCCTCTACCTCTCTAACACCTCCGTCCCCTCTACTCTCCTAACCATCTCCCCCCCCCCCCCCATCTCTCAATCGTCAAAATTAATATCAAAACATGAGCTAATCAGCGAATCCAGCAGTAGCGAATCCAGCAGCAGCAGCAGCAGCAGCAAATCGAGCACCTAGTCGAGCACCAAATACAGCACCTAATAGAGCACCTAATCGAGCACCAAATACAGAACCAAATACAACACTAAATCGAGCACCCAATGCAGCACCGAACCTAGCATCAAATCCAGCACCAAATCACCCAATTGAACGAACTAGGTCGATGGGCAGGTAGGGAGGTAGGCGTGCAGGTAGGCAGCTAGGTAGGCATGCAGATAGGCAGCTAGGTAGGTAGTCGGGTTGAATAGATTGTCTTAAATCAATCTACATATGAAGTTCGGTATTAATAAAAACTTCATTTCCGAAATTCACTATGGCGAATAAGTGTAAAAGCATACCTATCAGGCTATCATGCTGATCTCACGAATAAACATTATTCAGCCTTATTTTTCAAAAATACCTTAAATAAAACTGATCAAGCCAGTTAAGTCTTAAGATATTTTAAGATTATCAAAACCATAGTCTAATAAGGACCTTGAAAAGAAATAAGAGAAAATCGTCAAAAAAGGCAAATATCATGCTTATATAAGCCTAAAATAAGGCTTAAAAACACCCATTCGGATGTTAAAGTATCTATAGTCTGATACTCTATCTATATATGGCGCGGAGCAGACAACAGGCTAGCTAGATCGGCGTAGTCTGTCTGTTCCAGTACGCCCGCCAGGACCTATAAAGATATCTATAATCCCGCCTGTGCTGTTGCGATTCCGCCCCACGACACGCAGACAGGCAAGTCGTTCCTATGGAGTGACCTCATATGGTGTCTTTTTGTCTCCGCCGGCGCCACACTACCACACCGTCTCACAGGCGGACCATAATGCGGCAGGTAGCCAGCTGGTTAGATTGCATGTAGTGTTCCAATACCACGGGCACACCTCCCCTTGGGGTGGCGGGAGTGCCGTACGCTTTATGTTTGTCGTAGTCATCGTTAATGTCGACGGAACGCGGTGCTGCCGCGTCGCGCTCCCGCAGACACCAAAATGGCCATGGGTGAACGCGGATTCTGTTGATCGATGCCCCACCCCATCCAACCCAACTCACCCCAACCTGCCATACCCGGGCTACCCTCTGTGGGAACCCTATTACAAGCACCCCCCAGTGATTGATAAAAGAGGGGCCTCTTTTGCAGTGGGTTAATGCTATGACACCTCTTTCTTTGCGAAAATCAGCATTTCATATGTCATCATAGCTCATCACTCAGTCCATAGGCTATCTGGGTAAATGTTTACTTACACCCAACACAACCCGTTGACAGTTTGGGGCTCACCCAACCCTACCGAACCTACTTTACCCTGGTGCGTACACATCACTCGTTGCGGGGTCTGCGCCCCCGATAATGATCGATATCCGGACATGGTGTTGTTATAGGTGGAATCGGCAATCGGTTGCGGATGCAGCCAGCTGCGTTGATCAACTAGTACTTTCTCCTTCGCAGCCGTTGAGTTTCAGTGTTGTACAGCGGTAGGTAATAAGTGATGGAACGCCCTGAGACACAGTGATACCTGTTTTAGGTAAAACGCCACCAACATACGGTGTTTGCAGGTATAACTGTACCTCAGGGCGTTCCATCACTCATTACCTCCCACTGTACTCCAAGAGTCTGAAATTGGTGTACCGATGCGACGCAAAACGAAGCAGAAGTAGACAGCCAGGTCAACACCCTCCCCGCGGACAATAGGGCGACGACATCGAAGTCATCCAACTCCCGCACTTTTATTTTCCTTGTTGGAAATATATCACAGCCTATCATGGATTTGAGGGGGGGGGGGGGTGGTCTTGATAACAAACCCCCACCCCTCGAGCCCCCCTCGTTGTGTTTCCATGGCCTTTGAAATTCGCGCGCTCCGTTGCTGGATGTCGGTTGACTTGTAATTACCTGTTCACCACACTAGCCGCATATGGCTAGCCCGATGGTACAGTACGTGATCATGCGCTGTCACTCGATCATAGTTCAGCACTCGATCATAGCGCATCACTCGATGGCGGCCAAAAAACAACAAAGCTTGTTTCTTTAATAACGACAAAGCGTTCTAGGTAAGTAACCCAGTGTGGAGGAGGTATGGAGTGTATGGTGGAGGCCGTAGACATGGTGTGGCAGGACCCTGTTCAGCACCTACATAACTACATATGCAGGTACGGCGCCCGATGATGATATCCGCTTGCGATATCAACAGAAAGAAAAAAAAAAAAAAAAAGAAAAAAAAAAACAACCCGCTAGAAATTGAAAAAGGTTTATTAGGAGATATTAAATATTACTATTATTTAGTGCTACTACCATTTCCAATCCTCAAAATTCTCATCTACTTCGATAACATCAACCCCTCGGCACAGCCACCCCGCTGCGCAGCGCCAGGAATCTCTGCCGGATGATATCAGAATATTACTTGTTCACATGGGCAGAACCAAAGCTGGTGATCGCTCGCCCCGGCTTGTCAGCAAGAAGCTCAAACGATATGCATCAGAGGAGCTCTGTGGCTGGTGTGGCTGGTACATACATTTATGCATACGGTTGAAGTTCATGCAGCCAAGAACCCACAAACAGAGGGTGTGGCGTGCAACTCGGCTAGCTCAATTGGCCCTTATCGCCAAGACCTGGATTCTCGAGCCACAGCGCAATAAAAGACTTCCCTTCGTGAATTACGTGTAGCTATATATTGTGGTTTGGCACTAGCTCGCTTCCCATCGCGAGGTCCAACAAGTGCGGCAATAGCCAAACAAACACATGATAGCGCGTCCAGATGGCTCTTGAGAGGGTCTTCTGTAACCTTGCTCTTCCTCGGCCCTAGCCCCGGTTGTGGCTGGTGGTAAATCTTTACAGCCTTCCTTTCGTCAACAGTCGATTACTTACATAAGAACACAGAGCTTTCTTAATACAACGAGATCCGCCTCTATCTTCCGGACATATCCCTTAAGCTGGCAACAAATGCCGACCCCTCAAAAAAAGCAAATTTTTATGTGGCTTTACTAACAGATCCTGTTATCTCTCTTATCAAGTAATAGATCTCCTATACAAATCTAGTTCCTCTGTTATCGGGGGGTCGGCATGCCAGCTTAAGGGATACAGCTCACTCAACGCAGCACCCACCACGTCGCCCAGCTCTCCCCTAACATAACCCCACAGCCATCGCCGCGAAAGGATCTGAGCAGCTTATCTCATTACCGTAATTTTCGATCTAATATCTTTAGGGAAAGCGTAGATTGGGTGGTCTCTTATTCATTAGTCAGAGAAGAGGAGAGATGTGGCGGGAGAGAGTGGGGGTGGTCAAGGCGGGAGAATTGGGGGGTGGGAGACTTCTTCTTTCGGTTCCTTCTGCATCCGGCTACTCATCTCATTTGAGAATTAAATTCACGTGTTATTACTCTACTTGTGAATTATCATGAAAACCATTTATTACCGATCGAATGAGGCGCGTTTCCTACTCTACTAAACGCCCTATTAAGGTATGGGCTGAATAATATATATGTAGTACCGAATAATAGTATTTGATAATACGGAATACGCAATTAATGGGTCTTGGAAATCGTGTGTGAACGTACAGAAGTTTCATGGTGCATCATTCACCAATTGAGGAAAAAAGTAAAGATAACTCATAAACATTTTTTTTGCCTTTTCAATATCGTTGCTAAGAAAAAGAAATCAAAAAATCAAAAGAAATCATCATCACAACGTTAACAAGATTCATCACAAGAGCACTATAGGAAAACCACGCGGCACCAGCAGACCTCCATGATCGATCGACTCCTCCTCCCGGCCCCACCCTTGAAACCAACCTCAGTGTTCCGGACATGCAATCTGGGGATCCACGGAAAGGATAGCGGTAGCGAGTTACACCTCCTGGCCCTCACTGATCCCGTAGGGGGCGCGCTCCTTTGTAACATCGTACAGATTCTCGGGCTCACTGTATTCAGGGAGTTCTCTATCGCTGTCCGGAACATCCGCGACAACATACGAGACACCAATCTTGAGCCCCCGCACAGCTTTTTCCGGGATCTTTCCACTTGGCAATTGAACCCTCCAAGCCAAGTGTTCCTTCAGGAAGCCCCTGACATGCTCCAGCTTCATGCTCTTCAGCTTTGGACAGGCGGGATCAGTGTTAGTGTCGCCAAGACATTCCACCAGTGCGAGGTTCAACGGGATAGAGCCTGTGACGATAACGTCCTCGGCCGCACCGTCTCTGCAATTCTCGCAGGAAGTAGTCTCGATGTTGCTGGCGAAGACATCGAAGGAACCAGCAAGATATCTATCGTTGATCGGCTCGTATTCGACTGGAGGAATAGCACCGACATAGAAGCAGACACTGAAGCAGTCCTTGAGAGCGTATTTCGGAACGCTAACATCGGCCTGGTACCTAGATCATATGGTGTGACATGTCAGTGAGGTGGTCCAAGGCAAGTAAGTAGTAAGTATGTTTGTTTGTTTCTGCTTTGGGGGGGAGGGGGGGTCCTCACTTGTAATGGAGAGCGCGTTTAACGTCAGCCGGACTGCCGGCGGGGTTGGGCAGCCCCCATGATGTTGCCTGCTGCTGGGTCGGGTTTGCTGACATGTTCAAGATGCTGGAGGTTTGATGCCCGGCAAAGGCTGTGGAGGCGCTGTTGTTGTTGTTGCTGCTGTTGTTGTTGCTGTTGCTGCTGCTGCTGCTGCTGCTGTTGTTGTTGTTGTTGTTGTTGTTGTTCGCGCTGCCTCCTGGCGGTGGTGGTGGTGGTGGTTTTCCTCTCCGCCTCGCCGCTGCGGCTTCTTCCTTTGCCTCCTCCGCTCGCACCAATCCTTCCTCCCGTCGCGCTACTGCATCATCCCCCTCCGCTGCTGATTCCGCCGGTCGTGGATCTGCCCGCACCAGCTTTGCGACCGCCACTCGCCCTCTTGCCTTCGCCACTCGCGCGGTGAAGTCCGCCACCCGCCCCAGTCCCGCCGCCACTCGCGCTTTTGATTTCGCCGGGGGTGCTGCTGCTGCTGGGTCCGCCGCCACTTGCTCTGCTAAGCCCGCCGCCCGTTCTACCGCGCCCGCCGCCCGCTCGATTGCGCTCGCCGCTTGCACTACCGCGCCCGCCGCTCCCGGGACCACGTCCGCCTCTTGCTCTTGCGCTTGCGCTACTGCGTCCGCCGCGCCCAAGACTTCGACCACCGCTTGCTCGACCTTGTCCGCCGCATCCACTGCTGCCTGAGCCGCTTGCCCTGTCACTTGCTGCGCTCTCATTTTTGCGGCCGCCACCCGCGCTCTTGCGGCCACCACTCGCGCTCTTGCTCGCCGCCGCTCGCGCTTTTTCAATCGCCGCTTCCTCGTCTGCTTTCGCCGCTCGTGCGTCTGCCTCCGCCGCTCCCGCTGCTGTCTCTGCGTCTCGCGCTTCTGCCTGCGCCTGTCGCCCTGCTGCCGCATTCCCTCCCGCTTTTGCCTGCGCCTCCCGCGCTTTTGCCTCCGCCACACTCGCTTTTGCCTGCGCCACAAGCGCTTTTGCCTCCGCCGCTCGCGCTGCTGGGTCCCCTGCTTGCCCTGATCTTCCCGCCGCTTGCGCTGCTGCGTTCGCCGCTTCCGCTGCTGCATCCGCCGCTTGCGCTACTTCATCCGCCGCTTGCGCTGCTTCCTTCGCCGCTTGTGCTGCTGCGTCCACTGCTTGCTCTTCCAGGCCCGCCGCTTGCGCTACTGTGCCCGCCGCTTCCTCTGCTGCGTGCGCCGCTTGCACTGCTGCGTTCCCCGCCGCTACCGCTGCTACGTTCGCCGCGTCTTGCGCTGCTAGGTTCTGCGCTCGCGCTATTGCTTCCGCCACTCGCGCTCCTGCCTCTGCCACTCGTGCTGCTACCTCAGCCGCTCGCGCCGCTGTTTCCGCTCCTCGCGCTGCTGCAGCCGCGATTTGCGCTGCGGCCGCCGCCTGCGGTGCTGGGCCCGCTGCTTGCGCTGCTGCGTTCGCTGCTTGCTCTGCTGCGTTCCCCGCCGCTACCGCTGCTGCGTCCGCTGCTGCTGGGCCCGCCGCTCGCGCTGCTGCTTCCGCGACTCGCGCCGCTGCCTCTGCCACTCGTGCTGCTGCCTCCTCCCCTCGTGCTGCTGCCTCCGCTTTCCCCGCTGCTACTTTCGCCTTTCGCGCTTCTGCTCTCGCGCCTGCCTCCTCCACCACTATCTCCGCCCCTTGCACGTATGACCCGTACAAACGCTGAATCGCCGCGAGAACATGTTGAACCCTTTCACCAGGTACTTGTTCTAGAGCAGCGGCGGCGAGCTCGCTGTAGGTGCTGTTGAATGTTGTGTGGTCACGGATGTCATCGGAGTTAAACACTCCGTCTAGAGGCTCAGGCCTCCTGAAGGGTACAAGGTCTAGATCGGGTATTATGAGCTACTCGAAACAACGTCACGTATAGATTGGAAGGAACCTACCGCTATCAAGACCATTGTCCATGTATGTATTGGGGTGCACTGCTTGCCACATGGCGAAAAGACGCTCGATGTTGCAGTGGTGAAGCCAGAAAATGGGGTCGAAAGCAGCAACTTCGACGTAGTGCTATATTATATATATATTAGCAGCAGTCAGGTATATATTTTCTTATATGGAAGGAGTGTTGATGGATTGTACCATGTGTCCATCACCACCAATGTATACGTGCCCACTGTCGTGAATGCTCTCCACTGACTCATGAGCCCCACGCACGGGAGGATCGTCAGGATTGAGAGCAGGACGCCAACTGGTGGCGAGCCTATCGAAGTTGACTTCCTGGAACATATTACGCAGTCTCGCGGGAAGCCTGGCCGGAAACAGGAATCGTATTAGAAATAGTACCCGGTTTACAAGGGTCAAGAGTGGTCTGTATGTACCCTCTAGCAAGTAATTCCAGTCTTGTCTTGACCGATCGAGCTGGGTTCGCAGCGTGTGGATGACGATGAGTAGCAGTGGTCATGTCGTTGAGGTCACCCTGGAATATCGCTTGAGCGTTACTAGGACGATCTCCATTCAATGGGGATGGAATTCCTCACCCGGATATCAGCTGGATTAGGGGCGGCCGCTTGAGGAGGGAAATTGTATTTAAACAGTGGATTCGGGATTAGCTCCAGGGTTCCATTGGGCGCAGAAGGAACCACAATTTCTTTCGATCCGAGGACGATCCTAGGCGGGGGGCCAGGGAGTGCAAGATCGAGATACCTACCTTAGCTTAGAATTGTCCGCTGCACAAGAATCTTGGGAGGCGAGTACTTACGGGGCGCGAAATGTGGGCAAGAGTGCGGTGTAGGTCGTCTTGAGAGGTTCATTGAAAGCTTGAACAGCCTCCCAGACATTATCACGCAGACATTGCTAAAAAGCCCAGGATATCAATACCTAGATGCACCTATGTATGGTCATAAGAAGACTAGCTGCAAGGCATACCTCAAACAGCGCGACATATGGACGATGCCAGGTTGGGAAGCGATTAGTTGTGTGAACACAGTACCCAGGTTCTGGCCCTGGTCCTCCTGCCAGTTCGAAACCGTCCCACGCTTCGTCGGGGAGTCCATGGATTCCAGAGGTCTGGTACCAGGAGCGGGGATCGTTTACAGGTTTTGCTTGCATTCTTGCGAGACCGAGGATGTACATATTTCGAAGATGTTCGTTTTCGGGGAGCACGAGTTCTCGAATTTCGAGACGGACACCACCAGCGCCCGCAACTCCGGTAATAGTGACGGCCATGTTTCCGGGTGATTTGAAGAGAGGGTTGAGTTATCAAGGTTAGGATGATGCGAGATTGAAGTGGGGGAGCTGAATATTTATAACCAAATTACGCGCTCGTGGGTAGGGGAGGTTGCACAATGCTAACGAATGAAAATCAAATTAATATCAAAATTATCTATCACAGAATTTGGGACTATTATAGGTGCAACCCATCAAGGATGAAGGCCCAAAGCCTTGTATGCAGTAGCAATCAATCAATCAATCAAGGCCCAAAGCCTATTCTGCTCATATCCTTTACTCGCCAAATGGATCTGGTTTCTGGGGGTCCAGCGACACGGGAGATCCGATACCACCTCAAAGTGAAAATCATTTCACATGCTATTTGATTCTCTTGCTAAAACTGGTAATATGGCGAACGGACCCGATCGACGATTGGAAACTTCTTGTAAGCACACCATTTCATACCACCATCTACTCAAACATCTCCCAAGCAATGAGCTCAGGCGGTCACATCAGAAACCGCCGACATGCCCAGTTGCATTGTTAGACTTTTGTGTCGGCCTAACAGAATGGTCTGGAGCCACATAAATCCCCTAGAGGGGGGTGAGATATATTTCATAAAGATATTACTTTTTCAATAGACAAGGCTACAAGGAGTGCTGCAATATTCAATAGAGGTATATTGATGAGTGGCCCTGAGACACTAGTACGCGGCCCGGAATACTAAAATATTAGCGGGCATGATACCCTACTCGGTAAGAAGGAGCACAATCGCTGAACAGATGTGCTAACAATGCGGGGGTTGGTGTAATAGTGTAAATAGAGCAGCGGAAGGTTTTGTAAACTTCACAAACGCTTTGGGAGCCGCCAATCAATTCAAGGGACTGCACGGCCCATTACCCAATCGATTTTAGGCTCCGGGTTACCGGTGATATCTTCTGTCTTCCGGATATGACACCGCCTCTCCTCCAATGGGTATGCCGTTTGCTTCCCTATACAGAGGGGAGGTAAGGGTGGGGAAGGCGAAATACGTAACATATCACTCAAACACTACGACCACATTGATTGAAAGATAGTTTTAGTGATGGAAATCGACAAGATCATGAGACCTCTTTCCAATAACAAACAAGTTCATGATGATACACTTCTTCCACATCATTCTGCGGAGTTTAGGAGCTAATGGTTTCGTGATGTTTGTACTTAATAGGTTATTTGGGCTATGACTGCCTTGAATGAGGCCAAAACCGGGCACACAGTTGGACAACAGTCTGCTACGAACACTTACATACAATTACAGCCAATGTCAATACGATAAAGAGGGAGCGGACTAGCTGATGTAGTACCTTATATGTTGATTACTATCTTGATTGATGATCGTTCTAAGAGGGGTCCCTCTCTCTCTCTTATCCTCGTCCTAATGACACGCTTATGATACAACTCTCTATGTGGCCTAATGCCAAGACACACGTGACAAGACCAACATACACACTTCTCGCTTGTACCTGCAACTAGCGCCCGCATACTCTCCATATAATACACGGATACCACAGCTGAGCTTGAGTTAAAGAGGGGCAGCAAGGTTGGGCGGGGCAGATGTGGTCGAAGGATAGGGCCTATAAAGCATGTCGGGGGAATACTCTTGGTGAAAGGTATAAAATACCGCCATAACTCGAAAAATTGGCTAGATCAAAATTACTTGTACGGGAAACTTCTGGTGCAGATCGATGCCATTCAACCAATCACTCAAGTGGTAATCCCTGGACGGAGATAGCCAATTTTTCGAGTTTTGGCGGTAAACAAGTGTTTCCATTCTTGCAGGCGTTGCCATGCAGCTAGTGCCAGGTGAACGTTTCATCGCCAATGCAGGGTCAGTCGCTTTTGGACTAGTTGCTCGCTGATCAAAGCCAGAGCAAACCATACTTTATTCGATGAATATGCTAAACACGGCAGCAATTAATTTAGTAAGGTAGAAGGTATGATATTAAAACTACGGTTATATTATAGACACCTGATTCAACTTGGGGGCGAGGTTCACCTAATGGTTTTGGTCTGGGCCGTAGTAGATGGGGAGATCTCCGACCCCCTTGCCCCCGAAGTGGCCGCTTGCAGCTCTCACTACACCATTGATCGACCATACCCTTGGGTCATCTCAGAATATCCAACCCACGATGGTGCGCAACTAGTAGTCGACATACCTCAAAATTAGATATCACTATCACTGGTGGAGCTACCGAATTTGAAGGGGCCAAATAGTGCACCGTACATCCGAAAAAAACGATACACCATCTTCAGCTCTGAGAGTAGAGACAATGATGCACTTCTATTCAGGTTTCACACCATTGACAAAGTGGCCGCTCAAAGGTTGGTATCGAAAGGGATGCGATATCTCCTTCGATATCCCCAGCTAGTACTCTTTGCTTCCTCTGTTAAAATTCATCTAAGAACTGTTGATACCTCGCGCGATAAGCTCTAGATGCGAGAATTGCATCCCTCAACCCGTCAACTTATTGTCGAAGGTTTACGATAACCGAACGCTATGACATACTCCACAGAATTTTCAGCTGGTCGATGGCCAGATGAACTCTATGTTGCATGACTAGCGTACGATAGCTCAGTTCACTTTGAAAGGTGAGTGTGTCAACTTGAGTTCTCATTGGTCGAAATCGACCCTCAGCCCAAGTCGACACCCACTCTGCAGGAACAAGCTTTAACCGAGGCTTGGCAGCGCAGCTCTACCGGTACCACTACCAGGGCTCGCTCTGAGACATTGTAAGTGGAGTAGCGACAAGGCTGCAAGAGGTTTTACATAGACTGACGTGTGGCAATCCCAGGATCTAGATCTGCCAACCTTTAGGAGTGTGGTCACCGGGGTAGTACCGGAAACCATGCTTCTAAACACTCATTGGCTACTTGCTTCTTCTCCGACAGTTGCTGCGTCGAATCGTACAAAGCATCCGGATAACAAACACAATGGGAAATATGTAGGGGACAGAAATTAGGCAAGCCTGATGACCTTCTGACCCGAGGAACGATTCCTCAGGTGCCACCATGGACCGGAGGTGGTCGATCAGCAACTCCATCTGCACACGAGTACGCAGAATGTTTATTGAAGCATCAGTCTTAATCGTTTCACATACCCTAGCCAAGTGCTAACTAGCTGCTACCCGGTACGCTCTGGCCAATGCAATTTCTGTCAGATATCCAGATACAGTGTTCAATTCGGATGTCTTTGTTATAGTGCATCATCAAGCACCAAAAAGTAGGTGGTGCTTTTACGTTACGTCATTCCTTGTGTCTTATCAAAATGTTCACTACCTCCTACTAGGCTGGAGGGGGAAGTGCATTTAGCCAATTTCTCAAAATATTTCGTTCGAGATATTATTCTACTTTGTGTTATGATAGTTTCTTTCACTAAGAGTTTCGTGAGAAACTGTCTGCCACTGCTTCCTCTAGGAACAATAGCAGGATCTGTGGCGAGCACATGGAGATTGAGATGGGGGACTCGGAGAGTAGAATAGTAGACATTGAATTTATGATAGCTTAAGCTTAGAGATAATGTATGTAGAGAAGTGTAGTAATTGAGCGTGTTATTCCAACTAACTAGAGAAGGGGAAATACCCCATATTTATACTAAAGAAAGGTAACACAGAACATAGTAAACCATAACCGTATAAGTAATAGAAAAACATGACTAATAAATGTCAAGGAAAGAGTGAGTCAAAAACCCGTGACTCATAATGACAAATGAGAATCCTCCAATACTATGAAATGTGCTGAGCGTACTATTTCAAGACTTCCCCTCGTAAGCCACAGTGAATAGTAGAAGAAAATAAAACATGCTTGCCCTTATCCAATCTCTTTGTAAGTAAATCCGCCACGTTTTCGTTTGTAGAGATATATTCCAACTCAAACAATTTATCCTCGTATCGTTCCCGAACAAAATGAAAATGCACATCAATATGTTTAGACCTTTTATGAAAGACAAGATTTTTAACCAAGGACAAAGAGCCATTATTATCACCGCGAAGAATAAAAGAAAGTTTCGGTTTCCGTTCCAACTCATGTATCGCATTCCTTAACCAGATCAGTTGTCGACTGGTGTCCGAAAGAGCCATATACTCTGCCTCAGTAGTAGAGGTGGCGACGGAGCGCTGCTTATAAGAACGCCAGGAGATAAGAGCTTCCCCTAGCATAAAGCAGTGGCCAGTGAATGAGCGGCGATCGTCGATATCAGAGGCATAGCTTGCGTCACTGAAGCCGATGAGTGCAGTGGGTGGCGTTTTTGCGTAGAAGAGTGACCAATCGAGGGTACCCTTGAGGTAACGAAGGACGCGATGGACTGCAGCCAGGTGAGCTTTAGTGGGGCAGGAGGAGAATTGCGAGAGCATGGTGACAGTGTAGGCGAGGTCCGGTCTGGTACCAATTACTACATACATTAATGAACCGATTATCGACTGATAGATTGTTGGATCGTCGATTTTCTCCGCTTCTGTTCCTTTTTGTAGGTGAACATTGTTGTCGATGGGTGTTGCCACAGGTCTAGATTCATCGAAACCGTATTTGATAAGTACACGCTTAAGATAGGCTTCCTGTGATAGGATCACGCCAGTCTTAGTGTGGATCAAGTGGATCCCGAGTGCCCAGTTGGCTGTGCCAGTTTCCGTCATTTCGAATTCTGCGTGGAGTTGGAGACTGACGCGGTTTTTGCTTTCAACGGACCAGTAGAAGATAAGGATATCGTCTACGTAGATGGCGATGACAACTTCCCCTGTTTTATGAATAAAAACAAAAGGGTCGAAGTCCGCTTTTCTGAATCCCATTTTGATTAGCGTTTTGGAAAGACGAGCATACCATTCCCGAGATGATTGTTTGAGGCCATAGATGCATTTGATAAGTCTGCATGCTTTGCCGGGAGTAGGGTAGCCAGGTGGAGATTTCATATAGATTTCTTCCTGGAGTTCGCCATATAGGAAAGCGCTAGTAACGTCCATCTGATCGCATTGGCCGCCGGTTTGAAGGCAGCGAGCAAGAAGTACTCTGATGGATTCGTATCGGGTGACGGGAGCGTAAGTCTGATCAAAGTCTTGACCAGGTACCTGTGAGAAACCTTTTGCGACAAGTCGGGCTTTGTACCGAATGGGGTTGCCATCGGGCCCGAGTTTGATTTTATATACCCATTTGTAGTCGACCAATTTTCGGTAATCTGGTGTGTCAACCAGATTCCATGTATTATTCCTAGCGAGTGAGTCGAGTTCAACTTCCATAGCCTTTTGCCATTTTTCGGAGTCAGGACTGTTGATCGCTTGGTGATAGTTTGTTGGTTCTGCAATGGTGGTATCATACTGAATGTTGTATCCGTATCTGACCGGAGGTTTCCGTTCCCGTACTGGGTTACGTCTCGGTTGATTAGTGTCTGTATCAACATCATTGTGCGGGGTAGGTTCAGGAGCGTCTTCTTCTTCTTCTTCAGATTCGTCGTTGGAAATTTGTTCCATAGTTTCTCGAAGCATTTGTTGGTTAATCTCAAGGGGGCGAGTAGCGAGGGTTCCGCAGGGTACGAAGAGTGTAGTAGAGGACGGTATGGGAACTCGCAATAGGGGTCCTAAAGGACTCTAGCGTTGGTAATGGTCGACGGAACAAGAGGAAGCGAGGCGGTGGTCTTCTTGAATAAAGAAGAGAATAATAATATTATGTAGCAATAGACAGCGTAGATACAGAAGACGTTGCGTAGTAAAAGAAAGAGAAGAAAAAGAACAAGAAACGAAAGCAAAAACCCCTTAATATACCCAAGGAAATCCTAGCGATGACAAATCCAAAGTGACTCACACACTTACGACACACGGAACCCAACAGAACCAAATAGAACCCTCCTGACTAATCCAACTCCTCGTAACCCAATGTATTCACTAGTCGATCCATGAAAGTAGCCCCCCCCTTCAAACGCGAGCTCCTGCGAGCCTTAACCTTAATTTTCCCTTCCAATGGTCCAGGTTTATCGGGGTAACGTATATGGAAGACATCAATGGCGGCGGTATTTTCGTGATATGCGGCGGGCTCCCAGGTGGGGTCGGTATAGCCGGTCCACTTAACAAAGTATTGCAGGCCTTTATTCCTCGTTTCCCTCGAGTCCAAGATTTCCTCAACGGCGTACTCCTCTTCCTGTTCAACGATAATAGGCGGGGGTGATGGTTGAGTTTGCCCCGGGACGGGGTCATTTGCAGCGGGGTTTAGCAACGATACATGGAAGACGGGGTGCACCTTCATGCTCCTAGGCAGGTCGATTCGGTACGCATACGGCGATATGATTTCCTTGACGGGGAATGGTCCCAGTTTCTTCCAGTCCAACTTCCGAGAGTTACGGGTGGTTCGGATGTTTTTTGCTGAAACGAACACCATGTCGCCAATGTCGTACTGTGGAGCCGGCGTTCGTTTGGTATTGACGGCCTGTTCTTGTTGGTCTTGCGCCGTACGGATATTGGAACGTAGGTATTCGTGGAGTTCTTTCATCTTCAACGCAAAATTTTTTGCATTAAGGCTTGGTGGGGTCTTGTCAAGCGGTTTAATCGTCACTGTGAACCAAGGGTGGAAACCATAGTTCGCGAAGAATGGTGTGGCTTTAGTAGACACGGAGACCTAATTATTGGCAGAAAATTCTGCCATAGGGAGCCATTTTACCCAATCGTCCTGTTGGTAAGAGACATACCCACGTAGATATTGTTCCATTACGGCGTTCAGCCTTTCAGTTTGACCGTCGGTCTCCGGGTGGAAGGCGGTAGACATTCTTGCTTCGATGTTGAGGTGTTTACAGAGAGCCCTCCAGAACTTGGCTGTAAATTGCGTACCGCGGTCGGAGGTGACATGTGTGGGTAGTCCGTGGAGCTTCCATATATTCCGCAAGTATAGTTGGGCGACATCTTCGGAGTTGACAGTGGTATTACAGGGCAGGAGATGTCGCATCTTTGTTAACCGGTCAACAACCACCATAATCGCATCGTACCCTTCGCTCTCCGGTAGGCCAGTGACGAAGTCCATTGATACCTCCTGCCATGGTTGTTCGGGAATTGGTAAAGGTCGAAGTACGCCGAGTTTTCCATGGGTGTTGGGTTTGCTTCGTTGAGAGGTGTGGCAGTTCCGAACATAGCGGTCAATATAATTCCGCATAAGGGGCCAGTAGTAGTCTCGACTGATAAGTTCGAATGTTTTTTCGCGTCCAGGGTGTCCGGCGGGGATCGCGTCATGGTAGAGTTGGAGGATTCGGAGCTTGAGAGGGTCGTAGTCGGGTACATATATGCTGCATCGGTAAAGCAACCGGCCTTCAACTTCGGTACATTCGGCAAGTGATATGTTCTTTGATTGTCGCTCGCCTTTGTTCCGCATATCCAGTATCCTTTGTGGAAACGGGTCGGAGCTATATCCTTCGTCGAATAGACTATTCAGTGAGGCGTTCTTTTCAGCAGGTTCATTTGAAAAAGAACCCGCCAACAAACTTAGCTTTACGTCAAGATTCTCTTTCTTCAATACAACTTGACTCTGGTGTAATTGTCTTTCATCCCCCTCTCCAGGGAGATCTCCTGATCTTCTTGTCAACGCGTCCGGTTTCCCTCCTTGTTTCCCTGGTCGGTACTTAATGACAAAATTAAACCGTGATAAATACTCCGCCCACCGGGCTTGTCTCCGGTTGAGTTGTTTCGTACTCATAAAGTATTCGAGATTCTTATGGTCAGATATGACGGCGATTGGGTGTGCAGCCCCTTCGAGTTCCGGTCGCCATTCCTCGAAGGATCGAATAATCGCCAGTAATTCCTTGTCGTATATCTCGTAATTACATTCGGCGGGGGAGTGCTTTTTTGAGAAGTATGCGACGGGCCGAAGGGTACCATTATCATCGTATTGGGAGAGTACACCGGCAGAGACATAGTCAGATGCATCGGTTTCCACGGTAATTTCTTTCTCTGGGTCGAAATGGGTAAGGATGGGAGCGGTGGTAAAGGCTTCTTTCAAGGCGTTGAAGGCAGTTTGAGCTCTGGATGTCCATTCGAACAATGTGTCCTTGCATGTCAGTCTGGTAAGGGGGGAAGCAAGTTCCGAGAACCCACGTATAAATCGGCGGTAAAAATTAGCGAACCCTAGAAATGCTTGCACATCCTTAACTGTTTTGGGGACTGTCCAAGTCTTCACTGTTTCCACTTTCCTTGGATCCATTTTAATGCCATTGGGTTCGATGATGAGGCCGAGGTAGGTGGTGCTTTGTGTATGAAATTCGCATTTCTCTGGTTTCAGCAGTACTCCATTTCTTTGAAGGGCTTCCAAGACCTTTTCGACGTGTACTTGATGTTCCTCGAAGGTGTCGCTGTAGATGAGAATATCGTCGAGATAGGCTGTACAGAACATATCAAGGTAGTCACGGACGCAATCGTTAATAAAGTGTTGGAAGGTGGCCGGCGCATTGGTAAGGCCAAAGGGCATCACCGTATATTCGAAGTGTCCGTAACTCGTACGGAAGGCTGTTTTCCATTCCTCACCCTTAGCCATTCGGATCTGGTTATACCCTTGGCGAAGGTCAAGCTTGGTGTACCACTTGGCTTTGGAGAGGCGGTCGAGAGTTTCCCGGATGAGTGGCAGCGGATAGCGGTTTTTTACCGTAAGTTCGTTGAGGCCACGATAATCGACACAGAGGCGGAGTGTTCCATCGGCTTTTTTCACAAATAGGACGGGGGCACCGGCAGGTGAAGAACTGGCCTGAATAAAGCCTTTTTGGAGGTTGTCCTGTATGTATTGCTTAAGCACGATGAGCTCCTCATGGGATATACCATAAAGTGGCCCAAACGGGGGTTCTTTTCCCTCCTTGAGCGGTATTTTATGGTCATAGGGGTGGCGAGGCGGCATCTCGTTAGCGAACTTCTCGTCCATCATCTTATGGAACCTCTTATATCGGGTTGGGACTCGGTTCCTCCAGTCTTCCTTAAGGGGCTCGCCCATCGCTTGGTCTATTTCCTTGATAGTTTTGCTGAAGATTTGGAGCTTGTCCCTCTGAGCGACGCGGCAGAGAGCAGCTGAACTGACGAGGTGGAAACGGGGTGGTGGTGTGATCCCCCTAATGGGAACGGGTATGGCAGGGGAGTTGCACTTACGCTTACAGTATTCGGAGTCGAACAGTATACTATTGTCCTTAAACGGTAATGTAGCATCGTGTAATTGGAGCCAAGGGATTCCGAGTACAAGTGGGTATGAACCGAGTTTGGTGACGAAGGAGGGGATAGTTTCATGGTGGGAGTCGATTGATAACGGTAGGTAGCAGAGGTGGGTAATTTGTCCGGGGGATATGGGCCGTCCATCGATGACTTCGAGAGTACGGGGTGATTTGAGGGGAAGAAATGGGAGGTTGTTATGGCGCGCGAATGTTTCATCAATGAATGCGAACCCGGAGCAACCGGTATCAATCAATGCGTAGGTTTGAATGGGTATTTTATTGTTTACAATTTTACACGAAGCAACAAAATGATCACCATCCAATTTATCCTCCACAGACGATACCGAGAAGCCAGAGATAGAGAACGCAGACAAAGGAGAAACATTAGAAGGTCCCGGGCAGGGGCCATTAGTCAAGCCCGGGACTACTGAAAACCCGACTCAGAAGAGGCAGGACTAGCGATCGGTGGGGCAGCGGGGTCGGCGGCGTTATGAGCGGGTACGTGAAGGGCACCCCTCATAACTAGTTAATTACCACGCGGGCGATTGGCAGAGGGGCAGTTGGCGAAGATATGGCCAGGGTTGGCGCAGTACATACAAAGGTTGTTGTCCCTTCGCCATTGTTTTTCGGCGGCAGAGGTTTTACGTTGCCCATTGACGAAGGTGTATCGTTGTTCGACGGCGGGACGTTGAGCGGGATGGGCTTGGAAGGCAGAGAGGTCCATGGGGGCGAGGCCTCCGGCTGTGTGAGATGGGTGTGCGACAGCGGCGGGGGCGGTGAATTGTCCCATCGTATTCCGAATAGCCCGTTGTTCAGCTTTACGGCCCCGAACCTGGTTGTCAATTGTCATCAACATGGTAGCATATGCCTCGACGGTGTTAGGCGTGTCTGTCCGGTATGTCATGGCGTCCTTCAGGTCTTCCGACAGTCCTTCGGCCAGGGCATCGATCTTGGCTCCCTCGTTGTAGTCCAGGTATGCCACAATACGGAGGAACTGCGAGTAGTAGGTGGCAAAGTCCCCCTTGCCTTGCTTTAGGACGACGAGTTGACGACGGGCGGTACCCCGGGGGTCTGGATCTCCAAACGAGGCTTCCAGGTGGGCAACAAAGGCAGTAACGGAGGAGAAGGGGGCGGCAGGGTTAGCGTTAACGAGTGGAACAACCTGGTCAAGGGCCCTTCCTCCCAAGCGACTGACGGCATAAATGACCTTTGCTGCCTCGTTTCGGAACCGATCGTGATTGACTTCAAGTTTCATTCGAAGTTGGGTGGTAAATCCGGGGAGCTTGGTACGGGTGCCATCGAATTTTTCGGGGTCTGGAAACTTTTCGGACCTGAAGGCGGGGACAGTAGCAGGTGGGGGAGCAGCGGCAACGGGGACAGCGACGGTAGGGGCGGGGGCGGCACGGGTGACATTGAGGTCGAGGTTGAGCCGGGTTACCTGCTCCTCGAGGTTGTCAATGGTTTCATTGGCGGCGGTTAATTGTGTATGAAGGGTATCCCTCTGGAAGCGGACGCGCTGGACAAGGGCGGCGATGTTGTTGAATAATTCGGTAGAGCCGGCCTCATACTGCTGCCTGAATCCTTCTACGTCGTTGGGTGGGGCACATGCAGGTGGGTCGGGGGTGGCCATATCGTACGGTGCGGATGATGACGCAACGTAATCTCAAGGGGGCGAGTAGCGAGGGTTCCGCAGGGTACGAAGAGTGTAGTAGAGGACGGTATGGGAACTCGCAATAAGGGTCCTAAGGGACTCTAGCATCGGTAATGGTCAATGGGAGAAGAGAAAGCGAGGCGGTGGTCTTCTTGAATAGAGAAGAGGACGATAATATTTTATAGCAATAGACAGCGTAGATACAGAAGACGTTGCGTAGTAAAAGAAAGAGAAGGAAAAGAACAAGAAACGAAAGCGAAAACCCCTTAATATACCCAAGGAAATCCTAGCGATGACAAATCGAGAATGACCCACACGCTTACAACCCGCAGAACCCAATAGAACCAAATAGAACCTTTCTGACTAATCCAACTCCTCGTAACCCAATGTATTCACTAGTCGATCCATGAAATCAAACTAATATAACAATATCATGTCACAGGATTTCCATACCAAAGAACTGGTTTTTGGTGAATGATGGGATAGTTGACGGAAATAGTATGGACTGTATTTCATGGATCGATTAGATAATACCTTGGGCTATGAGGAGTTGGATTAGTCAGAAAGGTTCTATTGAGTTCTATCAGGTTCTGCCAGTTGTGAATGTATGAGTCACTTTGGATTTGTCCTCGCTGGGATTTCCTTGGGTATATTAGGAGGTTTTACTCTCGCTTCTGTTTTCTTTCTCTTCTTTCTTTTGATACGCAACGTCTTCTCTACCTACGCTGTCTGTTACTATACAATATTACTTTCTCTTCTTTACTCAAGAAGACCACCGCGCCGCTGCTTCCCTTGTCCCGTTGACCCTTACCAGTGCTAGAGTCACTCAGGACCCCTATTATGGGCTTCCATACCGATCTCTACTACCTCCTTCATACCCTGTGGAATACTCGCTACTCGCCCCCTTGAGACTGTATAACTTGGTGGTCGGACCAGTCTGAAGCTTAAATAGTTCAGTCAGTCCAGTCCGAGCGTGAAGATAGTTAGTCCAGTCCAGTCCGAGGCAAAGTTTGGACCAGTCCCGATTACTGAGACCTCTGCAAGAACATGCTAGGCTAGGGAATTAAAATAGTGCATTATCTTGATGATTTTCTGTTTATTCTGCCGAAAGGGATGAGGTGGTAGTTGGTAGATGAGTGTGTACGATGATTGGCATCCGACTTAGGACTCGAAATCAAAACTAGCAAGAACCAACAGGGATATATTGCAGACTTCGGAGGAATCGAACTTGATACTTTCCTGATGGAAGCGAAGTTACCAGAATCAAAGAAGCTCAAAGCTATCCAACTATTACAAGATTGCGGCTCAAAAACATATGTTAGCTTGGAACAGTTACGCTCGCTGACAGGATTCTTGTCATTCACGTGTAAGGTCATTCCTTTTGGGAAGATCGTTTCTCCGGAGGCTCTACAACCTGCTTATTATTTCCCCCTTACCCCGCACGCAAGAAGGAGGCACTCGTCGGAGGCAAGAGAAGACATGAAGTGGTGGTTAAGTCTGCTTCCGACGTCACCAGCGACCCGCTTTTTGCGACGCGATCGTACAATGATTCTTGCCTGGTCAGATGCTTCAGGAACGAAGGGAATGGGTGTTTATTATAGGCTACCAAATCAAGACCTCCATCACATTACCGAATCACAAGTTTTCTCAGCTCAACGTCCTCGTCATATACAGCAGAAAAGAGAGCATATCAACACAAAAGAGATGAGAGCGGTAGGGCAATGTTTGTTGAGATAGGGTGATATCTGGAGACACTGTCGAGTAATTCTTCATATAGACAATCAGGTGGTTGTATACTCATTGAGAAGTAAGACAATGCGTGGCTCCACTATGGATGTCTTGCGTAGGTGCTTGCTGATGGCTGCGACTCTGGATATTGATCTGTCGCCAGTTTGGATACCGTCGAATGAAAACTCTCTAGCGGACGCTCTTTCAAGGTATCAAATGAGCAGGATTACTGACCTTTGTCCACAGCTCAACACTCTCACGCTCCCCCGGAGTCATGGTATCAGGATGTTGGACCGCTGACCCGTGCAGCTGCATATTACTTATGGAGAGGCCTAGCACCTACCACCAGACGAAATTACGCTTCAGCCCGTCAACGCTACCTTGACTTCTGTACCATGAACAATTTCAAGCACGGTCTCCCCCGAATAGGAAGTGGACGACAGATGAAGGCCATCGCATCTGCAGGAGCAGGACCGACGGTGATTGTTGTGGGCATACCGGGCAGAGTGTTCCGGCCACCCCTATATGGCTGATGGAATGGATGACTTCGATGGCAGGCCAGATCAAGGTGAAGACATTGAAGTCATACCTCGGAGGTTTGAAATCCTGGCACATTGACTTAGGGGCAGACATATCTGGATTCGGAGATTCACGTCTAGAACGGCTGCTAGACGGCATAAAAAGGGAACATTCCGAACCTTTTCGCCGGGATAGAACTCCACTTACTCGGCAATACCTCCTCCGGATATTGCGGGTGTTGAATACTGGAGTAGATGACTATTCTACAGCAACATTGAGAGCGGCTATTACGCTTGCTTTTGCAGCCTTCCTAAGATCGGGGGAGATCACATACACAGCGCAGAATCTTGAATTGGGGTCGGCATTCCGAAACTACCACGTTACCAAAAGCTCTATCAGAATTGCGGCGGACGAATCCTATCTGGAACTTTCCCTACCTGCATCAAAAGGTGATCCATTTCGACAGTCTGTTCAGATTCTTGTCGCTGCAACCGGAGATGAAGCCTGTCCGGTGAGGGCAATGGTGCAGCTACTGGAAAAGGACAGCACACGGTCGGCACTTGCACCCCTATTCACCTCCGACATGAACAAGCCATTTACCCGTGACTATCTTGTCAAAAGCCTCAGAACATTGGCAGTCCGGGCCGGGCTGGAACAGCTGGCGTGGCATGGCCATTCATTCCGCCGGTGAGCAGCAACTTGGGCAGCAGAAGCGAGGATGTCAGAGGGCACTATTCAGCTGTTAGGACGTTGGAGATCATTAGCATATAAAGCCTATATCGAAATATCAAAGGAAGAAAGACTCGCAATCGCTCGGCGGTTTCAAACTGTACCTGGGTCCAATACCGGACATCAAATCCAGGGAATACTTCAAGTCGTACCAGCATAGAGTTACCGAACCATCGCTGTGACAGATTCGTACCTGCCTGCCTGGTCTGGGTTGCCAGCGCTGCTTGCCAGTGACGGCATGCAGTTCTCTGTCTGCCTTATCTGTGGAGATCTGGCAGCAGCTCCGGCAGCTGTCAGGGGACGAGAGGCCTGGCTGCAGTTTTGGTTTGCACACTCGGTTTCAGTCATTTCCTTACTATCTTTGCTCCTGTATTGTTTCGAACAGATGTATTATTCGCAATTTACTATTTCTCTCTGTTGACCGCTCTCAATTGGACCTAGGGCATCTGATGAAGGGTAACATATTCCACAGCGTCTCGAATCCAGAAAGGACTATCTGTAGTGTAGATGGAGGAGGAAGAGGGGAGATGCTGAATTGACTGGGGATGTACCTAAAACTGTTTGGAAATGTACCTCCTGTAATGTGGCACTTTGTCTAAATGAAGTCAGAGATTGCTATAGCGCTTTCCATATATCGGGTCATTTTTAGTTGTGGTTATATAGTTGTTCAATAAAGGGTTGTTGATTCGGGTTCAAAATTGGGGCGGTAACGTCCTCAAATCGTTACGGACCATGGGATAGTTATTCATAGCTCAGGTGATAGATTCTAGGGTTTGTTAACTGAATAACCTAGGTTCAGTTCCTTTATTCTTCGTTTTTTGTTACACCAAGTATAGTAGTACTGCATGTAGCTACCACTCTTGGCAGTAGGAGTCGGTTTTGTTTCAAGAAAGGTGTCCAATGAGACAATCGATTCATTTCTCGGATGCCTTTCAACAGGTAATCGGATTCATTTCTTCGGGACATAGCCTATGGCCTAGATGGTCACTTTCCCGGCACATATTTCCCAAACAAACGTGACGTCTTAAAAACGAGTCATTAGCGGATACGTTACCTAGCGCTACTAGAGTGATACACTCAGGAGAGCCTTCAGATTTCTACAGTTCGAGGAGTGGACCAACTCCGGGCCCTATTCTTGCTGCTATAAGTGGAAATTACACTTTTGCAAGTCATGCACTTGCATCATCTACAGCTAGTTACTGTCCAATGGACCCGGGCCATGATTAGTGAAACCTCAGTACCGCTCAGGCAGGCATCATGAGGTCCCTGTTCCTTCTAGTGCACCAAGAAAAAATCCCAATAGTGTTTTGGATTTGCCACTGGGTTTCTCCAATCTGTACCCTGCGAGCCTCAGAAACAATTCTGAGATTCGCCCTGTACCTGCGGATACTCCCGCCGAGGCCGCTGAGCCCCGGCCTCTATCCATGGAATCTGCCAATTCTATTGAATCGCTAAGGAAGTGTAAGGCGTTGGTTGCAGAAATACATCGCCTACGCCCTTGTGCTTCACTACATAGGAAATCAAAGAGTTCGTGGGGGGAGGCACTACTCGCCTTACAGTCAATTGAAAAACATAATCTATATACAGATACGAATGAGGCGTTACCGGGTTTAAGGTGAGACTTGAGAGCGTTGATTAATTTCAAGCAGGACTTGTCTGAAGAGGGGGTAAGTGAACTCTTGGGTGAGAATTTAGCTTGAAAAGGCCGCAGGGGAGGGGAATCTAGTATAGCGGCCGCTCAATTTGTCGATGAATTGCCTGACAATACTATCAATGAAAATATTGCGGGTGATTGCGATGAGGGCACCAGCGGTAGGGAAAGAAAAGTAAGGCGAAATGGAAGGCCTAAAAAGTACTGGTTTAGTAATGAGCATGTAATATTCCATGTTTGTCTTACAGTTTGAATTGATTTTATTATAATTGGGAGCGTGTTTGAACAGTTAGTGGACGGTCTTGTATCTCTGCTCGGGATGGATTTTCGGGGGTGGCTCGATTAGCTGGGTTTACTAAATTCCCTGTGACTTCTCGTTCCAACGATTACCTTGGTGTTATGGGCGTGGATTGGCTGGTTCTGCTAAATTCAGAGCTCGATTCAGTTCTGGATTTGTTGCTGGATTCCCTGTTACTGGTTGATTCACTGATTATTTTATAGTTGAATGATAATTACAATAATCGGTTAGAGCGGAATAAGATGTATTCAGTTCGATCAAGTCCTAGGAGTTGGTAGTCGGTTGCTGGATTCAATCCAAGTTGAATCACCGATTAGATGATGAATTGGAGTGTTCGGGAAAGAAGGGGAGGGAGTAGAAGGTGGAGAAGAGAGGGTGGAGAGAAGTATCACGGGTATAGAGCTAAGTTGCTGACCTGGCTTGAACTATTTGGCACAATCGCCCCTGGGTTTGGGCACATAGGGATTGGTGGAGTTGTCTGGGGATGAGGTTGGGTATGGGTTCGAGTTGGGAGATGATGGGGTGTGGGTAGTCTCGTGTGGGGCACGTGCGCAGGGTTTTGATGGGAGGCGATCGGCGTGTGCGACTGTGCTTTTTGCCGATCCCGGAATGCAAGATGGCCGTTTGGCGATCAGCGGGGTGTGTGCGCCCGGGACAGATGATGTGGGGTGGGATGCTTGGCGCGCGCCCGAGCCTGGGCCGCGCCTCGCGGCTCGGCGTCTCACTTAGCTCATCATGGGGACGCCACGCATGATATTCATCCACTCACACCGCGCGTCGACTTCATCAGATATATCTCTTGGCTCTTCATCTTCACCACCGCAGGTCTCATACCAGAACAGTGCAAGATCCTACTCGGGGTCATCTCCCTCCTCCCTCCTCTTCTTACATTGGCTGGCCGGACCCCACAGCTTCCGTATATTAAAGGTCGCAGTAGTGCGGAGAAACTCGGTGCATGATGGATAAATTCCCTTCAGTAGCTATCCCTTAAGCTACCAATTGCTGCCCCCCTGTAATAGAGGGTGAAAGTTTGTACGGGAGATCAACTATTTGATAAGAGAGATAACAAGATCTAATACCAACTTTTGCTTTTTTCTTGGGGGGGGGGGGGGGGGCAGCATACTGACAACCTAAGGCATAGTCGAAGCGAGAAAATAAATTCCCTTTATGATTCAGGCAAATCATAATATCGCGTCTAAAGCAAGGGTTTTTTGTAATAGCATTATGGGTCGGTCAATTGCAAAGTGGCAGCCAATTTGGCAGACAAACATCAAGAATCAGCTCAACCTAAGATGACAGCTGTAACGACAGATCATCCCACAGTATCAGGCCATAGCAGACTTGCTATGAGACCTCACCTCTGATGATCCGAATGGAGTGTTGAGTTTTTCTTTTTTCTTTTTTGTTTAATTCATTGATAATGGAGTTTTGAGTGGGAGGAGAGCCAGAAAAAACATGATATGATGGTGGCTTTCTAATCAGCTAAATAGTTATTCACGGTTAGATGTCCTGATACCTTCGCTCCATACGTGCCCCATCAACATTCCTAAGAGACTTCCATTATTCTCGCAACATCACCGACGAATGATAGCCGAAGAAGGATCAATTTGGAATCGATATCATATCCTGGCGTTAAAGGCAGATAACTATGACTATCCCGGGATAGCTTGTTAGGGTTAATTCACAAGGAAAATCAGACTCTCCCCATAATTACTCCTTGCACGGATAATGAATCTTATCAAGAGTGTACTCTTGGGGCATCACCTGCCTTTGCTCGAGCAAGGCAGAGGTACATTGTGGCATTTGCCTTTTGCTCGCCTCACGCAGTCTGCCTGCATCATCGTCACCGTCCGCCCTGGCTCTGGCTCCGACCCCGACTCAGCCGAAATTCCCGCCTACGTTAGGAGCTGAAAACTCTGACCTTTGGGTTGAACAGTTCATCATACCCCAAACGCGACCGCCGTCCAGGATCTCGGTTACAAGCTGAACCAAGAAACTATTCATTCGGTTTTGATGAAAATCTCAAACTCGTCCGTCAAAGGAGTGCCCGGTAAGTGTCAATTTGATAGAGGCGCTCTTAGCTGAGGTGTGGTTGACATCGGGTCAATCACATCGAATGAGATTGCATGAACCATGAGCATCCCAGGCGTTTATTTGACATGTACCATAGCCAGTTCCGGAACAAATGTGGAAGTCTTCAGCTGTACATCGCTGAGGTGCCGATATACATTTACAAACATCACAATGATTGGATTGCAAGTCCGGGGAGAAGTAAACTGAGGTTTCCAGAGGAGACTGTGTCTACATACCGTCACAATGTGGTTGATCTACACGAATATTGCCCCACTTGCGGACCTGGCCCAGCCTAGAAACGCTATGAAGTGAGGGGTAGGAAACAAGACGGGTGGAGTGATAAGAAAGAATTCCGGGTTCCACCATGATGTCGAGCACGATTGGTATAGGATGTAAGCCGGGCACCTGTCGTACTATGTATCTCTTTGGGTTGAAAAAGAAATTCTCTGCGAGATGTCCCAAAGCTTTCTTGAAATAGTACGCTCAGCACATTTCATAGTATTGGAGGATTGTCATTTGTCATTATGAGTCACGGGTTTTTGACTCACTCTTTCCTTGGTATTTATTAGTCATGTTTTTCTATTACTTATACGGTTATGGTTTACTATGTTCTGTGTTATCTTTCTTTAGTATAAATATGGGGTATTTCCCCTTCTCTAGTTAGTTGGAATAACACGCTCAATTACTACACTTCTCTACATACATTATCTCTAGGTTATGAGCCCGGAGACCATCTACGCTTAAAAACACTCCAAACCATTTTTACTATCAAAGTACACTCTATCGTTTCACTTCAAACATGTCAAACAACAGCGTAAAAATTCCCGCTTTACCATGCAAGCTGTCTGGCCAAGGCCATTACACTGTTTGGAGGGACCTCGCTTGTCGCATGTTAAAAGTTTACGATTTGTGGAATCTAGTCAATGGTACGAGCAAGCGTCCTGCGTTCACCACTACGGTTACAGCGGCACCACCTGCAGAACAACCAGCAGAAGGTGCAGCAGCAGCAACACCAGCAGAAGAGGACGAAGAAGAAACTACAGACAATGCCGAAGAAATCAGCGAATGGGATAAAAAAGACAACCTTGCTGTCGTCTTCCTTCAGTCCAATATCGAATTCGAAGTCATCCTTACGCTCACTCCGGCCGACACCGCTCACCACCTCTGGACTCAACTCGAGGACAGATTTGATGGGAAAACTGTATCTTCCCTCCACTCGCTTCTTGCCAACGTTGTAACCCTACAGTATACGCCTGACAAAGGCATCAAGGAACATCTAACCCAGTTCAATACCCTTTGGTCATCCCTCCTCACTTGAACTAGTAACTCTACGGACAAAACCAAAGACCCACTCGGTTACCACCTCCACCAACTCGCATCAGTCTCAGAAGCGAAGGCATCCTTCCTACTCCTCTCACTCCGGCACGAATCCCTCGAATCAGTCGTTGACAACCTGCAAACCAAGCCCAATGTCACCTTCGATGACGTCTATGAAAAGCTATTGGATCTGGACTCACGGCGCAACAACGATGGACAAGCGACTGGAGAAGCCTACAACATCAGGCGAGGAAACCCAGGACATGGAAACAACAACAAAGTCGGAAAGACACGGAACAACAAAAAGGACAAAAAGGACCTTACATGCACATGGTGCACCAAGAACGGCGAATTTGCAAAAGGCCACACGCATAAAGACTGCCGGAAACTCAAAGCTTTCAGAGACAAAGAGAAGTCCGCTGCATCTGGCAACCTCAACGTCGCATCCGGTACTGCATTTCATACAAAAGTAGATCTTTCTTGGATTCCTGACCTCTCTGGCCTCCCCGCACTCGAAGAAGCTGATGTATTTACTATGCCGGTTTCCTTCGACTTTACCACTTTCTCAGACACCTCGGATGTAACAATGGAAGACTACTTTAGCTTCGTTGCAGGACCTTCCACATCTGACAATAAGGCATGGATCTTTGACCCTGGTGCAACTAACCATATGACCGGAACTCAGGTTACCAACCCCTCACCCCACAGTGGAACAGTCACTGTTGGCGGCGGGCGAAAACTACAAATAACCGGAATTGGAAATGTCACCATCAACGGATCACATGGCCCTATCACTCTGCAGAATGTATTTTTAATCCCAGAACTCGGCAACACCAACCTAATGTCTTGGTCATGTATTGCCAAAAAGGGATTCACAACGACAGGGACTGAAAACGGCTTTACCATTTACAAACCAAACAGCAAGGAAATCGTTGGGATCGCTAATGCAAATAGTACTGGTCTTTATATCTTTGAAACCAAGGAACTTTGCGCACATATCTCCATCGCTACCAGCTTCTATGACTGGCACCAACGACTCGGACATCTCCCCGCTTCCTCACTCTCACGGTTACGTAATATGGTCGCCGACCCAAAGTCTCTCCCCACAACAGGTCACATTGAAACATGCAACACATGTGAACTCGCCAAATCTACCAAATCCCATCTCGCCCCTCTTACCGAACCATGATCCAAACAACCACTAGAACTAATCCACTCAGATCTGAGCGGCAAGTTTTCCACTCCTTCTCTTGGCGGTTTTAGTTACTATATTATTTTCATCGACGATTATTCTAGGTACGCTCACCTCTACTTCCTTAAAAAGAAGTCAGATGCAGCAGCTGCCACACAACGGTACATCGCATACATGGAAAATCAATTGGACAAAACGGTTAAACGGTTTCGAAGCGACAATGGTGGCGAGTACATCTCCAACGACCTTCAACAGTTCTTTGCCTCCAAAGGCATAAAGCATGAATTCACTGTGCCCTACTCTCATGAGTCAAACGGAACAGCAGAACGCTTTAATAGAACAATAGCAACAATGGCACGATCCGCCTTGCTCGACCACGATCTTCCACGGAATCTATGGGCAGAAGCGATCAATACAATGGTACACGTCAAGAATCGTCTCCCGCATAAAGCACTCCCGAACATGACACCATATGAAGCACTCACCGGCAAGAAACACTTCATTGGGCATCTCCGATCCTTCGGTGAAACAATGTTTATTCACATACCTGTCGAAGCACGATCAGCTGGAACAAAGTTGGGTTGTGCGGGTTGTAAGCGTGTGGGTCATTCTGGATTTGTCATCGCTAGGATTTCCTTGGGTATATTAAGGGGTTTTCGCTTTCGTTTATTGTTCTTTTCCTTCTCTTTCTTTTACTACGCAACGTCTTCTGTATCTACGCTGTCTATTGCTATAAAATATTATCGTCCTCTTCTCTATTCAAGAAGACCACCGCCTCGCTTTCTCTTGTCCCGTTGACCATTACCAACGCTAGAGTCCCTTAGGACCGTTATTGCGAGTTCCCATACCGTCCTCTACTACACTCTTTGTACCCTGCGGAACACTCGCTACTCGCCCCCTTGAGATTTGATGATAGAAATTGAGACATTTCGGAGCCTTTGAGGGATTTGAGGATGGTGTTGGGTAAAATTGCTTCAGAGTTAATGAGGAGTAAAGCTATGAAACGTCAAAAAAGCAATCACAGAATAGGTAGTTGGACTAGTCTGATTCAGACTATTGACTGGACTGAACAATTAACAGAATAGCTTGGACTGGACTGGACCAAGTTTTTATAGACCAGTCCGACTGTTTAACACCACGGACTTCTGAAATCTAATGTAACCGTAATAGTTCATGTCCAAGATCCAATGGAATACTTCTGCGAAAAGATTGAACAGGTAGGGAGATGTGGGAAGTCAAAACGTAGAAAAGGTTCGGAATAGTATTTTCCTCTCCATCTAAATCCCAACAGTAGTAAGTTCAGGGGTGATACCAGTATGTGTTTGAATGCGTCTTTTAAGTCTCTTTTCACCATAGGGCTTCCCTCTCCAAGCTCCGCTACGAGCTCAAATACATGCTCAACTGTGCTATATATAAAGCTCGAAAGCTTGAGCTTTATACAGTCGTTGATTGATATATCAGATTCCGTTGCAAATGAAAGGTAGTGAATCCTTCTTTTTGAACCATAACTCCTGTCTACCAACCTTAATCTCAAGGGGGCGAGTAGCGAGTATTCCCCAGGATACGAAGGGGGTAGTAGAGATCGGTGTGGAAACTCGCAATAGGGGTCCTGAGGGACTCTAGCGTCGGTAAGGGTCAACGGAACAAGGGGGCAGCGAAGCGGTGGTCTTCTCGAGTAAAGAAAAGAAAGATAATATTGTATAGTAACAGACATCATAGGTATAGAAGACGTTGCTTAAAGAAAGAAAGAAAGAAAAGGAAAAGAACAAGAAATGAGAATGAACCCCCCCTAATATACCCAAGGAAATCCCAGCGATGACAAATCCAAAGTGACTCATACATTAACAATCAACAGAACCCGGTAGAACCCAATAGAATCCTTCTGACTAATCCAACTCCTCGTAACCCAGTGTATTCACTAATCGATGCATGAAAGTAGCCCCTCCCTTCAAGCGCGAGCTCCTGCGTGCCTTAACCTTAATGTTCCCTTTCAACGGTCCAGGTTTGTCGGGGTAACGTGTATGGAAAATATCAATGGTGGCGGTATTATCGTGGTATGCGGCGGGTTCCCAGGTAGGGTTGGTATAGCCTGTCCATTTCATAAAATATTGCAGGCCATTGTTTCTTGTTTCCCGTAAGTCCAAGATTTCCTCAACTGCATACTCCTCTTCCTGTTTAACAATAATAGGTGGGGGGTGATGGTTGAATTTGTCCTGGGACAGGGTCATTTGCAGTGGGGTCTAGCAACGATACATGGAAGACGGGGTGCATTTTCATACTCCTAGGCAGGTCGATTCAGTACGCATATGGCGATATGATTTCTTTGACGGGGTACGGTCCCAGTTTCTTCCAGTCCAACTTCCCAGAGTTACGGGTGGTTTAGATGTTTTTTGCTGAAACAAACACCATATCGCTGATATCGTACTCTGGGGCCGGGGTTCGTTTGACATTAACGGCCTGCTCTTGTTGGTCTTGCGCCGTGCGGATATTGGAACGTAGGTGTTCGTGGAGTTCTTTCATCTTCGAGGCAAAGTCCTTAGCATTGAGGCTTGTTGGCGTCCTGTTAAGCGATTTGATCGTCACTGTAAACCGGGGGTGGAAACCATAGTTCGCAAAGAATGGTGTAGCTTTGGTGGATGTGGAGACCTGATTGTTGACGGAGAATTCTGCCATAGGGGGCCATTTTACTCAATCGTCCTGTTGATAAGACACATATCCACGTAGATATTGTTCCATTACGGTGTTCGGCCTTTCAGTTTGGCTGTCGATCTCCAGCTGGAAGGCGGTGGACATTCTTGCTTCGATGTCGAGGTATTTACAGAGAGCCCTCCAGAATTTGGCTGTAAATTGCGTACCGCGGTCGGAGGTAACATGTGTGGATAGCCCATGGAGCTTCCATATATTCCGCAGATATACTTGGGCGATGTCTTCGGAGTTGACAGTGGTATTACAGGGCAGGAGATGTTGCATCTTTGTTAACCGGTCAACAACTACCATAATCGCGTCGTACCCTTCGCTCTCCGGTAGACCAGTAACGAAGTCCATTGATACCTCCTGCAATGGTTGTTCAGGAATTGGTAAAGGTCGAAGTACGCTGAGTTTTCCATGGGTGTTGGGTTTGCTTCGTTGAGAGGTGTGGCAGTTCCGAATATAGCGGTCAATATAATTCCGCATAAGGGGCCAGTAGTAGTCTCGACTGATGAGTTCAAATGTTTTTTCGTGTCCAGGGTGTCCGGCGGAGGCAGCGTCATGGTAAAGTTGGAGGATTCGGAGGTTGAAAGGATCGTAGTCGGGTACATATATGCTACCTCGGTAAAGTAACCGGCCTTCTATCTCGGTGCATTCGGGGAGTGATATGTCCTTTGATGGTCGTTCACCTTTGTTCCGCATATCCAGTATCCCTTTTGGAAACAGGTCAGGGCTATATCCTTCATCGAATAGTCTATTCAGTGAAGGGTTCTTTTCAGTGGGCTCGTTTGAAAAAGAACCCGCCAACAAACTTAGCTTTACGTCAAGATTCTCTTTCTTCAATACAACTTGACTCTGGTGTAATTGCCTTTCATCCCCCTCTCCAGGGAGATCTCCTGATCTTCTTGTCAACGCGTCCGGTTTCCCTCCTTGTTTCCCTGGTGGGTACTTAATGACAAAATTGAACCGTGATAGATATTACGCCCACTGTACTTGTCTCCGGTTGAGTTGTTTAGTACTCATAAAGTATTCGAGATTCTTATGATCGGATATGAGGGCGATTGTAACGGGGGTCCTTTCCAAGAGAAATAGAATCGGATAGAATAGAGACGGCCATGTAAGATAGACAATCAGGTTGCAGATTATTCAAAAATACTATCGTTAGAACTCAATAATCTTTAAGGGCTCTGCTACCGATAAGAACTTGGTTATTCTTTCTGATGAAGACTCGAGACAACGGGACTGAAAAGGCGAGAATGAACCTGAGTACTTATACTCCGAAGGCCTCTATTCTCTGCTCCTAACTCCTTACTAAGTTCCGGTGGGCCTTCCCTCAGTACCGGAAAACAATACCACCGCTACCCCGCTTTTCTCTAAGCGTCAGCAGGTGTTTCCGATACCCAAGGCAACCACCCTTAGTCAAAGCCTTTGTAAAACCTGCAGCCTTGGTTGCCATACAACCGGGGCCTGCATGAATGAGCTGCCGTTCAGCTGTAAGCTTAATCATTGCTGTAGAGCTTTCGCTTATTGTAGCCTTTCCTAGCATAGTCCCTACTCTTCTGTGGACTTACAATGCTTTAGAGGATACAGAGGATCACCAGGCAATCAGAGCTTCACTCCGGCCGGCCTACTAGTCACTGGCAAGGCATAGACTCGTCAGTAATTACTCCCATGAATAGATCCCCTTCCTAGCGCCCGGAATGTAGTTATTCTAACAGGTGGTAGCGAACCACACTGCCGGTACTTCCATATCACCGTGCAACTGGCTTCTAACAATAACTATCTGCATGTTACCGGACCCTGTGTGTACTCATACACCAGATAGTTAAAATGGCTCCATTACAGCGATTGGGTGTGCAGCCCCTTCAGGTTCCAGTCGCCATTCCTCAAAGAATCGAATAATCACCAGTAATTCCTTGTCATAAATCTCGTAGTTACATTCAACGGGGGAATGTTTTTTTGAGAAGTATGCAACGGATCGAAGGGTACCATTATCATTGTATTGGAAGAGTACACTGGCAGAGACATAGTCAGATGCATCAGTTTCCACACTAATTTCTTTCTCCAGGTCGAAATGGGTAAGGATGGGAGCCGTTGTGAAGGCTTCTTTCAGAGCGTTAAAGGTAGTTTGGGCTTCGGGTGTCCATTCAAATGATATGTCCTTGCGTGTCAGTCTGGTAAGAAGGGATGCCAGTTCCGAGAATCCACCTGTGAATCGGCGGTAAAAGTTAGCGAAACCTAGAAATGCTTGCACATCCTTAACTGTTTTGAGGATGGTCCATTTCTTTACTTTATCCACTTTCCTTGAATCTATTTTAATGCTGTTGGGTTCAATAATAAGGTCGAGATAGGTGGTATTTTGCAAGTGAAACTCTCATTTCTGTGGTTTCAGCAGTACTCAATTTCTTTCTAGGGCTTCCAGGACCTTTTCGACATTTACCTGATGTTCCTCGAAGGTGTCGCTGTAGATGAGAATATCGTCAAGGGAGGCTGTACAGAACATCTAAAGGCAATCAGGAACGCAATCTTTGATGAAGTGTTGAAAGGTAGCTGCCATTTTGGTGAGGCTGAAAGGCACTACCGTGTATTGTAAATGCCGATAACCCATACAAAAGGGTGTTTTCCAGTCTTCACCCTCAACCATTCGGATCTGGTTATACCCTTAGCGAATATAAAGTTTGGTGTACTATTTGACTTTGGAGAGGCGGTCGAGAGTTTCCCGGATGAGCGGCAGCGGGCAGCGGTTTTTGATGGTAAATTCATTAAGGCCACAATAATCAACGCAGAGATGGAGTGTTCCATCGGCCTTTTTAACAAATAGGATGGGGGCACCAGCAAGGGAAGAGCTGACCTATATAAAGCCCTTGTGGAGGTTATCCTGTATATCGCTTGATCATAATGAGTTCCTCGCGGGACATACTATAGAGTGGACCTAATCTGGGCTCTTCTTCTTCCTTGAGCGGTATCTTGTGGTCATGGGGCCGGCGTGGTGGCATTTTGTTAGCGAACTTCTCGTCCATTATGTTATGGAACTTCTTGTATCGGGTTGGAACTCGGTTTCTCCAGTTTTCTATGGGGACCTTACCCATACCTTTCTCGATTTCCTCTATAATTGTGCTGAAGATTTGAAATTTATCCCTTCGAGCAAAGTGGCAAGGACAGCTGAATTGATGATGTGGAATTGGGGTGGTCGTTCAATTTCTTTAATTGGAACAGGTTTTGTGGAGGAGTTGCATTTGCGCTTGCAGTATTCGGAGTTGAACAGTATGCTATTGTCTTTAAACCGTAGTATGGTGTGGTATAGTTGAAGCCAAGGGATCGCAAGGACAAGTGGGTGGGAGCTGAGTTTGATGACGAAAAAGGAGATAGTTTCGTGATGGGAGTCGATTGACAATGGAAGGTGGCATAAGTGGGTGATCTGTCCGGAGGATATGGGCCACCCGTCGATGACTTCAGGAGTGCGGGGTGATTTGAAGGGGAGGAATGAGAGGTTGTTATCTCATGTGAATGTTTCATCAATGAATGTGAACCCGGAGCAACCGGTATCAATCAATGCGTGGGTTTCAATGGATATTTTATTGTTTACAATTTTACAAGAAGCAACAAAATGATCCCTATTCAATTTATCCTCCACAAACAACACTGAGAAGCCAGAGATAGAGAACGCAGACAAAGGAGAAACATTAGAAGGTCCCAGGCAGGGGCCATTGATCAAGCCCGATACTACTGAAAAACCGACTCAGAGCAGGTGGAACCAGCGATCGGCGGGGCAGCGGGGCCACAGTAGCATAAGCGGGTACGAGGAGGGCACCCCTCATGACCGGTTGGTTGCTACGTAGGCGCTCGACAGAGGGACAGTTGATGAAGACATGGGCAGGGTTGGCCCAGTACATTCTGAGATTGTTGTCCCTTCGCCATTGTTTTTCAGCGGTGAAGGTGTTGCATTGTCTATTGATGAAAGTGTATCGTTGTTCGGTGGCATAGCATTGAGCGGGACGGATCTGGAGGGTGGACAGGTCTATTGAGGCGAGACCTCCAGCAGTATAGGATGGGTATGCGGCAGCGGTGGAGGCAGTGAATTGTTCCATTGTATTATGGATGGCTTATTGTTCGGGCTTACTGCACCGAATCTCGTTGTCGATTGTAATTAATATAGCTGCGTATGCTTCTACCATGTTAGGCCTGTCCGTCTGGTATATCACGATGTCCTTTAGGTCTTCCGATAATCCTTCGGGCAGGGCGTCGATCTTAGCTTCTTCGTTGTACTCTAGGTAGGTCACGATGTGGAGGAACTGTGAGTAATAGGTGGCAAAGTCTTTTTTGCCTTCCTTCAGGGTGACGAGTTGGTGGCGGGTGGTACCCAGAGGATCTGGGTTTCCAAAAGAGGCTTCCAGGTGTATGACGAAGGTGGTGACGGAGGAGGAGGGTGCAGAAAAATTAGCATTAACTAGTGGGATGAGCTGACCAAGGGCCCTTCCTTCTGAGCGGCTGATGGCATAGATAACTTTTGCTGCCTCATTTCGGAATCGATCGTCATTGACTTCAAGTCTCATTCGGAGTTGGGTGATGAATCCGGGGAGATTGGTATGAGTGTCATCGAATTTTTCATAGTCTGGGAATTCTTCGGACCTGAAGGGGGAGACGGTAGTAGGTGGGGGAGCAGCGGCAATGAGAACAGGGATGGTGGGAGTGGGAGCGGTGCGAACAACATTGTGATCGAAGTTGAGCTGGGTTACCTGCTCTTCGAGGTTATCAATAATATCTTGGGCGGCGGCGAGTTGTGCATTAGTGGTATTGCTCTCGTAGTGGATACATTGGACTATCACGGCCCGACCACCCCCACCTGCTCTGGCGACAAGAATGCTATAGAATCGGATTGTTTGGTGAAGGATGGGGTTAACCTCGGTTAGGTTGGATATGTTAGGAAGGTGCTCGGAGGATACAGAAAGCACTAGGTGCTTTGGGTGAGGTTGTAGAGAGAAGGATCGGGATCGGTTGTGGGACGTTATTATATTTGTTTGATATTTCCTTAGGTGTGGTTACGAAGATTGGTTACTGGGTTATTGTTTGGGGTTTATATTCGAGGCTTCGTTCTCACTATCTGTACCTATCTTTCTTTCTTCTTTACGCAATATCTTAATTCTGTTTGTTAGTAGATTCTATTCTGTTTCGATTGGTATTGAGCCCTGTCCCCTGTCCTCATCCTAGAACATATCTGAGTCGATACTTGCCTCGGTACCTGCCTACATCTTTGTTATAAAACCCCGCCCCTTTTGATGGACGAGAATGTCGATTTGGTTAAATAGGACATCAGTATTGTCCTCATAGTGCTGTTTGAATTATTCTATATTGTTGGATGAAACCCATGTAGGTGGGTCGGGGGTGAACATGTCGTACAGTGCGGATGATGACGCAATGTAATCTCAAGGGGGCGAGTAGCGAGTATTTCACAGGGTACAAATAAGGTAGTAGAGGTCGGTGGGGGAGCCTGCGATAGTACTCTTGACTTAATCTAGAGTTGGTTCTAGAGAAAATGTATGTATAGAAGTGTAGTAATTGAGTGATTTATTCCAACCAACTAGAGGAGGGAATGCCCCGTATTTATACTAAAGAAAGGTAACACAAAACATAATGAATCATAACCATATGAGTAATAGAAAAACATTACTAATAAAATACCAGTGAAAGATATGAGTCAGAACCCGTGATTCACAATAACTATAACGTGGGTCTATGGACGAGAAACTATAGTGCCAAGGAATACAACCGAGGCGAGAACGTAGTAAGAGATATTCGTGACTATGGACTATGGACCGGCTCTGTTTGGTCTGACAGCCAGACTGAACCCTATGATATAGTGTAGAACAAGAATAATATTCGTGGAGTAGAATACAGAAGAAGAAGAAGAAACTTATATTGCTTTGAAGTACAAGACTTATCGCACGCCAAACCGACCGCCTAAAAACAATACCGAACCGAAAAGAAAAGGAAAAACAACGATAAAACAAACACGAACAAAACAAGAACAAAGCACAAACAAGAACAAAACGAACACAAACAAAGACAAGAGAATTCAAGGACAACACACGACCAAAAACCCATCAACAAGGAGAAATAACATATCTCAGCGGACTCGGGCGCTGGATCCATCAAAGACACAAATAAAACAAAAAACAAAAAATAAAAGATAAAAGGAAACTACCCTTCCTTATCCCGTCCCTAATCATTTCCTTCCATCCCCTCTTCCAGGTCCGCCTCCGCCTCCACCGACTCGTACCATTTCGAGAGTTGAGATTTCTTTGCAAATTGTAGGATAAGGTCCGTATCCAGGTTTGTGAAGATCCAGTTTTCCCAGGTCATCGCCCCGGGGATTTTTTCCATCAGGGGGGCGCGGATTCGAGCCCACGCCGGGCATTCCATAAGTATATGTTTCGCTGAGTTTTCCATTCCACATTGGCATAGTTCGAGGTCTGTATGTGCTGCATGTTTATCGATTTGGGTGGTTTGGCATCGGATTCGAAAAACTTTCTTTGCTTCTGTAAGGGTGAGTTTTGCACTCTTGGGAGGGGGGCGGAATTCCCCCCGATGGTGGTAATTAGGTATTGGTTGTGTGTTCCATTCTTCCAACAGTTGATCGCGTAATAGTTTGTTTTGGTTCCACTTGTCTCTCATATTTCCGGGGGTTTGGTATGAAAGTAAGAGGGAGGCGATTCGGTCTAGGCCTGTCCCTTTGATATTTGCCTCTCTGTATGGGAGCAGCTCGATCAGGGATTCGTTGTTGGGGCGGGTTGCGTTGGTGCAGAGTATTCTGGTTCCGTACTTTCTTGAACGGTACTGTGTCAGAAGGTGTTCTAGGGGGGGTAGGCCTGCTTCTCGGAGGAGTTTAGCTCTCTTGGTCCATCGTGGTAGGCCGGTGATGACCCGGGCAGCTTCATTGTATAGTGGTTCGAGGGATCTTATAATGTGGTCTGCGCCAGTCCACCAAGCCTCGGATCCGTAGAGCAGGCTTGGGAGAAAGCCTTGTGTTATTAGGTGATGGATTGTCTTAACTGTTATGCCTGGCAGTCGGGCAGTGTTCCGGATTTGGTGGAGGGTTTTAAGGCCTTTTGCGATTGCTGCTTCGATGTGGGGCCGGAAAGAGAGGGTCGGATCTATCCAGACTCCTATATATTTCAGCCTCTCCTTGGGGTATGTGGTGGTGTTGTTGATTTTGACTGGGAGTCGTGGTTGTTGTATGGATGATGTGGTGGGGCGGAAGAAGATCAGGTCAGATTTATCCGGATCGTATTTAATTTGGAGTGGCTCGGCTTTTATTAGTCTTTCTCTCATACGTTCCTCCATTCTTTTGATTATGAAGCCTGGTGTTTTGGATATTTGCACCAGCGCATCATCATCGATGTATGTAGTGTCCATCTCTTTCGGGCTGCTTGTTGGGTCCAGGATTACTCCTGCATAGATCATAAATAGTACCGGGGACATGGGACTGCCTTGCGGTACTCCAGATTCGTAGGGCTGTGGTTCCTCTAGCTCATGGTTAAATTGGAATTGTAGTTTCCTGCCGGTGTTGAATTCCTTGCACCATTCTGTCAGATAGGTGGAGAATTTTTGCTGGTGCATGATTTCTGCGAGGAGTAGGTGGTCTACACAGTTAAATGCTCCCTGGATATCGTTGGTTAGGATCGCTGGTCTGTCCCGCCGGGCGACTGCGGTGCTGTTTTTCCGTAGTAGGTTTTGTTGTATTGGTGTTAGGGTTCTTAGGAGGGCGTCGATTGCTGAGATGTTTGGTCTCCCCTCAAATTGATTCGCGGTAAGTGTGCCTAGGATTTCTCCGGAGGTGCAGAGTCTTTGGGCCACTATCTTCTCCAGGATTTTACTGAAGCATTGTAGAAGGGAAATGGGCCGGTAGGCTTTTGCTTCATGATAGTTTGCTTTGCCGGGTTTCAGGATCGGGATGCATTTTGCTATTTTCCATTCCGCTGGGTGTACTCCGTGCCGAAGCATGGCGGAGAACATGTCCTGTATCAGAGTTGTGTTTGCCTTGATTATTGCCTTGATGAAGGTGTAGGGAATGCCATCCGGGCCGGTCGCCGAGTGCACTGGGCAGGAATCAATTGCTTTCTTGAGTTCTTCGGGGGTGACTATGTCGAAAGTGTCACGAAGGTCAAAAGAGGGGGGTCTAATGTTTAGGGGGGGGTGGTCAGGGGACGTCCGTTTTGTGGGGAAGAGTTGGGCTCTTAGAGCTTGGCATTTCCCCGCAAACGTTTCTTCACCTTGTATGGTTGGTATGATTGTGTCTCTTCTCCTTCCTGCGTTTAGGATCCTCCAGACCTCACTACCTTTCGCTTCATTCATCGTCTTTTCCCGCTGGTCCGCTTTTGCCTTCCGGATCATGACTGTCCATTCTCTGCATGCCTTCCGGTGCTCCTCCACGTGGTCGGGTTTCCTCGTATTTCTCGCCTTCCTTTCTGCCGAGTTTACCCTTGCCTTCATTTGTTTCATCTCGTCTGACCACCAGGAATTGGCTCTTACACCCTCCTTCGAGAGTGGCGTTACTATATTGATTGTTGACTTGACCAGTTCTAGGAAGAATTCGACCGTTTGTTCTGTGTGTTCCTTGGTTTCCCATGCCTCTGCGGGGAGGGAAAGATTTGATATGTAGTTATCCAATAGCTTCCAGTCTGTTTGTTGCCACAATCGTCTTGGTACAAAGGGTGGTTTTTCCAAGTGTAGGTGGACGGAGTTTCTCCCGTGGTCTGAGCCCACTCCATAGGGTTCACTGCTCCATCGTAGGTTATGGTCAAGTACTGGTCCTTTTACAAATGTAAGGTCGATAATTGTGGGCCTTTTCCCTCTGTCTCTAGGGAAATGCGTATAGACTCCTGGTTCATTCAGGAGGGTCAGTCTCTGTCGAGTTATCCATTGTTTTAGCCGTGTACCGTTGGCGCGGTCTGCTCGAATGTTGTTTCTGTATTCGTGTGAGGTTACTCCGTACCACATTTGGTGGTGGCAGTTGAAGTCTCCCATTACTAGACAGTTGTCGAGGGTTTGGATTGTGTTTGCTATTTGGGCGAAGGGGCCACTTCGGCCTGGGGAGTATATGTTTAGGATTTGGGTTTTCTTATTCTGAATTTCTACCGTAATCGATACTATGAAGTTGTCATGTGTGTAGTGGTGTTTTGGTTTAAGGTTGGTGTGTTTACGGACATATGTTGCCCATTTTGTGTTGGTGTTGCTGGCTGTAAAAAGGTAAAAGAGATTTGATTCTGGTGGGTATCCTTCTGCTGAGGTTCATGGTTCTTGTAGTAATAGGAAATAAATGCTAGAGTCTGTTTCCGCTTCCTCCACCGCCGCCTTGGTGGTTAGTTCGCTCCGTGCACAGTTAAGTTGGTGTGCGAGCGCGGTGGTTCGGGGTCTAGGCATTATTCGTCATGTGTTGGTCGTCTTCGGGAACGGGTGTGGCTCCGACCGGGGCGGTAGCTGGTACTTGGACTATTGGAAGTAACTCTTGGACGGGTGCGGCAGGTGGGTCTTGAGCGGGTGGGGCGTTTTCCTTTCCTTTGTTGAGGAATCGGCGTTTGACCCTTTCGGGGCATGCTGGGTCGGATGCCTTATGGATTCCTTTACAGTTCAGACATCTGATTGGGGTGTGGGTGCATTTATATCCTCCCTGGCATTCATTGCATGGGTGGAAGCTGGTGAGGTGGTCTCCGGCGCAGTGGCCGCATTTCCCATTGTTCTTGCATTTCTCCTGGCGATGGCCATATTCGAGGCAATTCGCACACTGGGTGTCTGGGAAGGTTGGGAGGAAGGCCTCGATATGGCAGCTTCTGTTAAAAAGAGATAGGAATTTAACTCCTAGTGTTTCCGTTGTGATTTGTCCTGGGAGCGCGATGACCATTGACGAGTGTGTTTTCTCCATTCGAGTCTCTGCTCTGGAGATCCAGCGGGGAACCTGGGCAAGTTGGAAGTTTTCTCCATAGTTACTTCTGATTTCGGATGCTACCAATTGTCCTGCCTCGATGCCCTCCCCGACCGTTGTGGGGATTCCATGGAGAAGGAACTTTGACCATTTGGAGTTTGCACGGATGTTGGCGACCGGTACTTGTAGGGTGAGGAGGGCCTCCTCAATTTCTTTGGCATATTCCATTGCCTTTGTTGCGGGGGTAATGAATTTTGTTTCCAGGATGAAGTTGTCCTTAGCTGTTCTCCTTGCTGAGATAAAGTGGCAGGAATCGTCCTGGATTCTTGCGTTGACCAGGGACCTGATTTCGGAGGGGTTGACGTCGGATAGGGCAGTGGTTTCAACAATGATTTCTCTGTTGATTTTGGTGTACTCTGGTTTAAAGATGGGATCCGCTTTTGGCTTTGCAGGCTTCTTTCTTTCGACCACCTGGAATTTCTGAACAGGGACGGCTGCCGAGGCCACGGTGGCCCAGGTGCCTGCTTTCCATCCACAGGGTGGGGCTTGTTGGGGAGGTGTGGGTGGGGGGGCCTGAGGAGCTGCCTGTGGCGCTGCTTGGGGGATTGTTTGGGGGACCGCTGGAGGGGCCGTTCTTTGTCTCTGTTGCGGTTGTTGTGGTTGTTGCTGTTGCTGATGTTGCTGCGGTTGGGGTTTGTTGAGGAGAGAATGGATCGCCCAGTGCATGTTGGTAATCATCATTGTCTGTGCCTCGATTTGGTGTTTCAGTGTTTCCACTGTTCTCCGGAGTGTAATCGATTGCTCTTCGAGGATTTCGATCCTGTCGGATGGTGGGCAGATCCGGCTGGTTGCATGTCTAATGGCCCAGGTGATGTAGTTTAGGTCTGTCTGGGTGTGCGTAGTATGGGGGACAGTGCTCGGATAGAGATAGTCAATTCTCGGTTGGTAGGGGTCATTGTAGTCAGATTCTGTTGCGAAGGTCGAGGAAAATTCCTGCTCCTGTTGTCCGGATGGGGTTGGGTCGGGATCCTGAGTGTTCCTGTTCTGTGGGGGGGCTGTCCCTTGTGGGGAAGACTGGGTGAAGAAGGACTGGAGTGAAGCTTGCTGCGACATGACTGAATGTCCGGTTCTTCTGACGGCGTAGAGTGATGTTTCGGATAGGTTTCTTTTCCTTCCTTTCGGGAGGTCAAGGTTGGAGAATTTTTCGCTAGAAGCCAGTTTTCGTGGGGTTTCTTTCGCTTGGAACAACAAACGCGACCGTACGGTCAGGGACGAGGTGGTTCAGCCTGGTATGGTATACCAGGGTAAACCAAAGTAATAAGAATTAAAGGGTAGAGCAAGTAAAGTATACGATAGTAAAATGTTTTTCGAAGCGAGATTTATTGTCAGGAAGTTTTGCGAGCCTTAGCGAGCCGGTAGAATACAGAAGAAGAAGAAGAAGAAACTTATATTGCTTTGAAGTACAAGACTTATCGCACGCCGACCCGACCGCCTAAAACACAAACCAAACAAAAGAACGAAAGGAAAGAAAACAACAAACACAAACAAGCAAACACAAACAAAAGCGACCACGAACGAACATCAACAAGAATAAGGAAATTCCGGAACGACACTCAACCAGAAACAACCCAACGACAAGGAGAAATAACATATCTCAGCGAACTCAGGCGCTGGATCCATCAAAACAAAGTAAAACCAAAGGTAAAAAGGTACAAAGGAAACCACCCTTTCCTAATCCCGTCCCTAATCATTTTCTTCCATCCCCTCTTCTAAGTCCGCCTCCGCTTCCGCTGACTCGTACCACTTCGAGAGTTGAGAGTTTTTTGCAAATTGTAAGATAAGGTCCGTTTTCAAGTTTGTAAACATCCAGTTTTCCCAGGTCATCGCTCCGGGGATCTTTTCTATCAGAGGGGCGCGGATTCGAGCCCACGCTGGGCATTCCATAAGTGTGTGTTTCGCTGAGTTTTCCATACCACACTGGCATGGTTCGGGGTCTGTATATACCGCGTGTTTATCGATTCGGGTAGTTTGGCACCGGATTCGAAAAACTTTTTTCGCTTCCGTTAGGGTGAGTTTCGCAATCTTGGAAGGGGGGCGGAAATCCCCCCGATGATGGTAGTCCGGTATTGGTTGTATATTCCATTCTTCCAACAGGTGGTCGCGTAGTAGTTTGTTTTGATTCCACTTGTCTCTCGCATTTCCGGGGGTTTGATATGGGAGTAGGAGGGAAGCGATTCGGTGTAGACCTGTCCCTTTGATGTTTGCTTCTCTATGTGGGAGGAGCTCGATTAGGGATTCATTGTTAGGGTGGGTTGCCTCGGTGCAGAGTATTCTGGTTCCGTACTTTCTTGAGCGATATGTTAGGAGGTGTTCTAGGGGGGGTAGTCCTGCTTCTCGGAGGAGTTTAGCTCTCTTGGTCCATCGAGGTAGGCCCGTGATGATCCGGGCAGCTTCGTTGTATAGTGGTTCTAGCGATCTAATGATGTGGTCTGCGCCAGTCCACCAGGCCTCAGATCCGTAGAGCAGGCTTGGAAGGAAGCCCTGTATTATTAGGTGATGAACTGTCTTGACTGTTATCCCTGGCAGGCGGGCGGTGTTTCGGATTTGGTGGAGGGCTTTTAGGCCTTTTGCGATTGCTGCTTCGATATGGGGCCGGAAGGAGAGGGTTGGATCTATCCAGACTCCTACGTATTTCAGCCTCTCTTTGGGGTATATATTGATGTTGTTCACTTTGACTGGAAGTCGTGGTTGTTGTGTGGATGATGTAGTGGGCCGGAAGAAGATCAGGTCGGATTTGTCCGGGTCTTATTTGATTTGAAGTGGCTCAGCTTTAATTAGTCTCTCTCTCATTCGTTCCTCCATTCTCTTGATTGTAAAGCCTGGTGTTTTGGATATTTGCACCAGCGCATCGTCATCAATGTAGGTTGTGTCCATCTCTTTTGGGCTGCTAGTTGGGTCCAGAATTACTCCGGCGTAGATCATGAATAGTACCGGAGACATGGGGCTACCTTGCGGCACTCCGGAATCATAGGGCTGTGGTTCCTCTAGCTCATGGTTGAATTGGAACTGTAGTTTTCTGCCGGTGTTGAATTCCTTACACCATTCTGTCAGATAGGTAGGGAATTTTTGTTGGTGCATGATTTCCGCGAGGAGTAGGTGATCGACACAGTTGAATGCTCCTTGGATGTCATTGGTTAGGATCGCTGGTCTGTCTCGCCGGGCGATTCCGGTACTGTTTTTTAGTAGTAGGTTTTGTTGTATTGGTGTCAAGGTTCTCAGGAGGGCATCAATCGCCGAGATGGTTGGTCTTCCTCCGAATTGGTTTGCTGAGAGTGTGCCTAGGATTTCTCCAGCGGTGCAGAGTCTCTGGGCCACTATCTTCTCCAGGATTTTGCTGAAACATTGTAGAAGGGAAATAGGCCGGTAGGCTTTTGCTTCATGGTAATTTGCTTTACCGGGTTTCGGGATCGGGATACACTTAGCTATTTTCCATTCCGCTGGATGTACACCGTGCCGGAGCATAGCGGAGAACATGTCTTGGATTAGAGTTGTATTTGCTTTGACTATAGCTTTGATAAAGGTATAAGGGATGCCATCCGGGCCGGTCGCCGAGTGCGCTGGGCAGGAGTCGATTGCTTTGTTAAGTTCTTCGGGGGTGACTATGTCGAAGGTGTTGCTAAGGTCAAAAGAGGGGGGTCTAATGTTCAAGGGGGGATGGTCGGGGGACGTCCGTTTCGAGGGGAAGAGTTGGGCTCTTAGAGCTTGACACTTCCCCGCAAACGTTTCTTCACCTTGTATGGTTGGTATGATTGTGTCTCGTCTCTTTCCTGCGCTTAGGATTCTCCAGACTTCACTACCTTTCGCCTCGTTCATCGTCTTTTCCCGCTGGTCCGCTTTTGCTTTCCGGATCATGGCTGTCCATTCTCTGCAAGCCTTCCGGTGTTCCTCCACGTGATTAGATTTCCTTGTATTTCTCGCCTTCCTTTCTGCTGCGTTTACCCTTGCCTTCATCTGTTTCATCTCATCTGACCACCAGGAGTTGGCTCTTACCCCCTCCTTCGAGAGTGGTGTTACTATGCTGACTGTTGACCTAACCAGTTCTAGGAAGAAATCGACAGTTTGTTCCGTATGTTCCTTGGTTTCCCATGCCTCTGCGGGGATGGAGATGTTTGACATGTGGTTCTCCAATAGCTTCCAGTCTGTTTGTCGCCACATTCGTCTTGGTACAAAAGGTGGTTTTTTCAGGTGTAAGTGGACGGAGGTTCTTCCGTGGTCTGAGCCCGCTCCGTAGGGTTCAGTACTCCATCGTAGGTTGTGGTCGAGTATTGGGCCTTTTACAAATGCAAGGTCGATGGTTGTGGGCCTTTTCCCTCTGTCTCTGGGGAAGTGCGTAAAGACACCTGGTTCGTTCAGGAGGGTCAGTTTCTGTCGGGTTATCCATCGTTTTAACCGTGCGCCGTTGACCCGGTCTGCTCGGATGTTGTTTCTGTACTCATGTGAATTTACTCCGTACCACATCTGATGGTGGCAGTTGAAGTCTCCCATTACTAGACAGTTATCAAGGGTTTGGATTGTACTTGCAATTTGGGCGAAGGGGCCACTTCGGCCTGGGGAGTATATGTTTAGGATTTGGGTTTTTTTGGTTTGGATTTCTACCGTTATCGATACTATGAAATTATCGTGTGTGTAGTGGTGTTTTGGTTTGAGATTGGCATGTTTGCGGACGTATGTTGCACATTTTGTATTGGTGTTGCTGGCCGTAAAAATATAAAAGAGATTTGATTCTGGTGGGTATCCCTCTGCTGAGGTCCATGGTTCTTGTAATAATAGGAAATAAATGCTAGAGTCTGTTTCCGCTTCTTCTACCGCCGCCTTGGTAATGAGTTCGCTCCGTGCACAATTGAGTTGGTGTGCGAGCGCGGTGGTTCGAGGCCTAAGCATTATTTGTCATGGGTTGGTCATCTTCGGGAACGGGTGTGGCTCCGACTGGGGCGGTGGCTGGTACTTGAACTATTGGAAGCAGCTCTTGGACGGGTGCGGCCGGTGGGTCTTGAGCGGGTGGGGCGTTTTCCTTCCCTTTATTGAGGAATCGGCGTTTGGCTCTCTCGGGGCATGCTGGGTCGGAGGCCTTATGAGCTCCTTTACAGTTCAGACATCTGATTGGAGTGTGGGTGCATCTATGTCCTCCCTGGCATTGATTGCATGGGTGGAAACTGGTAAGATGATCTCCGGCGCAGTGGCCGCATTTCCCATTATTCTTACATTTCTCTTGGCGGTGGCCGTACTCGAGGCACTTTGCACACTGAGTATCCGGGAAGGTTGGAAGGAAGGCCTCGATATGGCAGCTTCGGTTGAAGAGAGATAGGAATTTAACTCCTAGTGTTTCCATTGTAATTTGTCCTGGGAGCGCAATGACCATTGATGAGTGGGTTTTCTCCATTCGAGTCTCTGCTCTGGAGATCCAGCGGGGAATCTGTGCAAGTTGGAAGTTCTCTCCATAGTTGCTTCTGATTTCTGATGCTACCAATTGTCCCGCCTCGATGCCTTCCCCGACCGTTGTGGGAATTCCATGGAGGAGAAACTTTGACCATTTAGAGTTTGCGCGGATGACAGCGACCGGTACCTGTAGGGTGAGGAGGGCCTCCTCAATTTCTTTGGCATATTCCATTGCCTTTGTTGCAGGGGTGACGAACTTTGTTTCCAGGATGAAGTTGTCTTTGGGTGTTCTCCTTGCTGAAATGAAGTGGCAGGACTCGTCCTGAATCCTTGCGTTGACTAGGGTCCTGATCTCAGAGGGGTTGACGTCGGATGGGGCAGTGGTTTCAACAATGATCTCCCTGTTGATTTTGGTGTACTCTGGTTTGAAGATGGGGTCCGCTTTCGGCTTTGCGGACTTCTTTTTCCTCTCGACAACTTGGAAGTTTCCTTGGGCAGGACCGGGTGCCGAGGCCACGGCGGCCCAGGTGCCTGCTTTCCATCCACGGGGTGGGGCTTGTTGGGGGGGTGCGGGTGGGGGGGCCTGAGGGGCTGCCTGAGGCGCTGCCTGGGGAATTATTTGGGGGACCGCTGGAGGGGGCATTCTCTGTCCCTGCGGTTGTTGTTTTCGCTGTTGTTGCTGTTGTTGCTGTTGTTGGTTTTGTTGTGGTTGTTGCGGTTGCTGCAGTTGTGGCTGTTTGTTGAGGAGAAGATGGATCGCCGAGTGCATACTGGTGATCATAGTTGTCTGCGCCTCGATTTGGTGCCTCAGTGTATCCACTGTTCTCCGGAGTGTGGTCGTTTGCTCTTCGAGGGTTTCAATCCTGTCGGTGGGTGGGCAGATTCGGCTGGTAGCATGTCTAATAGCCCAGGTAATATAATTCAGGTCCGTCTGGGTGTGAGTGTCCTGGGGGACAATACTCGGGTAGAGGTAGTCGACTCTCGGTTGGTATGGGTCGTTGTAGTCGGATTCTGTTGCAAAGGTCGAGGAAAATTCTTGTTCCTGAGCTCCGGATGGGGTTGGGTCGGGAACCTGAGTGTTCCTGTTCTGCGAGGGGGCTGTCCCTTGCTGGGAAGGCTGGGAAGACTGGGTAAAAAAGGACTGGAGCGAGGCTTGCTGCGACATAATTGAGTGTCCAGTTCTTCTGGCGGCGTAGAGTGATGTTTCGGATAGATTTCTTTTCCTTCCCTTCGGGAGGTCAAGACTAGAGAATTCTTCGCTAGAAGCCAGTTTCGTAGGTTTCTTTCGCTTGGAACAACAGAACGCGACCGTACGATCGGGGACGAAGTGGCTCAGCCTGGTATGGTATACCAGGTAAAACCGAGAGGAATAAAAATAAAGTGTTTTTGAAGCGAGGTTTGATATCAGGAAGTTTTGCGAGCCTTAGCGAGCAAGGAGAATACAGAGGTTGCGTAAAGAAGGAAGAGAAGAAGGAAAACAAACAAAAGCACGAGACAACGCCCCCCTATATATCCAACCATAGTCCAATAATGACTAATACCTTCGCGTAACAGAAACCAAAAGAACATAACAGAAATCCCCATTACAAATCCTAATTCCTCTAAACAATACCTCCTTCCCTCGTTCCAGTTTATCACCTAGCCAAAAATACATAGCTGCCGTTACAATAACAAATGAGAATCCTCCAATACTATGAAATGAGTCCACCGTATTGTTTCAAGATTGGTCAGGGTCAACAGGATAAGGGGAACAGCAGTACAGTGATCTTTTTGAGTAAAGAATAGGAAATGATATTATATAGTAATGGACAGCATGGGTACAGAAGATTTTGTGTATCAAAAGAAAGAAGAGAAAGAGAACAGAAATGAAAGCGAAACCTCCTAATATACCCATGAAAATCCCAGCGAGTACAAATCCAAAGTTGGTCATACCCTTACAACCAACAGAATCCGATAGAACTCAATAGTATATTTCTGACTAATCCAACTTCTCGTAATCCAGTGTGTTAACTAATCGGTCCATGAAATCCAAGTACAGAGATAAATTGGTATAAAAATTATCTATATATACGTTGCATGCAAGATTAGTGTAATGCATGTATTTTAGCATCTGTAGTCTACATTCTGATTTGTTGGTGAAATCCGATGGCTCATCAAATGGGTCTAGTCTACTTTTATTGGACGTGGGGTGGAAATTGAAGATGTACCAATGATCATCACCAATCTACAATTTAATACGTTTATGAATTGGCTTGCTCTTAATCTTCTATGTATCACAGGACCTACCAGTGCTACGGATCATAGCTTCATCAACTGATACGTTGGAGGAAAGTCTGCGATATTTCTGGGTAGCATATTCTAACTAATATAATAGCGGGTCAATTTTTTGATTATATAGGTGCCGGCCTGCGCTAGAAATTGGTGGATAATTCAGGGGTGATATGTGAAAGAAGTGCTCGATTTGCTCAAACTGAATCTGAGTGATATAGCTGGTAAAGTAGTGGGAAGGCCAGAGCCTATAATGGCTCCAATAGTACTTAATAGAGATCATTTTACATACCCCCATATAAATCAAAACTTCAAATCATACCCTCAAATCAGACGCAGTAGGAGGATTCCAGCGAGACTGAAAAGCACTACTATTGCCTTCAGCCATCCTCTTTTCTGTATAGAGATCGGTATTGGTAGTGATTATCTCAAAGAGGATCTCATTCATGAACAATTTGAACACATGAATGCGTTCAAGTAGCTACAGATTAACTAGAGAAACTGGCAGTTTATTGAACACTGAATGCAGAAGGACCTCATATACTAAAGGTATAAAATATGGAATAGCAGGGGGCTGATGGTGGGATTGAAGTTCCTTATAAGTAGACTTCTTCGAGGGTTTAGCAGAAGTCTCAGCGGGCGAGTGAGATTTCATGATCCCGCTTTTTCTCACCTTCAGAATAGCACAAGGCATAGTAGATACAGTGGAAGTCTACTCTGATTCTCCTAAATAGAATCTATTTGGTTTTCGAGCACGTGATTCTCTTTCATTCATGGTAGATTAAGAGAAGGTGACACTGTTTTAGCTCACTCGTGAAGTTTGCTTATCCAGGAAGTTTCGCAATAGATCTGTTTACCTTAGAAGCTTTCTGGGTGAACCGGCTTCTTCCTCAATAAACCTGATTTAGAAACCTTCAGTTCAGTCACGAATAATGTGCTAAAATTAGTTCATCTAGGAAGTATTGACACCTGTCATCCTGCTTGCTCAGCCAATCTCCGATTGCCATAACTGTCAAAACAATTTTGGTTGTTTCCTTCTCTATCTTAAATGATGAGAGCACAATTGATTTAGTGAAAAGAAGTTTCAGTGTGCCATTTGTATAGGTTGGCCAGGGACAACACAGTATGAATATGATGTCGGTTTAATTTCCATTCAGTCTTTGCCTCTATTATACAGACAATCTGTGTGTTTTCAGATCGCAATTATATCAATACCATTGGTGTGAGAATATCCCTCCTGAAATCTTTTCCTGAGTAGACTGATTTTGAGCTTTATTTCCTGGTCGGACTGGAGACTTGCAAAGTCGGTCTATACAGGAAGAAACCAGTTCACTCAGGAAACTTCCCAGATAAACCAGTTCATACAGGAAACTTTCTGGATAAGGGAACTTTGTGGTTGAGCTAGAACAGTACTGCTTGATTTGTATGGGATTATGAGCGGTAATGATTGCTGGGTTATTATACCCAAAAACTTGCTATAAATAATATTCCTCATACCCGATGAATCTTCCATATATGACCTACTAATTAGTTCATTAATGAGGAGGGGGTAGAGAAAGTCGATAAATAATGACAGCTCAGTGGGAATTCCGAAAAGAAATCGGGTGCTGTAACGTCCCCAAATCGTTGAGTTACGGACCATGGGATAGGCCCTAACATGTACCTATGCTTATATAGACTGAGCTCATGCGATTTCTTCAAAATTTCACTGAATTTCACTAAGTCCGGATTAATGCATCCCGGAGATGCATCATAGATGTGCATAATAGAAATCCATCATGGAAATGCATCAAAGGGCCCTGGAAATGCATCTCCGTCCCATTTCCAACCGATCCCCCCTAGAAACGAATCAAGCGATTCGTTTCGGAAATTTCCTTTGCAGGGAAAGGCATCGTTTGATGCATTTCCCGACCTACTAGAGTCACAAAGCGAGAAGGCATTATTTGTTTTTATTGAATACCTTAGATAGTTAATGATGAGACCCGAACACAAAACACTGGGAAGAACTCACTATGAGATAGCTATTGATGGAACCCGCATTACTAAACACTTGAACGCACTCACTATTGATGGATCTCGTGATAGTCAGTACTTGGATTAATGGAACTCGACCCCCTGACAACTCACAGTCAGATATTGACAAGAACCGGTTTTACTCGGCGGATATATATCATTCAAGTACGTTCCCAAAACTGCTCGACTTATAGTCCAACCTCGCTCGACTTTCTGTCCAAGTCGCGCAGCTAAAATACTCTATTATAAATAAGGTAGGTTAAGCGCACAATTCGCATACGGACTCTTTTGATAAAATATTCCTCTTAACCCTAACCCTGAAATATCTTGCGAGTATCACTCGCCTGTCACGCTATGTTTCACCCCGAACCTTACTTCTTGATTATTATATGGGGTCTGTGTTGAGCTCTTGCGGAGTATGAGTACTGAATTGTGCGTTCTGCTCAAGGCTATATCTATATGTAACCAAAATCGTCCGGAGACGATCGTGGCTTGCCATATTCTTGTTCCGTATATATGCCATCATGCGAATTATGACACCCCGAGTGTTCGATTGCTTGGTTGATATCCGCAGATGGACCTTCAAATAGAGAAGCCGTTCGGATGTTTAATTGAAATATAGAGGACCGGATGGGAACCACGAGGTGTCACACCCCGACAGGCGCATGACTAGCCAAAGAGCACTGGTTCAAAAGCGTGTAATTATATAGAAACGATTAAATAACATTTCCCGAGCAGGGGTTCAGATCCCATAAGGGTAAAACAAAAGAAAATGCACGGTTGCGCACGTAACGGGGCGGAGGAGAGCCTCCACAGCTACTAGATTGATAGAGAAGGATGAAGCTTGGAACCTGGCCTGTGAACAATTAATGAGTCATAGTCCCATCCCCTGCCCACCATATTCCACTAACCCCCCATATATTAGGCTTTGGAAATCGAATCTTGTGTTCTCTCCCGATTCCGGCCTAACGAGAACCGGGTCGTGGACCCTGGGGATTGGGTCGTCTCCGGGGATTGGGACGTATCCCGATGTTGTGTTGTCTCTGATTGGGGTGCCTGCTGGTTCGCTTGGCTTGTTTTCTCTTTGAACATCCACATCCACAACGCTTCCAACTTCTCCTTTATTTTGTCATCTGGTGCCCATAAAAAGAGCGCCATCACGACTGTCATAGCCGCCGTGACAGGGCCCGCGATAGACCAGAACCTTGCCCCCCCGAAATTCTCTGGTATCGCGTAGTACTTTTGGTATATATCTCACATTAGCTAGCCTTCCGCGAGTATGTATTAGTGTTCCGGGGGTCCTACACTACAGAAAAATCCGAGAGGCAAGAAGACAGCTGTTACAAGCGTAAATACTGAGATGGTCTGGCCCTGGACCCTCAGGGTTTCCTCCATCTTTTCCTGGCTTTCGGCCTGTGCTTGTAGGGCCACCTTGACAGCTTCTTGGCTTTCAATTTGCCCCTTGATCAGGGTGTCTTCGATGGATTTTTGGCTTTCAACTTGATCTCCTTCCAGACACTACGAAACCTATAAGTCTTTTATTTCTTGCGGCAAAGGACCCAATCATAGCTAAGAGGGCGGATATTACCAATGTTCTAGCAAGTTCAAGGTCTTTCAACAAGATACGCAACTCCTTGTAGAACCTTTCACGTTCGGCGACAACTGCGGTAATACTGTTCATCACATCCTCTAACTGTTCAGGTTGCTTCCTTAAAAGGGGTATCGGATATGAGTTCCGGTGGGGCCGGGGCTCCCCCGTAAGTCTTTTGCTGTCATATGAGTTTTCAAATATTTGCCGGAGGTCCTCAAGATAGCCAATCTGGGAGCGCACTATTCGAATCATCGTGGAAACATCTTTTATGTAGCTTCCATAAGATTTGAAGACTTCATTCTTATCTTTTGTGATATTGTCTTCGAGCTTTAGTTCCTAGTTCGATCAATTAGTGTCGGCTATCTTAATGACCTCTCATAATGGATGGAATGGATAGAGCCCATCTAGCAGACGAACCAGATCGTTGACTTTCGAGTGGAAGATCTTTAGTGCCTCGTTCTCTGAAGAAGTCAATAGATTGGAAATCATATGCACTAAAGCCTGAGACGCAGCCATCCGCTTTTGATATGGAAATAGTGGTGCTCGGTTCGAGTAGTGATCGTCCTTCGATCTAAATATTCCGATCCGTTCTTATAAATGGCGAGTCCGTTAATACCCTACTAGATATAGTTCAAGGAAGACCTCAAACCATCATGGAAGCTCAAAAGCCATGTTTGGTGTACCAGTATATCAGGGATGGTAGCTGTAGCAACGGGCGTTGTGTTGTTAACCTGGGAATTGATTGATTGTCGGAGGCGATATTGACGCAACGTTCGGCTTTCGTTTATAGTGGCATTATATCCAACACCAAGGTAGGGGAGAGACACGAAAATTGTGAAAAATCTAGGACTGTAGCTCGCCCGCAGTGAAACACCTGTTATGAAATTACCAAAATTGTCGAGACTATTGGCCTTCAAAACCTCTCGTGCGGGTGACTCGGCTCCGACCACGGCATTTATGAATTTCTGCGGTAAATTAGTTTCATGTTAGACAATAAGAAACTTGTAAGCCCGTCAACGAATGGGCATTCGTTCACACATACTGTTGCTTCTTCGATCTCACAACCAACACGATCCCTAAAGCCAATACGGGTCAGCACTATACCTGGGTTTTACCCTCCACCAAACTGAACGAGCCCGGGGGATATTATATATACATAACCCATATTGTTGAATATGACTTTTGACTGGTATGGGCGTATTGCCCATTGATTGTGATTGGAGTTTCGCGCGTATAAAGCCGGCTCTCGGAGACTGCTACCCTCTTCCCACATTGATCGGGTCCATTGTCTCCACCATCATCAGTTTCTCCACCCCTCTCCGGGTCCTGAGAATAATAGATAATAACCACCTCTCCAGGGTTCCTCGGTATCGGGTGGAGAGCATAGCTCCTCAATAAACAAGAGCCTTCCTCAACGGGTAAAACATCAAACGGTTCAGGACTAGGGTCCGAAGAAGAATTAGACATGCTGGTATATTGTTGAGCTTTGGTGCGTGTCAAACGACAACCATCAGTAATGACGAGTCGGAGCTGGTTAAGGCCTTATAATGTTCATAGGGAATGGATAATACCAGCGTGTGAGAAGATTCCCGAGTAAGCTGTAAGCACATTTCATTGGGGTATCGAATCACTGGCCCCGGCCTACTTGATAGTGAATTCAGGTGCGCATATAAGTGCACTCGCCTACCTACCCCTCAGGCCAAGAGTTATTAGCACTCTGCGGCAGGGCGGCGCCACCGACGAATAATCCCGGTTCTTTTCCCACCAAGCGAGTAAGTGCATGTATGAATTGAGGTACTGAATAGATTGAGCACTTTAAGAGATACCCGAATGTGCAGAGCACCCGTGACAATCTAGTCCGACTTGAGCTAGCTAATACACACGTGGCCCAGAGAACATGTACCTACTCTACTAGCCTAGTAATGCATGTAAGTACTGACAGGTATACTATACATATTCTTTGAATGTGTGTTCTTGGTGTGCCTTGGACGCATAAGACACTGGGAAAATCTCTCTCATGTATGAACCAGCGAATATTATAGCACATGCACCCAATTCTAGAGACTGCTCTGGTTACCTGGGAATCTTCACAGCCAGAATTTCGGGGCTAATGTATGAGAGAGATTCTCCAGTGACTCATGCGTCCAAGACATACGTAGTGTTCGTGCTTGTTCTTCGTAAAGCATTCGAGTCTCTCTTTACGGTTTACCCTCCGAGACCTCAGACTCAGTGATGGTATTCTGGAAATTTTGAACAATGAACTGGGGTTTTATGCAGCTTGCTAGATACCATACTCGCTATACCGTAGTTTCACCTAGCTCTCCCGTGATCGGAGGATCATCAATATGTACAGCGCATTTTGCCAGTCCCTCTCAACCGCATGATCCTTGGCGCCTAAGCATCCGGATCGTCCAGGAGTACAGGCCGGCCGCCTCCCAGCGGTTATCGAACCAGTTAACATAGGTTAATACACTAGCGAGTGTACGTGTATGAGGGTCGCCTTATAGTATTAGAGCCTCACGTGTCCAGCCCATCTCTCTTAGCACCAAGGCCTCTGCCTCTCGCCATATGCGGTGAAGAGGTCTGGTTGGGGATGGGGAGAAAGCACTTCAGTCTGACACTCAAAAATATATCTTGCAGATATTCGGGTGCACCCTTTCTTATCTCGGATGAACCAACTATCCGACTGGGTCGGAACAATTTGTATGGGTTTATTATTTTCTTATTATATTCTTATTATTATTCATGTCTGGGAAACTGGCCTCACACCCTCTGTACTTGTCTTTACACTTAACAATTAACGAACTTCATTCAAACACATCTTGCGAAGAGGTTCGAAATATCGAACCTGGCCTAGCGGCCTCTCCCTACATCGCCTCTACGATTCTGACGCCTCCCTACTTGCCTCAGCTGCTACCTATCTATCTCCTACCTGATCTACTCCTTACCTACCTCGCTACATTCCCTCCCACCTAAAATCACTTTGACACTTATACAGACACCTGTCTAGACTCCTAATCGGCGCCCAAATCAGCACCTAAGTAAGCACCTAATTCGAGGGCTAATTCGAGGCCTAATTCGACGTCTAATTCGACAATTCCAGGCGGAAGTAGGTAAGCAGGTAGGTAAAAAGGTAGGTAACCGACTAGGTAGGCAGTTAGGTAAAAGGTAGGCAGGCGGGTAGGTAGGCAGGGTAGGAGGGTGGGTAGAGGGACTGGTGGGCACTATCATGTATTAGCAGTGTTTGCAATGGTACAAATCGGTATGAAAATCTCCGCGTATTGTATTAACTGTACCACCAGGACTTCAAAATTGTACTAACTATTTAACCACCTCTTCCAACCCGGTTAAACCGGTAATACCATTTATCTAAATGGTATGTGGGTTAGGGTTCTTGGCGGGCGTTTAGAGCCGAAGGTGTAAAGGTTCTACCGAAAGCGGCGGAAAAACAATATTCCGTACCATTTAGTTAGTTGGTTTATAACGGTTTAGGGTGTACCAACTGGAACCTCCTCTCACCCGCTCTCCAAAGCACCCACATCCCCTCCTGCGACACCCCCTCGATGCTGGATGACTGGTTCGATAAATCGCTTACCCTCATCACAGACATGGTCAAGCAACACACACCCCCAAAAACCATCTCAAAATGGTCAAAGAAATGGTGGACCCCGGACCTCTCCCAGCTCCGAACCATCTTTCACTCAATACACAGAGCATTCAGAAAAGGCAGAGCCCCCCCCTCAGAGATGAAGGCAGCGCGCAACGCCTATTTCAATGCCATAAAGAAAGCAAAACAAGACCACTGGAACGCCTTCATCGCCAACGCCGACACAAAGGATGTGTGGAGACTGAAGAAAATGGCCAACAGGACGGAAGATAAGATTCCCACCCTCCCAAACTCACCCACCCCAACCCTCCTCAACAACAACCTCATCAACGCCTTCTTTCCCCCTCGACTAGAAGGCCCCTCCCCCTCCCCCATCCACTTCCCGAACACCCCCCTCATTACACCCAATGAAGTTCAAGCCGCACTGGGCCCCACCTCCAACCTCTCTGCACCCGGCCCAGACACCATCCCATATTCAGTATGGAAAGGTATCCACAGAGCCAACCCCCGCATAATTCCCGCCCTCCTCAACCCGCTCATCCAACATGGATACCACCCACTCTCCCTAAAAACCGCCAATGGAGTAATCCTCGCTAAACCAAACAAACCGGACTACTCCTCCCCCGCCGCATACCGTATAATCGTCCTCCTCCAGACCTTCTCCAAGATCCTGGAAAAAATAATAACACTCCGCCTGGCCGTAATAGCGAAAGCCGTAGGACTCCTCCACAACCACCAATGCGGGTCAGTCAGCGGCTTGTCCACTGGAGACGCAGTCACCACACTCATACACGAGGCCAGAGCCATGCAGCTGGCTAAGCTCAAAGTCTCCACCCTCTTCCTAGACATCAAAGGAGGCTTTGACCATGTCCTCAAACAACACCTAGCCTCCACCCTCTCAGAAAAACATACCCCCCCCTACATCACGAACTGGGTCCTCTCCTTCCTATCTGACCGATATATTACGCTGTTGTTTAAAGGATCCCCCAAAATCCCCACAGCCGTCCAAGTCGGAGTCCCACAAGGATCCCCAATATCACCACTTCTTTTCCTCATCTATATTAACTTCCTCCATCAACATGACCCCGCCCCCGGCATCTCACTCTCCTATGTAGACGACCTAGCCATTACAGTGGCCTCCCCATCATATGGGGAAAACATCGACATACTCCAGACCCACTACAATAAACTTACAGCTCTGGCCTCCCCGAAGAACGTTACATTCTCGGTGGGGAAGACGGAGCTAATGCACTGGAGAACCCCACGCGATAAGTCCCCCACCTCACACCTCCCAATACTCCTGGACGGTCAAGCCTTCCAGCCCAGCCCCATAGTACGATGGGTCGGATATTGGCTCTCCCCCAACTTCAACCCCAACGCCCACTTCATCAGAAGAACGGCGGCCGCAAGAGCAGCCTTCGGCATTCTCAACCGCTTCTCCTCAGCAGGAAAAGGCCTATCACCCGCAAATTGCAGGAAAGTTGCCCTCCTCGCCATCCGCCCCATGCTTACTTACGGAGCCAATGTATTTACCCCAACGTCAGCGCTCCGAGAAATGAATACCTTCTGGAATGCAGTCCTCAGATGGACAACAGGCTGCTTCAGAGCCACTAATAACCGTGTCCTATGGGCGGAAGCAAAAGCCCCCCCCCTAATACTATACCTCCACTTCCTAAAGTGCAAATTCGCTATCAGGATCCTCCGAGCTTCCCCACTAGCAAACCCAGTAACGGGAAGGACAGACCCCCACTTCCCCACCACCCTTCGAGACCGAACCTTCTCACACACCGCCCTCCTCAAAGGCCGACCCAACCCACCAAAGAAATGGAACTCCAGAGCAAAAAAAGGCGTAGCACATACACCTATTGAGCACCTCTGCTCCCTGCTCCTCCCCCTAATCGAGGAAGGGGTAGATCAAGGCAAGATGGCCCATAGAGCCAAGCAACAACTGCTGGATAACTGGCGTACCCATTTCCCAACTCCGACCTACTACACACACAGACTAGACACATCCCCCCTACCCTTCACACACCTCCACAAGTTCATCGCCACAAGAATCCATCAAATAAGATCAGGGAAAAGCTATCTACGAGCACAGCAATCCTGGATCAACCTACACACCTCACCCAAATGCCGGAAATGTGGCCTCGAAGACGAGACCCCCGACCATGCCATACTACAATGCAACGCCTCTGCACTCACCCGCTCCCAAACCTTAGAAGGAGTTACATCCCTTGAGGAAATCTGGGACAACTACACCCTTACCCTCCTGCTAGGGGCCTACATCACTAAAACCAGAACAGGCTACCCGGTCAGCCGGGGACCCTCACCACTCGAGTCAGGCTCAGGAACCTCATCCCCCCTCAGCTCAGTCTCCTCCTCCTCTACGTCATCAACAATACTCATGGGCCCAATACCCACAGTCTACGCGTCCTAGCAAAGTCTCACTGAGAGCATAAGGCCAATGGCCAGAAGGATTTCACAGGGAAAGGCAACTAGCCCTCCCTCTAAATTGTTCACTGTTATTTATATGCGTATATCTTTCTTTTGTTATATTTTATTTTTGCTTGGAATTTTGTTTTTTGCTTTATACTAGGGGGCGAGTTATAAGTTTGGAAAGGGGATAGGTTTCTTTACGCCATAGTTTATACTTTACGCGATCATTGTGTACCTAGAAACAGAAATTGAAATGATTTAAAAAAAAAAAAAAACGGTTTAGGGTGTATCATGTCTCAGTATAATCACCATCGCTTGAAGCTCAAACTGTACTAACTGTCTCATTATTATTTAGCTTTTTACCGGTTTGTACCGCAAAACCGACGTCTCATTGCAAACACTGTGTATTAGGGGATTAGGGTATATAATAAGAGCTAAACGGGATTAGTCAACCAAAAGGGTTCGATATGATTGGGTAGGATTCGGGCCACGGGGGTACCAGCGGGAACCATGCCGCAACATCAGAGAAATTTCGTTGCGCCTCAGCAGGGGTGCGTTCGTCCGTGGGAGGCCGTGACATGTCCGATGCTACGAGTTCTGAACATCAACCCAAGCTCTGGATAAGGGTAAGAAAGCAAAGGAATTCGTGAAGAACCATCGACAACATGACTATTCAGACTCCAGCTCCAGAGCCCCTTGCTCCTAGGGGCTTTTTCGCTTGTAATTCAGCATCAAAATTCAAAACCTGACCCGGTCCCAAGCAAAACCAACAGGAGAATGAACACTACGCGCTTTCAAGCCGCTGGCAAGAGTGAAGATATCCTCTACATGAGCCAAAAAGACAGAAGTTCTGACATGCATGTTTCTTTCATTCCCGTGTACAATTTTACAATTTTTTCAGAGGTGCATGTATGGTAGAAAAAGGAAAATTGGCACTCCAATAAAAATGTAAATTGATGAGAAGGTATTACAGGCCGGTCGGCTAAAGTAGCTAAGGCAGAACCCGCCTGCATGCCAGCACCAAAATCAGACAGCGAGGCTGATTCTACCCGCAACGAGTGTAACTTTACCGTCGGGTTCTAGTATAGCTGGTAAAACAACCGGGCCGGGGTGATCTCGAGGTGGCATAGGTCAGAACTTCGCCTGCAGAACGGGCTGGGCCGATTCAGCTTTTGGTCTGGCCTCGTTTATTGGGTTACTAGGCCCTACACTAAGAAGATTTTAGCTATAACTAGGCAATACTGGAGAGTGATAACGTTTTCGACCGGAACTGGATTTCTGAAATCCCCAGGTCAATTACCTCAAGGGGTTGTTGAGATCCTGGAGACAGCAGAAATCAAGTCTGGCACCATTCCCGGTCAAAAACGTTAATTGCACAATTATAGATTGGCCCGGGCCGTGCCGTAGTGATGCAGAGGTACATAGCAAATCTTTGTGCATGTCTAGCTGCAAGTCTTCCGGGATGTAGCACATCGTTTAATTTTTAATGGCAAGGGATAATTTGGAGGTAGTCGGGAGGGAGGGATCTGAATCGCGGGGGTGATGTGGGGAAGCGATCATTCAATCTCATTAGCGGCTGAAAAATGATATGTCACAGTGCGCCAAGGGGTAAAATCAACCTGGGACTACTCTGCGCAGAACAGTAATAAAGTGCGTGTTTCACCATCCATAATTATCAACGAAACAACGCACCTACATATATATGCGCAAGAGTGGAGTTTGTACTACGGGGGTGATGGTAGTACGGGTTCGATGGCGATCGGAATGCGTACTGCGCACTACGTGTCACCTTGATATCACATGCACAGCACGAAGTAAACAAAAAAGATAGTTGAAACGGATGCGAATTGGTTGAGGGATTATCTTTACGCAGCTCCACTCGGTAGCTTAGAGATACAATCGTACATTTCGGTTGAACGCAAGTCACTCCATGGTTTTGTATTATGTTATGTTTGATCACGCAATCCGACATATTATTTGTTGCCTCATATCTTATCAGTGACGGATGGAAACAGTCGTTCCCCGAGGTTCTGAACCAACCCATACCGTGAACAGATTTATTATAATTGAAAGATTTTGAGATTTTGTTATCTTTTATTTGTTTATACAAAGAAAGTAAGAGCCAGGCTTTAAGCTTTTCCGCCTTGATGATTGGTAAATGGGAGGATCGGCACCAACATATTAGGTTATCGGAAAAAAGACTAAAATCTCTGCGTAGAGGGCCTGGTGGGGGGTCTGGGTAGGGTCTGCTAACTCTGTTCGTTGTACATTCCTGTATATTATTGAATCATAATACTTTCTCACAATGTAATACTCGAGCATGCATCTCTGCTCCATGCAACCTTTTCGGAATATTCCTAACGAGGACTGCGCAAATGGAGCCAGCTCCATTTTCTGGCAGCATGATTGGTGCCGATACCCCCAGCTGCGAATCAGATAACCAAAATATAGAGCCGGCTCCATTTGCGCAAAATCTCTATTACCGTATGGGTTCGAGATTTAAAAGGGATCATCTTCCCTATCTAAACTTACATCCTCACATTCTTTGCCTCACATTTCGTGCTCATAAATACTGAAAGCCTGACCAATATGTCCACCGCCCCCGTTCGCTCTTCTATCGCGAATCTCGCAACCAACGATCCCGCAACCGAGGAAGTAAGAGAGAGACCAACAACTACCGATGAAGAGTGTATCTCCTTCTTCGAAGATTATCTTGAAACGGAGAGGAAATCTTTGAAGACCTTCTACAAAGATGAAGACATTCCAAAACTCGGCGCGAAGGCGAAGACCATGTTTGGAGCTTTGATAGAGTTGGGGTGCAAGAAGGAAACAGCGCAACAGTTGACCTTACTAACTCTCTATGACATTGTCATGTTGATTGGTTTGAATCCACTTGTAGACTCCCATCATATAAGACTTTTGCTAACCATTTACAATAGATGACAGTAGATCTATGAAGACGGAGCAAAAAGGGGAACGCATCGAAACTCTTCACAGAACGATTGATGAGATCACCCGAATCTACGATTACGCGAACGAGAAAGGGATAAAATCAGTAAAATTCCTGAACGAGAAGAAGGGAATCGCAAATGTCAAAAATAAGAACTGGAAAAGAAATTTTAAGAACAAAGTATACAACGGTGTGACCAAGATCGGTACTTCATTGAGTCAAAAGGTTTTGGACAAGTTCGTGTGGGGGGAAACAATGACAAAGCCACTTCTGGTGATGATCATCACCGATGGAGATGTAAGTTCAGTCTTTTGCATTTGATGAGGGTGAATAAACTAATATATAATTTAAGGTAGAAGGTGAGCGGGAGGGGCTGTTGGCAGATGTGATCGCGAGTTGCGTTGAGAGGTTGGCGAAAGATGAGCAACGGGGAAAGCAAGGTTTGTGTCTCAGTATATGTAATCTCGATCAAAAGCTGATGGAATTTTGTAGCTGTTTCATTTCACTTTTCCCGTGTTGGCAACGATAAAGAGGCACAAAAGCTTCTAGAAAAGATGGATGATAGTGAAGCATTTGGAGACCACGTTGATTGCCTGCCTGCAAATGATGCTCTAGAAAAGCTTCGGGACCCGACGGGTCAGCATAAATGGACTGTGGCAAGTTTCTCCACTCCATGGGGCATTGAATGATCAAGGTTGACTCATGGGCCTTCGCCATTGCGATATTTTAGTTGCCCAAGCTTTTACTGGGGGCAATTTCGATCTATGTAAGCTCCCATTCAATATCTGAAAATCACATCACTAACAACGTGATACAGTGGGATCAGGAAGGGGATGACGTTGTGGTTGATGTCACCGCAAATACCGAAGCCGCGCCTAAGGAAGATGATTCAGATGAGGATGCAGACGCTGGGTCATCCGATGATGATGATGATGATGCAGACGACGAATAGGATCGTTAACATCTCCACTGGGCAGAATACCTCCGTTTTTTTTTTTGGCGACAGAGATTTGTGATTGGGTAATATTTTGATGTTCGGGGGTGAAAGACACAAATTATTCTTTGTACTTTCCTTTCTTCGACTACTACTGCTATAAAAAGTAGACTGTGCTTTCAGCCCCAAATGAACATTAACCGTGTCTCTGGGACCCCTCTGAATGAAATACAGCGACTCAGAAAGGGCTTATTGTTCAGCTGATCAAATGTGATATGTCAATACCAAGATTCTATCGAATCAGTCCGAACCACATTCAGAAGATCCTCTTAATGAACCCAGAACACCACCAACCCCAAGATGAACAAACACGAGTGATCAGACATGTCCGGCTCTGCCCGGGCCGCAAGCTATGAAACGGAGTGCCCTTTGAGCTACGGATATCAACCAAACACTAGTCCATGGGCACAAAGCAAACATTCATAATATTTCTTTCCCTCATCGGGGCTCTATGCAATTATATATGTATCTAAATATCTATAATGTCCCTGTCCCATGGAATATAACTCGGCTCATTGCTGTGTAAAGTAATGGTATTGGCCAGCCGAAGTAGAAATCAATTTCTTTTTTGTTTAATTCATTAATCGAGTAGAAATCAATTTTGTCTGCGCTTCATGACCTGAATGTTCACATAGATATCCATTAAACGGGCCACAAGGTACAGCCACTGAGCAAAAGTGTGCGTGATTTAGTTTCAATGCCAGTACGCAGTGTGACGGGCCCGTGATGTTGATGTTATTAATGTAGAGATTCAAAACAACGAAAAAGATATAATATAGTTCGTGACTATATATCCAAGAAAATAGGTGATTGATCTTATTCTTCATTGATTCCGGGCTCCATTGGTCACTGGGGGGTTTTCTGTTGGGGGGTTTGTGATGGTCCGCCACGGTTACATATCGAGAAATGTCTTACTCCGAAACGGAATCAAGAACACTTTTGCAGAGTGGCTGTAAATACACGGATAGCCCCATCAGCCATAACCCGAGTTGTAGACCATGATACTCAGACGAGACACCTGGTATTAGGCGAAAGAAGAAAGAACGCTGGCAGATCGATAAACCTAACCCTCTGCACAACCAGTTCGCACCAAGTTTCACCTATTTTGTGTAGGATCGTTTGTAGGCTCTCGCCAATTAATGCGGTACACGCCTCCCTACGAAGCACGAACGTTCCCTCAGAGAACCCTAATACTTGCTGCGGAAAATTGACATCGACCATTAACCGATATTAAACACATCGACATCGACCTCCAACCCTAGCTATGGACGACCCCCTTATGATGCGCCTATTATCTACCTCAGACGGCGAGGCGACAGCCACCGACCCATAGACCTCCTCCAGCGTCAGGTAGAGCAGGTTGCACGACCTCAGGCAGCTCTGTCTGCGCAACCTCGACATTGCTACCACCCAGCTCGACCTCTCTACCAGCTGAACCCCATACTGAACGACCTTCTTACCTCGACATCCCACAGTACGATCCCTCCAGTACGCCTTGCTAGACCTTCTTACTCGACCCCTATATCACCCGAAGACCTTACTACCATCACCATGTCTCAGTTCAACCTCAACCTCCTACAGTACAACAGTATGACCTCTGTTTGTCAGTTGCAGAACGACCGACGTCGAACCTCAAGCATGGATTATCACTTGGCACGACCACGACCCCCCACGAGAATTTTTTTTTTGTTTAATTCATTAATTGCATACAAACCGTAGTTTATGGCAATATCACACCACCCTAGAACTACCCATCTGCCTCCACCACGAGTTACAAAATAAAGAAAAGTAACCATCTCATTCTCACAAATTTGACTCTGTCTCTCCTTCTAGATTCCCTCCTGGGACGGTGTATAAACTCTTCGTATCCTGGGTAATTGTCTAAGTATCTATGTATCCAGTGTGGGAGACTGATTGTGCCTGTCTTGTCATTGATGTCGTTGTCGCCTGTTGCCATACCTGTACCGGGCTTGCCCATAAACACGAAAGCCTGGCTGTTACCGTGTTTGAAACACGCCCATCCCGAAGGTGTATACCGATAATTCCTTTCAAACAGTCCGATAATCTGAATCTTTGTCATTTGTTCGGGTATTGATGCTGAAGCCGGAGGAGAATGGACTGGACTTGCAGTATTGGCCGCGGGAGCTTGAACCGGTTATTCTGTCTCTGAGATCGGTGGGGTGGGAGCCAGTGGGACTATGATTGTCTCTGGTGGCTTAGAGTTTACTGCTGGTGTAGGTGTAGGTGGTGGTGGTGGTTGGTGCTGTAGCAAAGGAGAGATCTGTTCTAGACTAACAACGAGCAGCCCTAATCGAGGAACATTCTGCACTGTTAGGTGCCTGCGATGAACGTTCTTGACTGCACTGAAGTGTTCTTGATTGGCGTGTGTTTATAGCTGGATTGACCGGACGCGAATATTAGAGGACCGTGGGAACGTTCCTAACTGGCTTCAATTTATGGCTGTGTTCTGTACCAACCGTGTCATCATACCAGCGAGGGACGTCCCTGAATGGTTTGTACGAGTCATGGACGTCCGTGGATAGCACATACATTTCAGAAACTGTAGAGGTCAATGACTGGTATGCTTGGATTGTCCCAATGGAGGAGTCCGTGACTGGTACAATGAATTACAACATACATTTTGAACTACGTCCATACAATTCTTCGAGACTATTTCACATCTACCTTATCCCCTCCTACTCCTGGATCGAGTCATTCTCTCAACTATCTCAGGTTCGCTGTCCTGGTCCTCCTCATCCTCTATGGTACCCGCTACTGACGACTTCATTTTTCCATCTGTATAGTACTCTGAAACCAGTTGACCGTACTCCATCAAGATTGGGTCTTTCAATATTGGTTCTGCCTGATCTAGGGTGAGATCCATGTCCTGGGCTATGAAGAGTTGTAGGAGAAGTGGTGCAATGACCTCGAGAATGAGGTTTTCCTTCTGCATGTGCGGTTCCTCCAGGTCCTGCATCTGTTCTTCGAGATGCTCCTCATGTGATGCATCTGGAGAGTCAAATATTAGCCCAACCAAGCTATGCAGTCCATATGAGTAATATCCGCTGAATGCCCCTTTCATTGGATACCATTTTTCTCCACTTCTGCGCGTTTCCAGATATACGGGATAAAAGGGAATGTCTGTATACCGTTCTATCATATTATCGATGATGTTGACGGTTGCTTCAACCCGAAAGGCACAGCAATCAGTTGAGGATGCGATGGTGATCCACTCCAAATCTGGAACATTATGAGCCGAAGCGTATTGTTTGAGAAGGTCAGACCTATCGCCATGCGGAACAGAAGGAACAACTGTGATAGTATCTTCAACCAAGGTATCTTCTGATATCGGTGAGATACTGGAGCGCCAATTACCATTATCATCTATTTTGCCTGAGGCGTTCTCGCACGCTGTTTGTTTTCCTTTCCCATTTGAATGACATCTTGACTCCACGCAATTGAGTTTCGATTTGAAGCAAGGGCAGCGCGATTTAAGACATTGACTTCTACATTGGCAGTAGGTCCGGCTCTTGATATAGATGTTAGTATAATTAATGAAATGATATCTGTCTTTAGTTTCTCTTCCCTGGTTTCCGTCCTCTTCACTGTCAAGGCGTGATGCTTGCCTCAGTGAAATAGTTTTCGATGTAGCCCCTTCAATTGGAGAAAATGTCAGAGATGCCGGAACACTTTGAAGTTCGCCTATGTAACAATTACGACTGATTTTGCCGAATTCTGATAATAGGGTATAGCGGACAGGACTGTGGACCTCAACAATTCTGCAAAGAAGCCTCCGGCGATCTAGCGAGTGACGATCTGATCTTGGGACCCGTAAAGTCACCAAAGTGTCATTCTGAAAAGCCGGTACTTCCCTGGGCTGTTGGCTGCGTTGTACCATGGACGGTCGCGCATTAGCTGTACCAAGTGATGCATCTTTTCGAATTGTGGTCCGAATAGCCTCATTCAAATCATTGCTTCCTCCCTATTTAGTATAAACTTAGTCAAATGCTCACGTTGAGGGCAGACAAAACTGTCCTTACCGGTGTGTGATCTGATTCAATACTGATAAGTGATCGTTCAAGTGACGGGTCAAAAGAGGTTCTGTCCCTATCGACTCCGGACGCTATTGATTGATCCCCTATCATCATATTTCCACTCAAATCATCCTGCAACATCTCATCCTCAACCGTTTGTTCACCTCTTTCGATAAAAGGTATACGAGTACCAAATATTCGCTGACCAAATACTACCTCGTAAGGGGATTTCTTTGTTACTGAATGCCGTTGTGTGTTCATTGCTAGAACAGCCTCCGGAATGGCTTATTTCCAGCACACTGATTGATGATCAGACATCCAAGCAGCCAACTTGTCTTTCAGAACCCCGTTTGCTTCCTCGATCAAACCCTGACTTTGTAGATGACGAGCTCAGCCATTTATGATCTATGTCAAGAAATCACAATAAAAAGGCGAATAAATCGAGGAAATACAAAGACGTCTACCTTAATACCCAAAGAACGTGCCAATATAAGTAGTGCGCCTTTGAACTCTCCACCATTATCACATTGTAATATATATAGCGGTCTGAAATCCGTAATCCAGTTCGTTACCGCAGCTGCTACGGTCTCGCTTTCCTTGTTCCAAATTGGGTACGCAGCCGAATACTTACTAAAGTGATCTCGCATATGACGTATCCAACGCGAGTCACCATCAGGTGTGGCTGACACATCGATCAAGTCGACCTGCACCCGTTCCCATAGTTTAGATGCAATAATAGGCCTTGATGTGCGGTTTGATGCTGAGATGTTTTCTTTGCACACATAGTACAGTGTTTCAGAATCCATAACACTTCATTGCATGTGACACCATAATACTTCCCATCCATTTCATAATACGTTTCATGGATGCCAGCATGTGCCAAATTCAAGTGCGCAGCGATTACGTCATCAAAAGCCTCTGAATCCGTTATCACAAATCGGTATGAGCCTGCAGCATCGGAGTATTGAAGTCGCCCATCTTGTGACATTCGATATCTGATCAGAAGTACATTAGGTAATGAATATATTCAAACGGCAATGATTATAGTTGCTGGATAGGATACCTGTTTTTCACAACATATTTTAACTTTCTTTCTTCATCGCCTGCACCTGTCAAATCCCCATTAAGCAATCGGTGTATCAAGGTACGTTTCTCTAAAAATAGTCTGTATCGATTTGTGTATCCAGGACTCAAGCATAAGCTGACCAAGTAAGGCAAGCTATTTGACAAAGAAGTCACTGTCTTGCAAGGCTGGACATAGTGTTCAACATAATTGGTTGAAGGATAGCTGAGTGCAGAAATAAGTATCGGAGGTGTTAAGTTGTTGCTGTTGAAGATGGGTCTTGAAATAGTATGCTCGACACATTTCATAGTTTGGAGGCTTCTCATTTGTCATTATGAGTCATGGGTTTTGATTCATTCTTTCTCTGGTATTTATTAGTCATGTTTTTCTATTACTCATACGGCTATAATTTTTATGTTTTGTGTTACCTTTCTTTTGTATAAATACGGAGCATTCCCCCCTCTAGCTAGTTGAATGAATACACTCAATTACAATACTTCTCTATATATAATTTCTCTAGGTTATGAGCTCGGATCTCAATGGGACGAGTAGCGAGTATTCTGCAGGGTATGAAGGGGGTAATAGAGGTCAGTGTAGGAGCCTGCAATAGGGGTCTTGAGGGACTCTAGCGTTGGTAAGGGTCAACGGGACAAAGGAAGCAGCGGCACGGTTGTCTTTTTGAGTAAAGAAGAGGAAATAATATTATATAGTAATAGCTAGCGTAGGCACAGAAAACGTTGCGTATCAAAAGAAAGAAGAGAAAGAGAACAGAAACGAGGACGAAACCTCCTAATATACTCAAGGAAATCTCAGCGATGACAAATCCAAAGTGACTCATACACTTGTGACCAACAGAACTCAATAGAACTCAATAGAACTTTTCTGACTAATCCAACTACTCGTAACCCAGTGTACTAACTAATCAATCCATGAAATCGGAAACGATTTACGCTTACACACTCCAAACCATTTTTACTATCAAAGTACACTCTATCGTTTCACTTCATACATGTCAAACAACAGCATAAAATTTCGCACTTTACAATGAAAGCTGTCTAGCTAAAACCATTACACTGTTTGGAGAGACCTCACTTATCCCGTGTTAAAAGTTCGCGATTTGTGGAATCTAGTCAATAGTCCTCTCACTCTGTCACAAATCCCTCGAATCAGTCATTGACAACCTGTAAACCAAGCTCAACGTCACCTTCGATGATGTCTATGAAAAGCTGTTGGATCTGGACTCACCACGCAACAACGATGCACAGGCGGCTGGAGAAGCCTACCATATCAGGCGAGGAAATCCAACACACGGAAGCAACAACAAAGTCGGCAAGGCACGGAACAACAAAAAGGACAAAAAGGATCTCATAGGCACATAGTGCATCAAGAATGATGAATATGCAAAAAGTCATACGCACAAAGATTGCCAGAAACTTAAAGCTTTCAGAGTCAAAGAAAAGTCTGCTGCATCCGGCAACGTCAATATCATGTCATGTCCTGCATTTCACACAAAACTAGACCTTTCCTGGATTCCTGACCTCTCTGACCTCCCCAAACTCGAAGAAGTTGATGCATTTACTATGTCAGTTTCCTTCGACTTTACAACTTTCTCGGATATCTCGGATGTAACAATGGAAGACTACTTTGGCTTTGTTGGAGAACTTTCAACATCTGACAACAAGGTATGGATCTTTGACCCTGTCACAACTAACCACATGACCGGAACTCAGGTTACCACCCCCTCACCTTACAGTGGAACAGTCAGTGTCAGCAGCCATCGCAAGCTCAAGATAACCGGAATTGGAAATGTCACCAACAATGGATCACATGGCCCCATTACTCTGCGGAACGTATTTTTAATTCCAGAACTCGCCAACACCAATCTAATATCTTTGTCATGTATTATCGAAATGGCATTCACAACAACAGGAACGGAAAATGTCGTTACCATTTATAAACCTAACAGTAAGAAAATCATTAGGGTCGTTAACGCAAATAGTACTGGTATTTACATTTTTGAAACCAAGGAACCTTGCGCATACATCTCTATCGCAACCAGATTCTATGACTAGCACCAACGACTCGGACATCTCCCCACTTCCTCACTCTTACGATTACGCAACATGGTCGCCGACTCAAAATCTTTCCCCACAACAAGTCACATGGAAACATGGAACAGATGTGAACTCACCAAATCCACCAAATCACACCTCGCTCCTCTTACCGAACCACGATCGAGACAACCACTTGAACTAATCCACTCAGATATGAGCGGCAAGTTTTCCACTCTAGTAGGGCAATGTCAGATAGGATTTTTAGGTTTCCTGAGAACCATCGCCCCACAATTCCCAGCTTCCTGGCTATGTATTGAATAGATTGATCTGAATCCATTCCCATGACGAGGTATGCATTTATAGGGGATCGTGTTTGTAATTGGAGGGGCAGAGCTGGTGGTCAAGGGCTGTTGAGTAGGGTAATTCACTGTGAGTCTTGGCAACCTGTCCTGGTTCACTTCCGGTACCGCCACTCACCGGGCACGTACAACGATCGATTACTGCATTGTACCGAACGCACCTTCTTGAGCCCACAATCATGACGGCGCTCGAAATTCAATGATGACGTATTTTCCCATCCTCTGCTTCGATGGCATACATAAATTTCAGATTCTGAACTCCGGGTTGCCGTATTGGGTGAATCTCACTAATTGCCTTTGCTGTCTTCTTATTCTAAGTTGGATTCTTTACTCCAGGTGACCACTTTACCAAGTTTCAATACTCATAACCCTAACTACCAACAACCAGGTTTCAACCACTACCAAATTCATATTCATGTATTTCATTTTGACCGAAGAGTGTATTTTGTACACCTAACCAAATCTGCTTACAACGCTTGTAACCACAACTACTGATAGCCAGGGTTAAACCACCACCAAATTCACATTCATGTATTTCATTTTGACTGAAAATTGTATTTTGTATACCTAATCAAACTAGATGTGAAAGCTCGTAACCCTAACTACCCACAACCAGGTTTCAACCAACACCAAGTTCACATTCAAGCATGTCATTTTGACCGAAGATTGTATTGTGTACCAATAGAATAACATGACCTGAAGAAAAACAGATAGAAAAGTTTCACTTCAGTATTCTGTCCTACATTCTAATTCCGATACGTAACCATGAAGCTTGCAATTACCAGTCTTCGGGCTGTATCGTATTATTGTTCTAGACACTACTGAGCAATATTGAATCGCTGGATAGATATGCATGTCTACTAGGACAGCATGTAAAGCAAACACTAATGGTGAAATTGGTTACTACTGTTTGTGATAGCTTGACAGGTATAAATATCAATCGGAACAGAAAGTGAATCAGAATTTAGAATTGAGGTTTGTTGGTATAGTTTGCTATGACTTGATTTGTATGCACACTTGTTGTGACAGAATGTCAGTCAGGAATAGTAAATTAGATTTGTTAGGATTTTTGGCAATTGCTTGATACGTATGCATACAAATTGGAATGGCAAGTAAAGTGTATATCGATAATAAAAGCTTTCTGTATAATGTTTCAAAACTAAATAGGAGTCGATACCTGTCAGAAAGACATTCAAATCAGTAATTAGCAGTGAAATTGCTTCATACCATTAATAATTGGTTCATACTTATACATTCTTATCAGAACAGCAAGTTTAACAGTTATTGACAAAGAGGGTCTACTGTATGATTTACGATCTTTTGATATATATATATATGCCTATCAGGACATCAAATGTATCAGAAATTCAAATTCTTATTTGTTACAATCGTTCATGAAGGTTTGAAAGCTATGAATATTTATTGGTACAGTAAAATACTGGAATTGATACTCACTGTATTTGATGGCTTGATTGGTATACCATGTTCTGCATCAATATTGAATAGCTTGAATACTGCACTACGGTTTGCAAAATATCTTCTCCCAAAACTCGAAGTTGCGGCTTTCCAATCCATTCTGAAATATATACAATCTATGATCATATTCTGAACTTGAGAGTGAACAATATTCAGCACTTATCTCTAAACCTCATTATTTTAATTGATAACAGTCTTCATAACGTGTATCCTGATATTTTGTCTTTTTGTAAACGGGTAGGAATTTGACGATGTCCGCAAGATAACATCTCTTCCACCTCACCTACCTATTAACAGTATGCGCCCGAATTCCCCCAAGCCTTTAGAATTAGGATTATGGGTGCTTTTGATTGAGAATGTCATATTTGAGCTGACTGGCGGTCAGTATAGCACTCAATGGCTTGAGCGTTCTCAGTGTACCCCAATTCAGATCGTAAAACCTTGTCCGATTTCATAGATCGATTGAATAATATAGTAGGTTACAAAGGGTCGAATTGATCAGAAAAACTCTATGAATTTCTAGAAGATTCCGTCGATTTTAAGGGTATGAGTCACTTGGGATTTGTGATTGCTAAGCTTTCTTTATGTATATTAAGGGGCTTTGCCCTCGATTCTATTCTTTTTCCCTCTCTTTTCTTCTCTTTCTTTTGGTACGCAAAGGCTTAGGTAATCTACGCTGGCTATTGCTATTCAAGTACTATTTTCTCTTCCTTTATAAGGAGGCCATCTCACTTCTCCGACCTTAACACCGCTAGTCCTAAACTACTGTAAGTTTCTCCATCCCCTCTCGCTGATTAACCTACCAGCCCCTATGACCATCTCCCGTACCCTGGGGAATACTCGCTACCCAACTTCCTAGGATTACGTTGCGTGGTAATCCGCACCATACGCCATGTCCACCCCCAACCGACCTACATGGATCTCATCTAACAAAATCGAGAAGTTTAACCATCAGTACGAATAGAATACTGGTGCCCTGTTTGAGCACCTCCCTACTATCTTTTAAAGCATCCGACATGAGAGGGATAGTGCTCGTACACTGCTCTCCGCCGCCCACAAAACCATTGACTACCTAGAAGAGCAAGTAATACAGGTCAACATTTACCTCAATGTTGACCACACCACCCCTGCCCCCAATGTTCCTGTCCCCGTTTTCGCTGCTACTGCACCAACCACTTTCTCCACCTTTGGGTCTGAAACATTCCCCGAAAAGTTCGATGACATCCGTACCAAAATCCCCGGATTTGTTACCCAACTCCGAATGAAGCTCGAAGTCAACCATAATCATTTCCGCAATGGGACAGCAAAGGTTATCCATGCGGTCGCCTGTTTGGAGGGAAGAGAGCTTGATCAGGTCATACAACTTGTTAACGCCAATCCTGCTGACTTCTTTTCCTCCGTCACCTTCTTCGTCGCCCACATGGAAGGCTCATTTAGAGAACTAAACACTCGAAGTACCAACCACCGCCAACTCGTCCCCCTGAAGCAAGGCAAAGAAGACTTTGCCACCTACTACTCACAGTTCATCAGAAACGTGTCCCACTTGCATTACAACAAAGGAGTCAAGATTGACGAATTGCTGGAAAGATTGTCGGACAACTTTAGAGACATCATGACATATCGAACGGAAAGACCCAATATGGTGGAAGCATATGCGACCATGTCAGTGACGATCCACAACCACATGTAACTGACGTGCTATGATGAGGCACAACCGTGACTTCCTTTCGAATAGTGTAAATAAAGAGTGCGAGTTTTGATGATACTCGTTCAGAAAGAAGAAAATGGAGTTTGTATGTTTGAACGTTCCCAAGTCTAGAAAATTATAACTTTAAGGGGTCTCCTCTCTATTAAAGATCCGTTGATGATGAGAGGCCAACAGGGGGCAACACCGAGTGCCTTATAGGAATACGGCACGTTTGCTCAAGTTCTTTTTCCGACTGACAATCTGCCTGTTGATAGTCGGGGGTACAGCAACTATTTTTTATCAAGGGGGAGGAGAGTAACTGCGATACCTTGAATGAACTTCTGTCCGAGTCAAATCATGCAATTTGCTGAAAGCTGTGGTCGGAATCTTAAGAACTATTGGAAACAGCCGACCAGATAATAATTGTTTATTGTAACTTTATTAGAACCGATTTGAGTGTTTGTAAACTGAAGTTTTGCTTTAGTAGCTTGAGTCGCACTCCCACTCCCCAAAGATACTCCGGAGCAAAAGAGGAGCATTCCGGCAGTTTGACACTGCGGAGGTTAGTGTTGGGGATTAAAACGTGTTTTTGGAATTAGATTTTCCATTAGCTCCGGGACACCGCCAGAATCATGTCTGTCATGCTAAAGCATGATCTTTGAGCGTCAGTTGCAAAGATAAGAAACCTCAAAGAGTCGACTGTATAGGTAGGGAACTCCCGTCCTGGGTTCTCTGTGCTATCAGGCATCTTTGTACTTCTGTTCCAAGCTTGCTCAACCCCCTATTTTTGACTTGTAAGACTTCTTACTCATTGAGATCCCTGTACTCTATACGAATAAAGGTACGAGCCCAACTGCTCTTGTCTTCACACGTCGATGAAGAACAAGCTGCTGTTACTTAGGGTTGGTGGCTTAACTGATGGAATAGGTTCTTTTGTAACAGCCTGATAGTGGCCTTGTTACATTACTCCCCTCTAGGGTAGACTCATTTTGAGTCCACTGTAGTGTTACTGGAATATTAGTATTTGGCATAGAAGAAAAACTGTAGCTCTATTGGTGATTACGTACAAACTACATTTCTGTTTCTATCTCCATCATAGAAAGAAAACTCTAAAATGAAATGCCTTTTAAAAACAAAGAAAATGGAATATTCTCCACTCTTGTCGTAGAACCTTCCGTTCTACTAGTGGAGGTTTCGATGTTAGCAAGAATCTCTCTTTTTCCCTTGTTCTTTTTACGCGGGTTTCCTCACGCTTCGGTTTTCTATCATTTCTTGCATTGTTTTCAGGGAAAAATGGTATCCGAACTCTGTCAGACAGATGAAAAACCTGGTACAGGAGAGTGGGTTTTTGTTCCCGGATTTCTTCTGAAATACAGACCTACTCACGCCGTGTTTTGAGGATCTCTAAAGTTTCACCGTATTTTCCGAGGTTTTTGAGGGTATTTTTGATGAAATACTTTCAGGGCCTCATCGGCTCTTCCTTGCAGAATTTCATATGGTTCCCAGGAGTCTTCCGAACGATAGCCCTCCCAAAAAATGCGATACTCTACAAACATTTTCTAATGCCCAGACTGTTGCCATCGGCTATTAGCTATTTGTTTGAGAACGTAAATTTATTCTCCTTCGAGCTCATCTGGAGTAGGAGGCACTTCAGTGCGTTGAGGGTATCTCAGTCCCCGATAGGACTCCAGCAGAAATATTTGGAAGATATCATGAAGGTTCCATTGAGAGGGAAGCTTCAGCCTGTAGAACGCAACAACAAGTTTCTTGTAGTCAAGCTTGCTTGATGGTCGATTGGCAACCATATTGCGTCGGTCCATCATCACCTTATCCCCATCTTCAGGTTCTGGAGCTTTCATATGCTTCTGGTCATATCATTTCTTCTGCCGGGCCTGTGCCTTAAAAATATCAGTCCTCATAGTTTTCCAAAGAGCTTTCCACTTGAACTTTAGTACGGGGCTGGAAACATTGGCATTGTCCAGCTTCCTTCTGTGCGAATGCCAATTGGAATCAGGCTCGAACCCATAGTTCGCGTAGAACTGAGATACTTTAGTGGACTATTGGGTTGCCGTTTTGTAGGTGTACTCTGCAAGCGGGAGTAACCCTGCCCAATCATCCTACTGGTAGGACCAAAAGTTTCTGAAATATTGCTCTAGCGTTTGATTGACCCTCTCAGTTTACCTGTCAGCTTGAGGATGATATGCCGTAGACAGACAGAGGTTGACTCCGAGAAGCTTCTTCAATGAATGCCAGAACTTGCTTTCGAATCTGAAGTCCCCATCAGGAATGATTTCTTCGGATAGTCCATCGAGATGGAGCTGCAAGGAGTGTTGGGGACCTCTAACTGTTGTAGCATCCTGTACTTCTGATGACTGGAGCTTTTATCGCTTTGACATGTATGGCAACTCCGTACGTATTCTCCCATATCATTGTCCATCTTTGGGCAAAAGAACAGTGCCCGAAGATGCTCTGCAGTTTTGAATTGACTTAAGTGGCTTGCGGGCTTCGAATCATTTAGGGCGCTCATGATTTTTGGTTTGAGCTCTCGGTGATTTAGGATGTACCATCTTTTCTTCTAAAAGACATCACCGTCTCTCAAAGGTAGGTTTCGGTCTATTGGCTTATTGAAGGTGTGTTTCACAGACTGCTCCAATGAGAATTACTCAGGGTCTGAAGCTGCATAACGCCGGATTTTGTCCAGAAGCACCGGTGTGAGTTTGCAGACCTGAGGTGATTTTGGCCATTATGATTTGATCATAACGGTTGGTGGTTATACAGAAACCATTCTGCTAGGGCAACTCAGGACAGGATTCTGAGGTTGGGCGAGAACCTGGCCGTACAATTCCCGATTCCGTCGCTATAGTTTGGCCAAAACGAATAGAATCCATCACCATCGTCAGGTATTTGGGTAAAAGGCAACATGATTGTGATACTTGGAGTGGAGGTAGTGGGTGGGGGCTGTTGAGTGTTAGCTCGGGTTACCTAGTGCTAGGGGTAGATAGGGTTAACTGGGGTGACGGGCCAAACAAGGTTTAGTTAGGGTTAGTTAGGGTTAGTTAGGGTTAGTTAGGGTTAGTTAGGGTTAGTTAGGGTTAGTTAGGGTTAGTTAGGGTTAGTTAGGGTTAGTTAGGGTTAGTTAGGGTTAGTTAGGGTTAGTTAGGGTTAGTTAGGGTTAGTTAGGGTTAGTTAGGGTTAGTTAGTTAGGGTTAGGGTTAGTTAGGGTTAGTTAGGGTTAGTTAGGGTTAGTTAGGGTTAGTTAGGGTTAGTTAGGGTTAGTTAGGGTTAGTTAGGGTTAGTTAGGGTAGTTAGGTAGTTAGGGTTAGTTAG